TCTGGCCTTTTCTAATCTTCTTATATTGTTCTTTAAGACTTTAAACATCAGATGCAGCACCTTTCATACTGTATATATTATAATCTAGCATGACTGTACCATAAATCAAAAGATCGATAGATTGCAATCAAAATTCTGATCTTAAGGCAAGTACTATAAGGCAAGCCCATTTTAATCAACGGGTCTGCAGCCAATCGTGTGGCAGTAAGAGGAGGATTTACTGCTCGGATGTTTAGGTGAAAGCTCTAAGTCAGGGCCACAGCGCATCTCTTTATGTTTCTTCACGTGTCCCTGCGGTTCTCAAGTTTTGACTTAAATCTGCACAATTTGACTAAAAGTCCTCTGTGTGTGTGTGTGTGTGTGCGTGCGTGCGCGTGCGTGCGTGTGTGTGTGTGTGTGCGTGTGCGTGCTTGCGCACGTGTGTTTGTCTGTTCCTGCTCCCCCCATTCCCCCTCCCTGTCTCTGATCCAGCTGCAGCTCCCCTTTATCTCTACTCTTTCTTTCTCTTATACTTCTTATCATTAGGCGCGCATACTTTTAGGCTTAATATATTGTACAAACGTGTAAATGTGGATTTCTCTGGAATTAATATCAACATGGAATAAAAGCTGTTGTGATCTTGATACCCTGCTCTTTATGCCTGAAGTCTGTTTTCAGTAAAATTGATTGAAATGTATTTGACTAAAATAAACTTTTGTCCAGTTGAAAAATTGAATTTCTCCTTTTGCCGTGGATTCTACCTGGATGACGGAGGGATTTTACAAACAATCAACATGAAGGAAACCTTTTTTGATCTCAGGGCCTGACTTATTCTGTAAAACTAACTTAGGGCCCAATCTCATATATATTACTGTATGTTCTTCTGATTTCATGGCCCTTGGGTGGGTGCTATTGGTTTAAATACATGTTTGTTCTCTGCACAGACGTGTAAGCTTTAGTTTAAATGTATGTTGTTGTTTTATTCTCTACACAGATGGATATATTTGAGGCGGCCGAGCGGTATCAGAGAGATGGAGTCCCCCTCGTCATTTTGGCCGGAAAACACTATGGCTCCGGGAGCTCTAGAGACTGGGTTGCCAAAGGACCCTATCTCATGGTAATCTATGCATTTCTATTACAGCTAGTTTGTCTTTTTATTTTATTATTATGGTGTTTTATTTATTTATTTGTTTCTTTAAAAGAAATAATTTAACTTGAAAAATCTCAATATAAGGTTTAATATTCATATCCAGTATTTGACTGGGTGAATCTTGCAGCTCTAGTCATCTTTGTTATTCCACATCTGTATCTCCCCTCGGTCCTCAGGGCGTTCGAGCTGTGATTGCAGAGAGCTTTGAGAAGTTGCACCGCAGACAGCTGCTGGGGGCGGGCATCGCTCCTCTACAGTTTGAGTCTGGAGAAAATGCAGACGTCCTGGAGCTCAGTGGGAAAGAGGCGTTCAACATCGAGCTCCCAGAAAACCTCCAACCGAACCAACTGCTCACCGTCAAGGTACAGACAAACCAAAGCCTCTTAATGTGGCTCAGATACATGCCTCACAGCAAGAAGGTTCAGGGTTCGATTCCTGGGTCACCCAGGCCTTTCTGTGTGGAATTTGCCTGTTTCTTCATGAGTCCAGGCACTCTGGTTTCCCCTGTCAACCCAAAACATGAACAATTGGTCAAATTCCTTCAGATAAGGTAGTCCTGACTAAGACTAGCTCACATTTTGGAGAGAGGTCCCACTTCCCCATGAAGGATGGGCCAAATGCACAGGACAAATTTCCCCATGTGATTTCTTTCAGTCCACTTGATGGACTGTGGTGGGAAGCTCCTGTTGTAGTCAGGGCTGCCCTGGGGCAGGCTGATGAACATGAGGCTGCCAATGCACGTCACAGTGGGGCCGCAGTGTCTGTCATTGTGTCCTTAGGCAAGACACTAAGGCACAAGCAATCTGCCATCAGCCCCTCCGACCGCCACAATCACTCACTCACACACCACATTCATACTAGGCAATGTGGGTGAAGTGTCTTGTACAAAGGCACAACAACAATGAACATTTTGGACCAGATTTTCACAACAGAGCAATAAGAATTCAAACAGAGCAGCAATGACAAAGAATAAAAGTTAAGGTAAAATCAGTAATCTGATTTCTGTTGTGTTTTTCTTCTGTTTTTGTTGATCCTTAGACAAGTGAAGGGAAGAGTTTTCACGTCACGGCGCTCTTCGACAATGACACAGACATAATCTGCTTCAAACACGGAGGCCTCCTCAGATTTGTGGCTCGGACGTTTCTCTAAAAAAAAAAAAACTCAAAAACTCAATGTGTGTGGATCATCATCAACCGTTATTTACCGTTCAAATCTGGAAGAAAAATGTCCGTCCTCATCAAAAAGAAGACTGCATGACTATTTACCTGGAGAAGAAGACATTTCCTGACACGTTTCCATAACATCTCACAACTGGCTTAAAAAACAACTACTTTGATTTACTTAAAGAACACATATTATGCATTCATGTGGCTTTAATTCCCTTTTAAACATGCTTTTACTGACCTTAAGATAAGTATTTCACACTTTCTAACTTAAAGAGCTGGTATAATGCAAAATCGACTTTTTGGAATTTTCTAACATGTTATAATGTCCTCATCAAAAACATGCCTGAAGAGGTTTTGAATGCCATCCATGCATGTTTGAATAATCTAGCAATCTCTCCTGAGCACTATTTGAACTCTCCTTACGGTTAGTAGTAAGATCCTGTACAATGCTTTGCCCACAAGCCTACATCACCCATGCTCCCACGCGACAATGTTTCATAAATCTACAATGGCATGATATAAAACAATACACTACAACTTCACAAACCTGATTGTTTTGTGATAGCACTTTAAAGGGGTCTTGTTGTGAGCACAATTTGACCGTAGAATGAGTTGGTTCATGGACTTAAAAACACAGGAGAAGTCCAGAGTTCTGTCTATGACACAACAAAATGGGAAAAATGCAAACTTGAGCACTCTGGATTAATATATAACTCCAGGTATGTTTCTGATGAGGGAACAACAGTATATCATGGTCAGTTTTGCATAATATGTGTTGTTTAAAGATTTTGAGCAAGATTGTCAGTTTGTTTTGCTTGTATGGGTGAAGATAAGGACCTATCAAGAATTACAATCCTGCCTCAAAATGCCACATTGGTGCTCCCAAAAACTCATAGCTAACCGTCACGTTCAAGTAAATGTATGTATCAGTTTCTAATAGGGATGCACCGATCCAATATTGTCGCCGATACTGGGAGAATTTGCAGGATATCGGCCGATATCCTGATTGAACACAGAAATCGATGTAATAGTTTTTATTATTTCCAACAACTGATTTGTAGTTACATGAGAGATAAATAAGACTACATGGAACATTTTGATCAGTTCTGTCTTATTTTATTTTAGTTTTAAGGCTCTGCACTGGTATCGGCTATAAAAAAGCTTGGAAACAGTATCAGGATGGAAAAAGCTGGATCGGTGCATCCCTAATTTCTATTACTTAATTTTGATGTGAGAAGAGAAAATATTATAAGTGGTGGCCTTACTGTAATAAATTTAGTATGTCCCAATAGAAAGCTATTTTGGTTTTTTGTCAAAATGAACTGTTTGAACATCACCAAAATGAAATGATTAGGGCTCACGCATTTGAAATAATCTAATAAATATACAGATGGTAGCTTTAAGAGTGCATTGCGTAACTTTTCTGGTGGAAGCTTCTCTCCATGGATACATTATGGCTTCGTTTATAATAGTGTTCCACAGTCAAACACAGAACTTATCAATCTTGCCTCCTGTCCATGGTGATAGATTAGATGAATGCCATACTGCGGAACGTTCCGGACAAAGCAATAACATCTCCATGAAGACGACAAGGTGGAAAACCCTCTACCAGAAAAGTTACCTAGTGCACACTATGAATTTGAGCACTTTTAAGGTTTTCCCTTAAATATTCAAAATCATGTATCTAGGAGTTCTTGGTGCTCTTAGCCACTTTATAACTCCACAAATTTCATTTCAACTCTCCATCCTGCGTCTTCGATCAGAATGCATGACAATGTTCGGACCGATAACGCAAAGCTAAAAACTCAATATCGAAACCATGCACTGCCTAAGGATTTATTGCAATTTTTTGGGACAATGTAGGTAATTTAAAAGTGTGTCTATATGCCAAAACTGCCAAAGGAGCTGACAAGACATTAGAATGAAATGTTGTATCTAAATTAGGTTAAAAAGCACTTGAATTCATAATTTTATAATGTGTGTTTTTTTATTTTTTGGTTTAGTAATGGACAAATATCGGTATTAATATTAATTGATATTGGTAACATTAGTTCATATATTGGTTTTGGACTAATTCAGTATATACGTTTTTTTATAGATTATCAATTAATTTTGCTTAAGTGTCAATTTGTGTGTCTTGCCATGTATTTTAAAATCCCTATATTACACAAAATTGATTATCTATCGCCAAGGAGGTGACTCCACACAAGACCAAATTATATATAATTATAAATCTGTGGAGAGGTGACCCTGCTCACAGTAGTTTTTCAAGGCATTTTTGAGCAATTAAAACATCTGTAATTGGAAAAAGCACAAGATGAAAAGGTTTAATGCCAAACTGTGGAACATTCCAAGCAAAACAAGAACATCACTATGGAGATAACCAGATAAAAAGGTTACATAATGCAGCATTTATCATAAGAAACCAGTTCTAAGAATACTGAAACACCAAAAAATCCTATATTCTACTTAAAACTACTCCCATTTAGTTACTCTGAATTCAAGTCTTTTTAACTCTCTTTAGATACTGTGTTTTTGCAGTGTACAAGGAGCATTTTTAGCGCATCGTTTTGGTTTCCTGTTGTTTTGTTATCTGTTTATGGCCTTGTCTGTTTAGTTTAGTGAAAATGACGGATGAAAATGCTGGATCTGTGTATAAAGTGTCACTGTGGGTTGTGAGTTGCAGCTGCTGTCGCTCGTGTTAGATCTGTGTAGAAATGACGTATGCAAAAGTGTCTGTTTCCCTCTGAATCTCTCTGTGTAAATAGTTTTTAATAAATGATAAATAAGATGAAATTATCTCAAAATACTCTTTTCTTGATTATAGTTCTGGAGGTGAGGTGAGGATTGGGAGAAAATTGTTCTTGATGTGGTTGTGTTTGATAAAGTGCAAAATATTTATTCTTAGTTCTGTGGAGGGGGGACCCCGGTCACAGTAAGAATGTAGAGCAGGGGTCTCCAAGTGAGCAACCAGTTGCAGCAGTCACAAAAAAACTGAGTAAATATAAGAGCCACAGCAAGCCTTTAGATGGGGAACACTTAAACGCTTATAAAACATAAACCATTATCTATTTTTCAGTGCACCAAGTCAGGCATTAAATGACACATTTACAATGGTAATTAATCAAATTTTCCTTATAGAGCACAATACATGTACTTCAGAAATCTCTTTGACGTGCTACTTGGAAGGGGGTGGAGAGCTACAGGATGGAGACCCCTGATGTAGAGTTTTCAAGCAATACACTACCAGTCAGAAGTTTGGACCCACCCTCTCCATAAACCTTTCCATAAAAACATTGAATGAAAAAGTCTGTCCAAACATTTGGTAGTGTGAATGCTCAGTGTTGGGAAGTAACTGAATTCAAGTACCAAAAATACGTATTCAGAACACCAACTTTGAGTATTTGAGTACTAAATTAAAAGGAATACATGACTGTTCTTCATCAACGCAGTTCATCAACGCAATTCATCATGCAATTTTGACTTTGAACTGCTCAGTATTAGTGAAAAAAAAAAAAGGCAAACTTGCAGTGCATACACTACCGGTAAAAAGTTTTAGACCACCACACTTTTTCCACTCCATGTTTTCAAGCTTTACCATCATGTTCTTTTTTTATTTAGGTAGTTTTGGCAGAGCTTGGACTTGTGTTTTGTATCTTATCTTTTTTTTTTTAAACCTCTGGCTGTTTAGTTCTGACCTTAGTAGTAGTAGTACCTTTTGACCGGTAGTGTACATGTATGACTTTTTTGTCTGTAATTGGACATAAATGAATGCATAACTTAATTCTATGTCCTTTTTTTTTACACCAAAATGTAGGTATTTAGAATATTGAGAATACAGTACTCTGTACTATGTACCGGAATTGCCCAGCCAAACGTGATCTTCCAATTTGATTTTTTTTTTCAGTGACACATGTAAAACAAAGGAGCTCACTGGTCACGTAACATTTACAAATAAAATCCAATTAGTGCTTTGCTCATTAACCCTGCAGAAATTCAACCATGTTTCTCTGACGCATTTTTAAAAATACAAATGGGCCATGCTTGTCCCCATTGGCTAATCCACCTGTCAATCACACCCATCTGACCTCAGGGAGATTCACCAGTGACCAGACTCACATCTACCTAAAGTATTGAAGAAGTGAGTATTCTGAATATTCTCCTTTGAGTAACCCTTTATTATTAGGCAGTCTACATCTTTCAAGCTCAAAATGCTCTGTTCCACTTTGTGATGTCACATAGTTATAGTTTTCAAACTACCTTTTACACTTTGTTTTGTAGAGATTGGTGTATGGAGTTTAAAACACAGTATTACCACATGACATCACAAAGTGGAACAGACCATTTTCCATTTGAGAGAAGAACTCAGCCTAAATATGAAGAGTTTGTGTGTGAATGAAACAAAACACAACTCCAGGTCTGTTTGTGATGATGAAACAACATTAGAACATGGATCAGAAAATAGTGTAACACACAAAAACACCACATTTCTGAAGTGTAAACAGTGCAACTTTATTGATTTAACTGAGAGCAAAGGACAACACCGTGCCTGTTGCTGCTGCTGACATCACTGTGCACTTTTACGGCGGACATTTTGAGGCCCGGGTACAAACAGGTCAACTCTGTGCAAAACAATATGGTGACATTTAGTGGCAACTTATTCTGAAGGATTCTCGGGGTGACATGTGCAAAAATGTACCAAATTAAACAGACTGTTACTCAAATATAGGAGACTGGCCGCAATAGTGTTGGATCTATACAGCAATGCATTGTGGGAAGCACTTAATTCATATGTTATCAATGCAATCCTGGCTTCAAAATAATAATTGTGTATATATAGATTTTTTTTATTTTGTAAACCTTAAACAACAACTATTCTCAAATTGAAATTTTCTAAAATAAAAAGACAACGTAAAAATTGAATGACAAGAAAATTATATAAAAAAATTAAACCAAATAAAAATAAATGAATGCGTTTTTATATTATTGTAATTTTTTCATTTATACATTCTTGTTTTTTAGTACTTGAGAAATGTTACTTATATATAATGATTTTTTTCTTGCTGTGCTTGTAAACAATGTAAACTTATGGACATTTATTTTACAGTTAGATTTAAGAGTTAGTTTTAATATTCATTGTTTTCAGGTTTAGTAATTGATGTTATAATGAAATTTTTGTTAGAAAAAAGCATGAATTATAAAAGCAAATATTTTTTCATTCAAATTTTCCAATGTGTGTAGACCCAATGCTATACCTGCATGTTTTTCTTTTAAATGCAATGCCTCGTTCAAATTTAAAGATTACAAGCTGATCTGTTTATTCTAACTAATCTCAAAGTGAAAGTGCATATGACAGGTTACTCATTTAGCCAAATATTATTATTTAAAGGTGCAATGTGTAACTTTTCTGGTCATGGAGATGTTACTGCTTTGTCTGGAATGTGTCACAGTATAGCATTAAACTTTTCAGTTTTCATGGAGACCAAACCAGGACAAGTTACAGGTCAGATCTGCGGAGAGGCGACCCAGCTCAGTCAGAATGCCTGTTTTTCTAGATATTTTTAGTTCTAAAACCGCCTGTAATTGAATTGATTGTAAGGTACCAGTAGATGTGTTTAATGTCATATTGTGGAACATTCCAGGCAGATCAGTGACGTATCCATAGAAACAAGCAGATGATAGACCCTACACCAGAAAAGTTACACAATGCACTTTTAAGACAAGACACTACAGGTAAAAAATTCTGTCTGATTTCTATAAGTTTAAAAAAAATGAGGCGATATCTGAATTTTTGGCAAATTTTCAGTCAGATCTAGTTTACTCAAATACAAAATAAGATCCAAAATCCCCTCTGTGTATTTTTTTGTATCTAATGTCTCATCAAAAAGAAGCAAGAAATTCAAATGTGGCTCTTTTCATTTTTTCTGTTTTTGAAAAAAAAAAAAGGTGGCAGTTTTTGGCAATTTTTACACATATAACACCTTCATTTTATATGAGGTTTACATTACATGATGAAAAACTTGTAATACACTTTTTTCTTACATTTATGTACTAAACTATAGGAGACGTTTCAAATTGATATATCTAAATTTAAGATTTTTTGTCTAAAAAAGTCTCCTCTTCAATTAGCTTACCATTTTAATTACATAGAGGTAATTCCATAAGTATTACCTACCAGATAGAAGACAACGCCTTTATTTTGTTAAATGAAGGTTTAAAATGTCAGAAAAATGTTTTAGAACTCAGCGTTACTTCCTGTATTTTTACTTTTCTTCTCAACTTTTCTTCCTCAAACTGCCACTTAACTGGTATAAAACTCTGCACTGATAGTACCTGTGGTCAATAATTATCAAAGTAATAATTAGAAAAACATGAAAACCTGTCATATGCACTTTAAACAGAAAAATCCCCACCACAAAAGCATGACATTAGCAGTACATGTTCTGAATCCAGTTAAATCAGATAAACCTCGGTCGTTTCAAGAGCTTAAACGTAAAAGAACATGGCAGCGTCGTCCCAAATTCTCATCGGAAACATTATGAAACTCCATTTGAATTAGAAAGGCACTGACAAAGAATTCATTTAAACACAGATCTGTCCAAACCATCCGCTCGACTCCTACTGTCCTATAAAACCAAAGCGACTGTAAAGACTTTGTACAGAATTTAAAGCTACACTGTGATATTTTTCTGCTGCTTGTCTCCACGGAATTCCCTGGAATGTTCCACGGTTTGGCATTCAACTTGTTTCTCACCGTGGATAAAACAGACAAGGTTACAGGTCAGATCTGTGAAGAGGTGAGTAATGCATGTTTTTAGATTTGTGACACTGAGAAACATTCCAAGCAAAGCAACAGAATCTCCATGGAGACAAGCTTCGACAGAAAAGTTACATAGTGCTCCTGTAAATGAAATACTGTTTACACATTTCATAGGAGTGGCAATTTTCAAAATAGTACTTTTTTTTTTTCTCTTGAATATAAGATTCAGTCAAAATTTTGGTTTAGTTTTATATTTTTTACTATAATATGGACAATTTACACTATTAGACTTTTATTATTTTGTTTTTGTAATATATATTTTCATGAACCTCTGTTGTATTGACCTATAATATAATTTCAGTGAATCTTGACCATAAGGCTGGGCAATATGACAAAAAAATCTATTGATCATAATTCATGTCTTCAAGTATTTAAGAAGTAACTAAAGCCATCTTCAGTTTTTGAAAGTGGAATCTTCATTGTGAATGGTTAATCCAGCTGTGTGATCTGCAGTGTGAGTGTTGACAAGTTTGTTTTGACCATAGAGCTGTATTAAACAAAATAGCAAGGGTCAGATCACCATTTGATTTCAATCACCATATTGCCCAGCCCTGATTGACCAGTTGAAGCATTCTGTCTTTTAAGTAAACTGTGTATTACTAAAATAAAGAAAAAATAATAACAGGTACGATTTCAGTATATAACATGGACTACACTGTACCTTTGATACTTGGACAACAGGCCATGCCTCTTCTGAGAACTTCCAGAATTCCCTCACTGAGGTTGCACTAGCACTGATTCAGAATTGGTTCAGGTGCTGGGGTTTAGGGAGTGACTATTCAGATCAGAGAGAGGAATTTTAGGTTTAAACCAACTGGATTATAACATTAAATCTGATAACCCAAATGAGAGTCATGTGAGACTCATTCTGCTTTCTGATAGGACAATCTTGTAGAGAACCAAAACACCAAACACACTCTATTCACTTCTTATTACGTCACAAACCAGGGAGACGTTGGGAAACATGCGATGACGACTTCTGGTGTAGTTCCCGACAATGGACTCGACGACCGACTGTGATCATATCCACTGAAGTAAATGTGATCAGCGGTAAAATGAAGACTCCATACGTATGTGCTGTTTGGAATCATCTTGAATTTGGCGCCTCATCTCTTCTAATCGCATGTACCCAGTGCGCTTGGAGTTGTGTGTCAGCGGGAAAATTATGAAAACTTATGATTAGCCGAACATAACTGAACCCTATGATGACATGGAGATGAAGAAAACTGGGCCATTTTCTCATTTTTCCTAGATTCTATCAGACTTACCACCGCAAACAGAGCCCGCCGGAAGCTGTCATTGCATGTTTCCAAACGTCTTCCTCGTTTGTGACATAAGCATGAATAGAGCCTATTATAAAAAAAATTAAATACTTGGCATCATGTCCAATGTTTTTGTAATCAAGAATAAATCGGCATTACACTTGTTCTTAGTAAAAGCTATATTTGATTGGAACATGGAACATTTAGGTCACGTTTATGAAATTTGAAATCAAAATCTTACATACAGTTCCTTTAACGAGCCAGAAGTGCACTTTTTACGCCCTCTTCTGGCCGACTCTAGTTATTGCACAATGAATTTATAGGACAAAAATCTGCTCTTTTTAATGCCACTTTGTTTAACCGCACAGCATTTTAACACATTCAAAGAAAAACATTGGCTGGTATTCATAAGTACTTTTTTCCAACACAAGTGGAAGTGCTCTGATAATTAGTCTATTTCATCCCTTTTATAGTGTTTTTTTTTTTTTTTTTTTCTTTTAGATCAACACTGGCAACTTTCTTCAGCTTGGGTCGTTACAATGTTTTAACAAGAGTAGACACTGTAAACACGAACAAAGCCTGAGTACAAACCCATATTTTTATTTAAAGATGCACTCTGGAACTTTTCTAGCGGGGGTGGTCCGTCAACTGATTATCCCAACGAAGAAATATTTGTCTGGTAGTGTTGTCAAGATACTAAAATTTCAAAGTTGATTTCGATACTTTTGCCAACCCTAATGTCTGGAATGTTCCACAATATGCCATTAAACTTTGGATCTATCTTCCATTTGTTCAGTTACGTGTGTTTTTATTGATATGATCTGATGATGTGGAAATTGAGCTGCTTGTCTCCATGGAGATAGACAAGCTAAAGCCATACTGTGAAACTTTCCAGGCAAAGCAACATCGCAACCAGCTAGCGGACACTTCCCCAGAAAAGTTACACAGTGCACTTCAATCTTACAAATCAAAATGAATCATCAGACTACCGGTACTTCTTATATGTCCATTGTAGTATTTTTTTTTTATCTAATAAGAAAATATTTGTGAAAGATTAAATGACAATATACAATTCAAAATACAATAGAGAGCTACTATAGGTTAAAGGTGATTAAAAAACGGCTTTGATTGTATCTCCCTTTCTACAATTGGTTCGATCCTTGGTTTTAAAGGCAAAGAGGTAAAGTGTATAAGAAAAAGGCAGCCTGCTGTGGCCACACGGAGGCATCAGGCGATCGCTTTAGCTTCAGGTAAGAACGCCTCCCAGTACTTTATCAGCTGTAAAACAAAACAACAAAGAGACAATTAGTACTCCAGACAAGACAAAATCTACATGCAGTGCTGTGAAAAAGTGTTTCTCCCCTTCCGGATTTCTTACTTTTTTGCATGTATGCCACTTAACTGTTTCAGATCATCAAGCAAACTTAAATATTAAATACATTTTTCTGTGATTATTTTATTTGTTAAGAGAAAAATACTATCCAAACCTACATGATTCAGTGTGAAAAAGTAATTGCCCCCCCTTGTTAACTGGTAAGGTAACTTGATTAATCATATTATTGTGAAAAGCTAAGTTCAATTTCATAACTACACCTAGGACTGATGCTGCCAGACCTTTCAAATCAAGAGATCACTTAAGCAGAACCTGTCTGACAAGGTGAAGTAGGCCATATTGAACCCAAAACATCATGACACAATCCAAGGAAGCAGAAAAAAGAAAAGCAATTGTCAGTTACTTGTGTTTACTTGAGTTATCTTTGTCACTCTTAGCCATTTCAGATCAAGCAAACTTAAATATTGGACAAAGGTGCAGAAAAAGTAAAACGTCTTAAAGGGGGCAAATACTTTTTCACAACACTGTAATATATTCTAGGGATGGGGTGAGATACAATTTCCACAAGACAAAATGTATGTAATATCGCTGCAAAGCTTTGGGGGCAGGAGTGCTACTTTGGATATGCAAAAAATGTGCAGAATTGTTCTTTTGGTGCTCTTCAGTGTAGGGACCAGTCTCAAATACAAAGTAGGAAAAAAACTGAGGCACTCAAAAAGTACAAAATAATTAAAAGCCTTTAATACCACATGGCAGATAAAGTTAAAATACGCCAACGCGTTTCAGCCCTTCAGCCTTCATCAGGGCTTTTAATTATTTTGTACTTTTTGAGTGCCTCAGTTTTTTTCCTACTTTGTATGGAATATCTCGTCTTGTGGGGTGAGACACAATTTCCATAACACGAGATACGAGATTGGGCCAAGATGAGATTTTAACATAATTTCTAATATATACATTTCATGACTCAGCTTCCAATTCTGGCCTCACAATTTTTTATTAATTTGGTTTCATATTGTTGTTTCTATTTTAGTACTGCTTTTTGGAACTGTTAAAGAGATGTAACTCACCAACACGTGACTCTTTTTTTGTTTTTGTCCAACCCAAATATAAACACATGGGAAAAAATATTTCACAAGATAATTTTTCTCTTGTGTACACGATCCTGTGGCAATTTTGTCTCACGAAATCTTGTACCATCCCTACTATATACAAGTGGTTACCAAAGGCGTGGAAGAAGTACTCAATTTTGATACTTAAGTAAATGTACAGATACCGGAGCACAAAAATACTCCGGTATAAATAAGTAAAAGTATCACATGACAAATCTACTTGTGTAAAAGTATTAAAGTTTAAAGAAAGTATTTCATGCAGAGATCTTATAAATCTTAAAATGTAATTATACTCATACAAGATTTGAGCTGCATTTTTTTCACTAGAAACAAATGAATAGATTTTTTGTAGACATTTTTATTTGTATATTTTTGTTTGCTCAAACTACAGCTCTGTTAAAGAGAAACCCTCAAGTTTTTCAGCTGGTCCCAGACAATAATAACTTTTCACTCTCAAATGTAGTGACATAAAAGTAAAATGTATCCACTTGAGTACCAGTACTTTACTACTTTCACTTTGTTACATTCCACCACTGCCGGGGACCCCTGGTGGACCTCAGAAGCATTGCAGCAGGGGGTTTGAACTGAACTGTTTAAGATTTTGTTTAAATGTGCTACAATAAATAATTATTGTTTTTTACATATTAAGAGTTAAGTAAAGAAAAACTACACACTACATTTAATACAATATGTCAGTGTAAATTATTATTAGAGACTTATTACTGTGAGATCTTTGCATTGATGGGGGGCATGGCACTGTGGACTTTGAGGACGGCTGCAAAACCCATGGATTTGGTTTTACAGTAACGAAGCCTCTCAAAGTGCTACACAGTGGTAAACTACTACTACTTTTGCCATTGAAAAGGTGTACCATATAATCGCTGTCCCTCCTCTGTACCATGTATTCACTCTCACTCCTTCCTTGTATGTACACTTACTTGTTGCTGTGACCGAAGCATAGATTCCAGATATTTCACTATTTGTCTCTTAAAGTTCTTCGTTCTCTCTTTCTGCAAGACAAAAACACACACACACAAACGGATATGTAACCAACAAAATATTCAGTTAAATTCAAATGATTCAGAATAATTTTTCATTTATGTACCTCAAAGTGCAGGACTTCTTTACGCACAGTGGCCGATACTCGCTCAAAGTCTCTCTCGTATTGTGTAACTTTGGCCTCCCACTGGAAACAAAAACTTGATGTTACTCCAGCTAATATTCAATTAAATTCATTGTTTTGTCATCCTTTGTTCAGTCCTGGTTTAGAACTACTATATAAGAAGTAAATTGTAAAGTGTATAGTCCCATTTTTGACTTGGTTTGGATCTAGTTCAGACCTAGAATTGTTCTGTTGTAGATCTGGAATGGATGTGGTGGTACTCAGACTTAATGTGAAAAGATTGAGAACCACTATTCTAATCTAAAATAAATCTATATTTTAATTTCACTAATACAACAAAATATACCCTATCCACTGACTAGAATAAAAAAAGAGAAAAATATTAACACATTAAAACCATATAAAGTGCATACGACAGGTTTTCGTGTTCCAACTCTGACTTTGTTTGATGGGAAAGTACCTGTGTTTAATATTTATCATAGTTTTACATCCTACAAGTTCTGGTCCTTGTTTACTTTATAATTGCCAGGTAACAGTTATGGAATTACCTCTGTGTGTATGTTATATCTGCTGCCAATGCCCAACCAGGAAATTATACACTTCACCAAAATACATATACTAAAAACGGGCAAGATTTTGAGTCTTTATCTTATAGATCGTGATGTTAAAGTGACCGGTCCTTTCATGAAAACATAGTAAACATCATTACATTTAATATATTTAAGGTTTTACTAAAAATCTACCTGGTTTGGTAATTTTGGTGAAAGTTATCATTTTACTGCCTATGGACACGTTCAGTAGATATTAAATATGTAGAGATGTTACCCTGCAAGCATTAAGTTAACAAAGTCCAAAACTTGTCTAAATCATCTAACATCATAAATCATAAAACCCCTCGTGGTTTGACACATAAAAATAAATACAACTCCTCCTTGTTGTTAAATCAATGTTTAAACTCTGTTTTATTCCGTTTTAGAACTCACCGCTGCTTCCTGTATTTCACAACTTTTTGTTTTCTACTGCTCCCCACAAACTGCCACTTAACTGATGCAAAACAAAACTATGACATATTTGTACTACAAATATTACCCCATCAAACCAAGTCATATCTGTCCAAAGCACTTTAACTAGTAAAATAAGTAGTCTAAACTGTCACATGCATTTTTCTCTCATGTGTTCCGTCTGTTATATATTTGTTATGTTACCTCTGCGATCTCCTCTTTGGCGAGTTGGAGTTTGTCGGGTTTATTTGCCCAGAGCAGTTTAGCCTCGGCCTCTCTCTTCTTCTGCAGCATCGACTGAGCGTCCTGCCAGCGCTGCCACGCCTTCATGCGGTGATCGAATGACCCCTGACCCACACAAATACAGTTCACATCAGGATATGAGAAACACATGCAAAATTCAGTAACTATTCTGTATCTTATAGTATATTATTTTTTAACAGTAAGTTCAGTTAAATTAAAAATACACATGCCTTTATTTACTGGTCAAAAATAAAAACTATGACTAATTAAACTAAGAAAACCTGCCTTTTTGTCTGTTTTTACTTTCCAAAAACAATATACATTTGTAAAACAGAGAAATTTGTGTTGCAATATAGTAGATGGTCGCATATTTATATAAAGCACTTTCCTCCTCGAAGGCACTCAGAGCTGTTTACGTTAAGGAACCACTCACTAATTTACGCACACATGCACACACCAGTGTACACATGTTGACGTCAAGAGCAGGATTTGAAATGCCGACCTTCAGATTAATGGACAAACTCTCTACCAACTGTCCCAATACATTTATTTTCTTGTGATATTGGTCTTTATGTTAGCCAATACTGTTCTAATCAATTGCACAGCCTTAGTTCACAACACCCTTTGTTTCTATCTGTGAAAAGCTCTATGTAAATAAAGTCAGATTAGAATATTAAAATACAGCTCACGATAGAGTAACCAAGTGTGGATAGTTCCTTATGTTGACCGGAAGGGTTGTTCAAGTGAATTCTAAGAAGTCCTTTTGAATAGTTAACACTATGTAAGGTGGATGAAATTTAGACTCTTAGATTTAAAAAGCTGCACTGTATAACTTTTCTGGTGGAGGGTTCACCACTTGCTTAGTATTTATTCAGTTACTTCCAACTTAAAAATCAATAGAACTTCATGACCATACTTGAGTACAAATTAGTAGTTAAGTATTAACATTTGTATTATTCATTCCACCTTACGGTTACTGCTTAAAGATCTTCTATTACACAAAATTGACTCTTGTGAGCTTTAAGTCATGTTAGAATGTTGTTACCTCATCAAAAAAGATCTGGAGTTGTGTTTTGTTTCATTCACACATGTTTGAGTAATCCTGGATTATTAGTCTGTCTACATCTCCAAAACTCAAAATGCTCTGTTCCACCTTGTGATGTCATATAGGAGTAGTTTTCAAGTTAACAGCTCATTTAACTTTAGTTCAGTAGAAATTGGCCAATCCAAGACTAAACAGAGGACTTTAGTGAATCTGTGTGGAGTTTAAAAACACAGTGGAGCACTTCCTGTATTACTGCATGATATCACAAGGTCGAACAAAGTGTTTTGACTTTGAGAGAGAAACTCAGCCTAAACATGCAAGGTTTGTGTGTTTCCAACTCCAGGTCTGTTTGTGGATAGGAAACAACATTATAAAACAGATCAACAGAAAATCATGTAATATGGGTCATTTACACAGTTGTCTGTTTGATTAGAAGAATGGAAACAAACAGTATTGTATCAGAGGACAAAATAAATCCACCATATCTATTTTTCTACCCATGTTAGTATTGGTTCAGAGTACTTCCGCACTGATCCTTACCCTGACGGCCCCCAGCAGTCTGATGAAGTCTGCAATGTGTTCTGCGAGTCCGAAGGCGTCATTAGAGGCTTGCTCCTGGTGTAGCTGCTCCATTTTGTCCTCCACTTCGGAAAGCTGAGACAGGGCCCGGGACAGAGCCGTGTTATCCTCCGCGCTACCCAACATTGCTGCGCTCTTCGCAAAACTCGCCGTGTTTGTGGACAGCTCTGGACAAAAGACAGATACAGTAGAGCCATGAGGTTTAAAAATTAAAAAAGCTTAAAGGATCATATTATGCTAGTTTCAGATCTATGTTATTATAATGTTTCCTCATCAAAATACACCCCTGTGATGTCATGTGGTAATACAGTTTTTAAAGTCCATACACCTTCACTAGAATCATTTGGATGATTTCAGCCCTGGACTTACCAGTCTCTACTGTAAAATGTAGCTGTTAACTTGAAAACTACCCCTACACTATGCTGGAACAGAGCATTCTGAGCTTTGGAGATGTAGACAAACTAATAATAAAGGATTACTCAAACATGTGTGAATGAAACAAAAGCCAACTCCACGTATGTTTTTGATGAAGTAACAACATTCTAACACGGCTTAAAGCTCACAAGAATCAATTGAGTGCAATATAGTTAATATATTTAAAAAATTAAAGGTGAGTTTCTCAAAAAAGCTACAGATCACGTGTCAGCATCTATTTCTTAATAAACATCAAATTTATGAATTAATCCATAGTATAATAGTAGGGGAAGTGGAGTGCCCAGAGGAAACCCACCCAGACACAGAGAGAACATGCAAACTCCACACAGAAAGGCTCTGGAGTCAAATTCACAACCAGGTGAGAACCAGAGAGCCAGATTTTATAATTTAGTTTAAAATGTTTTAAAACAGCTGTCATTATATATTATGCATTTACATTACACCAATACATATGAATTATTATATATTTATTAAATCAGTCTTTATGGGTTATAGGGTTATTTGTACTAGTTGAAAAAATTGAACCCAGAACAGGTGATTGTAGAGTTTGGTGACTTCTAGTGGTGAAGCAACTCACAACGCAACTCAGCATTACATTATTACATTACATCAAGCAACACATTTGACCCAAGGGATGCTAAAGTGATGCTGTGTAAAGGCATTTTGGCAGTATACAGATTATTAGGTTACTCTCTTAGTTGCCAATACCTCAGTTATGTCTAACACAGCACAACTTGGCATTACATTAGACAAAAATAAACACCTTGGGAAAAAATAAATAAATAAAAAATCATTTAACTACATAAGTTTTAATCTGACCTTTTCTGTGCAGCACCAGAGATTCGACCAGAGCATGAAGCTTCCTGAACTGTTGGTCTGCTGACTCCACCTCCTGGAGCTTATCCTCAAACCACTGCAAAACAAAAATAGAAATCCCTTTACATTTTAAACACATGTGAAATAATGTGAATAATCATTCACTTATTTTCAGAAAAAGAACTGTTTTCTTAGTAAAACAGTATATTTTTACACTATTAATTATTATTAGATATTAGGGATACAAAAATAACTGAAATATTGTGATATTGTATAGTCGACCATGATCCTTTGCTCCATTTCAGTGTAGACTACATGAAGAAATAACAGTTCTGAGCACTTTCAAGTCTTAGTTCTTTGGGATTATGTCAAGGTATTTTAAGCGGAAAAAATAGCAGATTAACAGTTTTGTTAGCCTCCACAAAATACTGCAATAAATATTGTGCTGTGAAGTTTATACCGTGACAATATTGTATCGTGAGACTTGGATATTGTTACACCCCTATTAGATATGGGAAGGTTTTTACGGTCATACAAGTTCAAAATACAGATATAGATTAAAGACAACAAAGTTCAGTGCCTATTTAAAGTATGTCACCATTATGTAAATAAGACACTGAGTTTTCAAAATCAGCTCAAATCAAGATAGAAGATTTAGTTTAAGCCATTTTCATGTGTCTTGCCCCAGTCAAGATATATTAGGTATATTAAACAGCTCTTGAGGTTGAAATAAGTCCACTGTGTACAGCTTGCATCTAATTATAAAGCGTTTTATTGTCTAATAATGTAAATGAATTTCCTTTGGGATAAATAAAGTATTAACATAAGTGAGGAATAATCTTGGACCACTACAAACCATTTAAAAATGATCTAGTTCCGTTTTTCACATTTTTAACACAGTAAAAATCAGGTACAGCGCCTTAAACTGCAATTCCTTCATAAATTATGAATACATAGTAGTTAAGCATGTATAGAAGTATGGAGGTATTTGCCACCATTTCCCATTATTAAAATTTGAATGATTTAGAACTCATTAACCTTGTAACTTCTGCTTCCCTTCACGCTACAAGATCTGTACTGTGTTGTGGAGCAGAACATTTGCCTGAAATGCAAATCCCCGTGTATCCGCAGGAAGAGCTGCACTCACCACGTCAGACTCGTTCATTTTGATGGTCATTTTACTGACAGCGTCTGTGGCTCTGGTGATCATCTTCAGGAAACCAGCCCCGCTCAGAGCCTGCGTGTTCACTGCCCGCGGCAACTGCAAACACAAAATATTACATCCACTTACATTCACTTCCTGGGGACTAAGCCTAAGCTTAACCATAATCACTAGTTGCCCAACATTAAATGAACTGTATGAAAGGTTTTGATTTTAAATAGCATAAAGATGACCTAACTGTGTCCCAAATACGAGTTTAACATGTTCAAATTATATAATAGACCCTCTGGAATGTTAACACATATACAAAAAATCCTTCATTCCAAATGCTATTGCCACTCTGAACTCCATCAAATGAACTCAGACCACTGCTGTTGTTTTTTATTGTGATCCATTTTTCAATATTGTTAATGTTTTTGTATTTGTGTGGTCTTTATGATGAATGTTGTGCCTTGTCAAATAAAAAAAAATATTTTCTGTCACCTGCTGGAACAGACAATAAAGCTTATCTGTCTGCAATCTTTTCCTGATAACTACTGTAATGCTGATTTATTCTTAAATACAAAAACACTGGACAAGATGGACAAGTTGTTTTTGTCATAATTTGTAATTTGTTTCTTATGACGATTCTCCAAACAGAAAGCAGAATGAGTCTCACATGAGTCTGTCATTTGGGTTGCCAGTGTCTTGAATGCTGAAATCCAGTTGGTTTAAAACTAAAATGCCTCTCTCTGTTCTGAATGGCTGCAGTTGCTGGGGTTTAGGTATTGACCAATCCTAACATAGAGCTAGTGCAGCCTTTGCAGCTCAGTGAGGGAATACTGGAGGTTCTGAGCTTTCACTTAAGACAGTCTATGTAATATGAGTTTGACTTTCTGAAATGAGTGACAAAAAATATTGAACTTTTTCATAATATTCTATTTTTTTTTTAGATATTCTAGTATGTCATAGTGACCTGATTTCTGTTCCCATAAGTGAGACAGGTCCTCATGGTGTGTGTTTGTGTGTGTGTATACAGATTTTGGTCCCCACACGCACACCCATTATGAAGCAGGTTTTATCTGAGGAGGAGTGCACAAGGGAAATATACAATTAGCACAAATGAACTGCCTCCATCTGGCTGAGAGAGCTCTGCAGTAAATACAAATTTGGTGGTTTTGTTTGCATGCTGTTCAGTACAGACACTAAAACAAGTCTATGAAATAGACTAAGGCTAACCATTATTCTGTAGATATAATTTATCCATCTCACTTATGTTTACATTCAGTCACAATAACCAGTAAATCCAGATTAAGTACTGTACAGTTATAAATAAAAAAAATAATTTATAAAAGAAATAAATACATAAAAATAAATACAAAATGAAATGAAAGTACCACTCACCTCTTCCCTCTCCAGAAACTCTCGGACATCAGGGTCTTGGAGAAGCGTGGGGTGACTGACCACTCTTTGGAGATACCTGCCAAAATAATACAACAATTTTAGGGTAAATAATTAAAAAGGCACAATACCAAATTTTTACTGTGTTAAAAATGTGAAAAACAGAACTAGTAAACAGTTTGCAGTGGTTCAAAGTTCTTCCTACAATACACTACAGAGCTGCTTTCACAATATATCTGTACAGGGGCAAGACAAATTTGACTTTACTGCATGAAATAAGTCACCAGCCCAATTACTGATCAGATCTATGGAGACGAAAGCCCACTGGCAGTAAGATGCATGTTTTTGAAGGGATATATACACATATTGTATATCTATAGAATGCCTGGATCATCAGCTTTGCCTGTAGCATGTATTTTGAATCAATAACTGAATAAATGAAAGATAGAAATGGCCCTTCCATCAGAAAAGTGACATAATACACCTTTAAATGTAATCTCTCACCTTTCCAAAGCCCCTCTCCTTCTCTCTAGAAAGTCTGCAGATGAAGAGTCCTCCTTACCCACCTTCACTTTGGTCATCCCTAAGAAACAACAAAACGCAATCTCATACACCATATTTTATACAAGAGACAGTTTTCTTATTGATTACATTGTACTTTGCTGTGAAATATCCAAACTGTAAATTTACAAATGTTAAACCTGATGATGTCTGTTGGTGACCTAAAAACTCACTATATTACAACAAAACTCTGCATCTTAACATCTGTCTTAAATATTATTGGACCCTAACATGAAAGCAAATGAATTCAGATTACAGTACTGGACATACCCAGCAGGTTTTTCTCTGGCGGAGGTGGAACTATGTATCCATTTGGACCGTGTTTCTCGGACAGTTTTTCATAGAGCCCCAGGAAGTCGCTGTAGCGGCGCCTTACTGTGAGCGTTGGACTGCGAAACATGGCGAGCGTGGTCTGCAAAAGAGGTCACAAATACTTTAGAAACTGAAAGAACTATGAATACACTGCTGTGACTTGCTATACACAAAGACGTTTACAATGAATTGACTCTGAGAATTTTAGAACAGCTAGTCTACTGCAGTTTCATGAGTTAAAATGCATATGACAGGTTTCCATGTTTTTCTAATTGTGACTTGGTTTGATAGTATTTGTGTCAATATTTATTATAGTTTTACACCAGTTAAAGGTCCTTTATTATGCTAAATTGACTCTAGTGAGCTTTAAGCTGTGTTATAATGTTGTTATTGCATCAAAAACAAACCTTGAGTTATGTTTTGTTTCATTCACACATATTTGAGTAATCCTTTATTGTTAGTCGGTCTACATCTCCAAAGCTCCAACTGCTCTGTTCCACTTTGTGATGTCATATAATTTTAGTTTTCACATTAAGAGCTAACTTTTACCCTTTGTGTAGTAGAGATTGGCAATTCCAGAGCTGAAATTACCCAAATGATTCTACTGAAGGTGTTTGGAGTTCAAAAACACAGTGATGCATATCTTGTATTACCACATGACATCACAAGGTGAAGTGTTTTCTGTTTGAAAGAACAACTCAGCCTAAACATGCAGGGTTTGTGTGTTAAACATGTCTGAATGAAACAAAACACAACTCCAGGACTGTGTGATAAGAAAACAACATTAGAACACAAATCAGAAAAAAGTAACAAGGGTCCTTTAAGTGGCAATTTGTAGAATAAATTTGAAAACTACAAAAACACAGGAAGTAGCGCTGAGAATACCTTTCTCTACTAACAAATTATAATAAATCTTCCTTTATAAATAAAGGTGTTGTTTAAATTACACAACAGTTATGACTATACTAATAAAAATAAATTAAAAGTTTTAGTACATTATGGTTGCTAGGTAACATTTATACAATTACCGCTAGGTTTATCACATCTACTGCTCGAATGTAACCAGGAAGTAAAACAAACTTAACCAAATCTTAAATATAATTACACAATTATATACTGTATATTTTACTTTGTTTTAGTGAAATGTTGGGATTAAAGTTATATGCACTTTAAGTAAGCATTAAATAACATCATCAGTAATGTTACCTGTGTGAAAACTTTGTAGGCCATGTAGGCATTCATTCCATCCCCTAAAGGAAAAAAAACATACAAAGATTTAGTAAAAAATTCCTCAAAACACAAGTACAATATTCAACGCTGCTCTGTGCTTGTAAGATCATCTCGCTTTGCCTTGAATGTTCCACAGTATGGCATTAAACCTATCTATTTTCCATTTATAATTGCAGGTGTTTTTTTATTTCACATACCATGCAAACAATGCATTCATTCTGTGAGCTAAGTCATACTGCCACAGATCTGACCTGTAACTAACTTACTTACTTGTTACCATGGGAATAGATAAGTTCAATGCCATACCAGGCAAAGCAACAACACTGATCTTGGAAAGAAGCAGGTAGTGGACCCTTCACCAGAAAAGATACACGGTGTAGCTTTAAAGACACTTGCCTATTTTTTCAGGCTCTTTCACTGAAACTTGAATCTCAAATTTGTCGTCCTCTTCTTCTTCCTCTTCTTCCAACTGCAACAAAGACAAACTGCTGATGCCATGTTTTTACTAACACACAGTTTCCTTTTATCAATGAGTAACTTTCTAGTAAATTTAAACTGATGCACGCTAGTCGATGTAGTCCTCATTTGACCAGAAGTGATTCATGGCACAAAAGGTTTCAAAGGTAATCATCTGGATAGTGTTTTTGAAATGGATTTGGCAGCCATCCAGAAATCATTTTAATCTGGAAGTACTGTTCTGAGGGTTGAGAATGTATGCTGCCCAAAGGAGAGGAGAGCCAACCTTGAGACTTGTCCAAGGCCCTAGCTGCACATACCCAGATATTTTCATAAACATAGATTTTCCTGCATTTGGGCCTTCTGTCCATACATACGCTGATTTAAGATTTTATAATTGCTATCGAAAGTGAAGATTTGCAGGATATCTCTGCGACGTGGAGTGGGCTTGGAACACCATTGCTGTTGCTGCTGTCGGCCTAATGGAGAGAGTAAACTCTGCTGTTTTGTCTTTAGGCTGATACCCACTCTGTCTGTTGAAAACTTTCGCAGCTGTACATGACCGTTAGACCAGCAGATAGTTTACGTTTGTACAGCAGCAGCTGGATGCTCGTGTGTCACTGGGAATGCTTTGAGCACAGAGCACAGACTGTTTCAGATCGGACACAGAACTGTGAGTGAACCTTATACTTAGAAAATTAATTTTGTCTTCTATTTATAGATTTCTATGTGGGCCTCTGGAGACTCTATGGGACATCAGGACTTAAGAGGGAAATATTGCAATTTTCTTCAGAGGAGTCAAGCATGAAATGGATGTGGCTTCCAAGTGTTTAAACGTGGGTTTGCTGTGGTGTTATGGAATCATGAAGCTTCTGTGGATTTTTCAGTGAAGTTATTGTAGTTGTTTTGGACACAAATGTATACGTTTATGTATTAGTGTATTATGAAGCAGTCATGCACAGACAGCAGCTGCACATAGGTTATTCTCAGAAACACAGAGACCATAGAATTACCTTTAATTTATTTCTTCATTAGGTTCAATAGTGCACTTTTGTATGTGTACAGTACCTCCTCCAGAGCAGCAGGTGTGGGCTTGGTGAGGCTAGTAGCTCCAGACAGGGCGGATGGAGCAGAGGGTTTGGGAGTCTCTCTCTTTCTCTCATTTCGGGGACTGTCCAGAGAGAGCTCCACTGTGGCTTCTGACACACAAAAACAGGAACAATACAGCCACAAGAAGATCAAGAGAAAGTGGGAAAAACAGATATTAGGGTTGCAATTTTTCATGTAGTGTAATTTCCTCCACCAATTTCCTCCACTAAGAGAGCAAAATCTCTTCTTCAGTAATCAGTAATACGTATGTGGGCATTTTTATTCTACATAAAAACTGCTAACCCTGTAGTTTAGATCTGTACAAACATGTTCTGAAATGTGATTCTTGTATTAGTTTGTCAGGTCACATTTCAGTCTTTATCAGTTCTCCTGGACACGAAATGCAAACTTTGAACAGAATCCTATTATTACAACACAAATCACAAATCCAATTGCAATGCTTGTGAGAAAAACAAAAACAGATACACTATCAGTCAAAAATTTGGACGCAGCATCTCATTCATTCTAATTTATTTTCTATATTTTTACTACTATCTACATTCGATATACAGACAGGAGGCATCAACTAAATTAAGTAAGATATATAGAATTATGTAGCAAAGAAAAAAAAGTTCACTTTACCAAATGCTTTTTGTATCTTTTATAACCAAATCCTCAAATTGACCACCCCTTTGCTTTGTTGAGAGTTGAAACAGCAGCAGTAAAAAGTTTGGACATGCTGTCTCATTCAAAGTTTATTTTCTTTTTTCTTACCACTTTCTACATTTTCTAGACATCAAATAAATGAAGCAAGATATCTGGAGTTATTTAGTAAAGAAAAAGTTAAATAAGTTAAATAACTCTACTAAATATATAGCTTACTTCATATATTTCATATCTTGTGTATGTATATAAAATGTCAAAAGTAGTAAACTTAGAAAAACTGAATGAGGTGTGTCCCATCTTTTGACTAGTTGTGTAAATTTTTCCCTAAGTTGTGCAACCCTAACCCAAACATTACTACACCAAACTTCCACTTTAAAAATCTGTTGTTAATCTATTGTTATTGTCTGTACCTGCAAAAATGTCTGACTCCTCTTCATGTAGTCCGTTTGTTTTCGACACAGCTCCACTCTGCATCTTTGTGACCGGAGCCGTCTCCACTGCCTCCTCTGTGAAAAGATCCTCTGGCTCTGTCAAAACCGCCCCTTTACTCCTCACCTCCACTTCTGCTTTGGTGACTATTGGTTTCGGTTCTAGCACACTCGCCACGTTACTCGCTGTTACTGTGACTGGTGTGGGTTTCTTAGCTGTGGCACCCAAGGGCTCTGGGAATAGATCGTCATCAACTTCTTCGAATAAACTTTTCGGATTTGGCTTGGATGGTTTGGAAAGTTTGGGCTCAGCAAAGAGATCGCTACCTTCTTCTTCGTCGTCCGCGAAAATATCAGCGACGGGTGGGTTCGTTTTTTTAGTTTCGATCGGAGCTGGATCAATGTCAAGATCGAGTAGAGGATCTGCTACTTTTGCAGGTTCTGGTTGTGTCTCGGTCACCAAGAGATCAAGGGTAACATCAACGAGAGGAGTTTCTTTCGCTGGTTCACTCTCTGTTTTTTCAGTAACTTCAGTAATTTCAGTGATTGTCTCCTCTGCGGCAGACTCAACTGTCAAATCTAAAATCGGCGCTGCATCTTCTTTCACATCATTATCACCTCCTAGAAGATCGAAAAAATCTTCAGTTGTGTCGTTTTTGGAATCGGAGGGTGCCGGTTCTTCGGGGCTGTCGGATTCCGTGTTGGATAAGTCTTCGAAATCGTCCGAAGGTTCGCTCAAGACTTCTGCCATGGGTTTGCTGTCAGAGGGGTCGCTAACAGGGTCGCTAACTGGGTCGCTAACTGGGTCGCTAATGGGATCAACGAGGGGGTCGTTGAGGGGATCAATAAGGGGGTCAACAAGGGGGTCGATGGGTGACTCCAAAGAAGGGTCAGTGTTTTGGCTGGTGGCTGCAGGTGTGGTGTCAGTATCTGGTGGGTCACTCTGAAAAAAAAAAAAAAAAAAAAGTATTTAGGATCAGCATTTGACGAGACACCCATTTCGGCGTAGTCTCTTTAAATGACTTTCTAAATATGTTTCTTCTTAAAATATATCTTTAAATTACATATGGTTTTAGAATGAAGTTGTATTTTCACAATAAACCCTCAAATGTCCTGTGGTGTGTTATTTATCCCTACTTTAAATCTAAAAAATATATAAGCAGTTCAATGCTGTCATAAAAAAAAAAACTCTTCTGAAAACTTTTTTGAAACTCTTTGAACATGTATGATGTCCTGTGGTGTGGTGGCTGTATTTCCTAGGAAAAACACATTTTCAGTTGTTAAAAAAAATATTCTTGAAGATGTTACAGCTCAAGACATGTTAGGCATGTTAGTTCATTTATTAGAAATTCCTGACATGATAGATTTATAGTGGCAGCGGGGTGACAGGAGCACCACATGTTAAAATGTCTAAAAATAATAGTTACACAAAAACATTATGTGATGTTTGTGAGTTATTATTATTTACAATTGTTGAAGAACAGATTTGTTTTTGAAAATATTTTTTTGATTTTGCTACAAAGGCGTGTCACACCACAGGACAGAAAAAAAGGCATTACACTCCCAAACATCAAGCATCCATGTGGGTAATTTGTAAAACACTGCCACAATTGCTGGTTACTGTCTGATGATCACAATGTTTTATATGTCCATATAATTTAAGAGCAAAAGAGCCCAACGGTCTCGCCCACTTCAAAGTCCGCTCTGGTTGCAAAGTAAATTACACATAAATGTCTGTCATACACACAAAAATCAAATAGTAAGAGCTCAAAGGCACAAGGAAAACTAACCAACTAAGTGAAGACTAATATACATATCAATAATGGGGTTGCTTTCAGCATTTCAAAGTAAAAATTCAGTGAAATGTTTTAATAACTTTTCAGATTATAAAGTTTCAAAAATGGATTTTAAAGAAGACACATTGTTTTTGAGCTTGCAATATAGTTATAGAGTCACTCCAAATACAAATTCAGAGGGCCAATGAGAAGAGAAACAACTATGGTTAAACAGTTAATTTTGCATAATAGGTCTTGTGATCATTAGTTATCATATGATCAGCCTGATTAGCCCCAAGCTATTTTTTTTAAATTAGATTTTGACTTAATTTATAATGACGTCAAATTGCTGTCATTGGAGCACTGCTTTTGGACTACAGCTTCTCAAAACATAACAAACCAGCATGTGACTTTTATTTGTTTTTTTTATGTAAACACAAGGAAAAATAATCTAACAAGGCACAACATTATAACAATCTAACATTTTCCACATGTGTTCACAATCTTTTATTCATCTCTCTTTTCAAGCAAGTTCAAATCCAGCAAAAATCAAATTAAGGTCAGGTTAAACATTTGAGGATACTCCTTTTGGATATTTCTTGCAAAAAAATGAAAAATGCATTCACAATTGAACAATTTCGACAGATAAACCTTCTTAACAATTCTTAAAAATCTGCTTTAGTGTTACTAGGTATTACGCCAGATGCCCTTCCCCATGCAACCTTTTCTAGTTTGCCTGAACAGTGAGTGTCTTTGTCAGCCTTACTCTAAACCATTTAGCGAGAAACTTAGGTCAGCAATTACATCTGTTACATAATTTAGATGCATCACATCCTTCGGCCTGCACTGGAGCTTCTGACTGGAAGTTTCAAAACTCCAAATTGACCAATGCTGTTGTGAAATCAAGATTCCAGTTTTAATACTTCATAAAGCTTAAACTTGCAGGCAAATTCTATGGAAATACTCTGATTTACATCTTAAAATGCACAAAAAAACTACTAACAAAAGTACATACTCATTTGAACAAGTATCGACACTGCAAAAAAATCACGTTCGCAGGACTAAATCTGAGCTTTCATAGTTTTAGTATAATTATATGCCTTGAGCTTTATTAGAACAAATATAAGGCCTCGTGTAACCTAAAGGAATACTATTTTGTGTTGAAAATGACATTCTATACCTTAAAAACTGTACTGTAATTGGTATCGAGTATTGAGTCAGTAGAATCGAAACCAAGTTTGAAATGTTAGTATTGTGATAACACTACAAAATACTCATTTGAGCAAGTATCGATACAAAAATTTGATCTTTCCCGGACTGTTTTAGAATAATCTTGAGATTTATCAGAACTAGTACAAGACCATATGGTGAGTACTATTATCTTGTGTTGAAAATGACTATGTATGTCTATTGCAGTGTTGTTACGATACTACAATACAGATTCCCATACCACAATAATAAAAACATTCTTTAAAACAACAGAAAATAATATGCAGCATTAAATCATAGTACTTTCTTTTATATTCCCATGTGGTCTTATATCTGTGTAATCCCTCAGTTGTCCAGGTAGGTTCCATTCGTAATTTCGCATACTAGTCTACGTGAGGTAAGGTTAATTTCTGTCCTGTGAATGCAGTTTTTTAGTATTAAAACCTGCTCAAATGAGTATCTAGTTTCAATACTAGTTTCAGTAGTTATCGGTATCAGATTTTCCCCAATTTTTCAAGATTTTCAACCCTATAACAATGTAAACAAAAAAGACTCAATCCTACTAGATGTAACTTTAACTGTGCTGCTGAGGAAGTGACACTAATAAAAGTCCTGTCTTATCTCCTGACTACTGTTTATTCATGCACCACAATGAAATCAACCTCCCCAGCAGCTGAATCTGTTTAAGGGGGAACTGGTGACCATTTTGGGGATGAGTGAGATAGCAAAAATCATGTTATATTTTTAGGTCTGCAGTGGATTTAAGAAATTCTTGATTGACTAAAGACATGTCCTGCTGATTGATAAGTCAAGTAAAAGGGGGGCGTGGCAAAAGCTCTCAACACTATTATGTATATCTATGTATATGTCCCAAAACTGCACTCACAAGGCTACACCTGCACAGGTCAGGAGTTAAATTTATGCAGAAAAAAGTACTCAAAAATTTATTTTAGTTTCAATACAATTTTAAAGCTAAACTAGAGACACATGCTTCCTCTGAGAGTTCACACTTCACTATGATTGAGAAAAAGAAATGACTTAAGTGGATTTCACCATTGATCACCTGTGGTCTTTTTAACTGAAATCTGAATGTGCAGTATGCAACTTTTCTGACCTGCTATCACTATGCCTAGAATGTTCTAGTATGGCATTAAACATATCTAAACAAGCATGCAACACCACTGGGCCGAATTACAGGTCAGATCCATGAAGGGGTGACCCTACTGAAAGTAAGAATGTAGTTAAATAAATGCAAGATAAACAAGATTACTGGCATGCTATGGAACATTCCAAACAAAAATATACAATGATTCAATTGTTTCTACTGAACAAAATACAGTACTGTTGATCAAAATCACAGTTGAAACCACATAAGACCTCAAAATATGTACTTTTACTTTTATTTTTACTACTACTTTTTCTCTTTAAGTACATTTTGAAACAGGTACTTTTTTCATGTAATACATTTACTTTTACTTGAGTATTTTTTCTCCAGTATCTGTACTTTTACAAAATTGAGTACTTCTTCCACTACTGCCTCAAATGCATATAAGTGTGGTATTGAACAATTCTTGACCATCTGTTGCATAGTATACTTAGGCTGCTCTTATGGCATTTCATGACAAACTACAGACTCTACACATTACTGGAGTCAGCTATAGTTTTGGGTATACAAAAATGCTGACTAAACTTTTCCATGCACAATTGAGTTCACTCCAAGAGTGAAAAAAAAAAAAAATCAAAGACAGCAAATTCCCACTCTTTCCTGTGTGAACTTTGCCTGAGGATAAACATCCGGGTTCTGACCATGTGATCAGAGCCCACTCACATGACAGCAGGAGCCAGGTCAATGCCCATTGAGAAAAAAAATACTTTAAACTGTCAAATAACCGTGATTTTAGACGGTTTCTTTTTGTTAAAATCTTTTACAACAACATATATTACATTTTATACTTTTCAGACATATTTTTCCCTAATTCAAAGCTAAAATAAACGTTTATAGACACTAGAATGGGGTACCATCAAAATTAGGTCGTGCAAGTGAAAGTTTTAGAAATGATTTTACACATTTAAGTCCATTATCCCACATTACAACTGCAACTATGCTTTTAGTAAACATTAAGATTCATGTTGTAGTAGTTTTAGCTGAGCTGTTTGATTAATGCACAAGTTAAAGCCCGTAACTAACAAGATTTCAACTTTTTTAGCATGCGTAAAAGCAATGTAGCAGCAAATCACAGTAATAATGACAAGTAAACAATGAATAGTTATGCAATTTTCGTGCAAATGCAACGCAACTGGAGGCTGAAATGCAGAGATTGTGCAAACTTTTAGCTCTGTTGACAGAAATTAGCTGCGTAAAGGTTGGATGCCACTTCTTAGCGTCGCGTAAAATGCAATGCGACTCACGATGGTGCTCATGAACAGCTCGTCCCCCTCCTCGTCCTCGTCCCCGTAGTCGCTGTCCCGCTGTTGTTGTCCCACTTCCTCGGTGTCCATCAAAATATCCTGGTCCTCCGACTCTGGAAAAGGAGGAGGACTGCGCTCGGAGCTAGTCGCCATCTTTCGCAAATCTTTTTAAAGAAGAGAGGAGGCAACTCAATCCCGCTCCCTCTCTCTCCTTCCCCTTCAGCTAAACAGACACAGCTAGGCGCGCGTTCCGTCTTTGGATTTGCTTCAGCAATGTGAAGCTAATTGCTAAAGTGCACGGATGATGTTATAGGCTGGTTTCTGATTTGAAAAGCCCCAAAACAGAGCCAGGAAGACGGCGAGCAGGACGTGCAAAACCGCCTCTCTCTGCTTTTTACTTCCTGGTCCTCCCTGGCTGGCTGGCTGCTGTCAGGTAGCTAGCTTCGGGGTTAGCATTAGCTCTCCAAATTCTAGGCATTTCGACCGAGTAAGCGCGTACGCGTGGTTTTGGAGTCATTATGCAGATTTTTTTCATGTATATTTATATTTAGGAGTGATTTTCGAAGTGGTTAAGGTTAGAATAAAGAGCAGTTTTTAAATTATAAGGTTAAGATTAAGATGACAGAGAGTTTGAGTTTGTTTTTCAATGTAATTTTTTGTAGATGCATCAGAAATATCCGATTTGTCACGTTTTTCCTCGTATACAGTAGAAATCTTAAAATGAATTCAATTAACCGTAATATATGATCTACTAAATGTTCTATTTATTAATGATATCTATTTTTTATTTATTTTTATTTATTTTTCAGGTGAGTGACGTCGTGCATTAGACCCGCCCCCGAGCGAAATGCCAAAGATGTGGAGTTTCCAAGCTTCAGGCAGTCATGGGGACAGTCAGCTGAGCAAGTGAGGAAATAAAAAAAGATTATTGCTTCATTTTAGAGGCCAGTCTTCGCTTGATTTTTATACACTTCTTGGAATGTCTCGTCACATTTTTGTTAGAGATGCCGAAGCTAAAGAACCGCTGCTTACTAATGCTCGCCTGGAGACCAACGTGGACTCGGATGATGGCAAGTTATCACAACAACAACAACAATAACAACAACAACAGCTGCTGCAACTGCTACTGCTACTACTACTACTACTACTACTACTACTACTACTACTACTACTACTACTACTACTACTGTATTACTGTATATCAGATGAATTATGGCACTTTATTTTACAGTTTTAGATGAAAAGCTTTAAAAAGCAGACAATAATAAACCCTTTTTATTTGTATAATATATAAAGAAGTACTATGTCCTTTTTGAACTAGTCCTTATCTGGACTCTCATTATGGTACTGTTAAAGTTACTACTACTACTACTACTACTAGTACTACTAGCATGCAAAAAGTTGGTTTTTTTAACGTGATAATCAATACTATTCACTACTTAGTAGCCTCAAAATATTTATATTTTGAGCAAACTATGTAATTCTGTAACTTGTGTTGTTTGACTTGTCTATCAGGCAATACTACTAGCTTCTACTACTACTATTCTAATACAACTGCTACCACTATAAAGCAAATTAATTATGGCACTTAATCTGAAAGCTGCAGATCAAATATTTTAAAGTTATTGATGAAATGTTAAAAAACAAAACAAACATACATACATATTTTGACAAATGCTACTACTGCTACTACTACTCTACTAGTTTTTAGACTATACTAACTAACTACTACTTCTTAAACTTTTGCTAGGAAGCTTGCTTATGCTAGGGGGAAAAAGCCATTAAAAAATAACCATGGAAACAAGCACTCCAACAGAAAAGTTACACAATGCTTCTTTAGTAATGAACGATTTAACTGCTTCATTTTTGATTTTTGTTTCCAGGTGATGCTATTTTTGACAGAACAATAAACAAAGAAGATGAGCATGCCGAGAAACAATGTACTTTTGAGGAAGCAGTGGAAGAAGCAGGTATTGAAATACAGTACAATACACCCCAAAGTTTAGAGGAAATTTTGAATAATATGTCTGCAACATGGTAATTCACACATTTTTAGCGCACAAACTAGTATTACAGTGTGCTTATCTCTTATGCAAACATTACATAGTGTAATCATAATGACTTTGCTAAAACATGAACATAATATAAAAATGAAGCATACCTTTTGTGTATGACCAGCCATATCCCACTCTTAAATATTTTTTAAACATGAATAACACAAAATGTGAGACTTTCATGTGAGACTGTGAGTGGGGCTGCCTCTCCAGAGACTTGACATGTAACTTGGCCATGTGGCACCACCTGCTTGTCTGCACTGAGGTAGTTAAGTTTACGTATTGTGGAACATTACAGGCACAACAATGAGATCTCCATGGACACAGTGGCTAGGTGACCCTCTCTCAGAAAAGTTGTGTAGTGCCACAGACAAGTTAAAGGCATATATTTCTAGCCTTTTTTAAACAATATGCAGTAGTTATTCCTCACTTACCCCATGCATTCCAACTATCCTTCTTATTCACCACAATGAGTTTATAAGTGCTTTTAACAACTCACAGAGAACAGCGAGCAGTTTTTTGTGAAGGTAAAGTTCATAACAACAACTAGCATGCTAATGAGGTCTTCCTGAAAATCCTTTATAATTACATCAAGAGCTGCTAGATGTATAAATATATATAATTTTACTATATATCTGTGCTGGGTCAAGACAAATTTAGCTCAAATACGTGGGGTACAGGGCCTTTAAGTCCATTCCACGTTTGTTCCTGCAGGTTTTGGGGTGTTCCACTGGTTGCTGTTGGTGGTGTGCGGTTGGGCCAATGCCAGTGATGCCGTAGAGATCTTGTGTGTGTCTTTTCTGCTACCGACTGCCCGCTGCGACCTGAACCTCTCGTCCTCAGACATGGGCATCCTCACTGCCAGCATCTTCCTGGGTAAGAATGTCTTTGGATATTCAGTATACAACTGGGCAAAATTATTTCGGAAAAAATATACAGAAACTTTTTTTGTTTTATTCATAGGACTATCTTTGTCCATTCTCCATGTATGCATCCATACATGTACATCAATATTAATACATACTAGGGCTGCAAGATGAATAATCTTAATCCAATTGCTTTCACAATTTGGTCGCAATAGCAAATAAGTACCATAAACAACAAAAATGTGTATTCTGAATATAAACAGGTAGTTTTAAGACTATCAACGAATGTATACTCAATATTGGGCAGGGCATGGATAACTGAGTGCTCTGATGTAACTGACCATAAAGCTATTTTCTGCTTGGTAGGGATGATGGTGGGAGGCTACATGTGGGGCTACCTGGCGGACCAGAGGGGGCGCTGTAGGGTCCTGGTGGTGTCCCTCAGTGTGAACGGTGTGTTCGGGGCACTGGCCAGTGTAGCTCCAGGCTTCTGGCTTTTCCTTTTGCTGCGGTTCATCAGTGGAATTGGGTGAGTGTAAAATTATAATGAAAACACATATGCTGTGCATTATTTGGGCTTAGTAAACTTATTTCAACAAACATCTTACCATTTAAATATCTATGAAAGCAAAGCCCACTTTAATGTCTAGAAATATTCAAACTCTGCCAATGCAGCCAGGTGTTTGGCATCAGAAATACATGGCTGTAATAAGGGCAGTCCTGTGTGGTGTTGCGTAGTACTTGAAAGTGCAGTAGCCACTAGAGTTTTAGAATTAGACACAGAGTTTCAGTTATGCCTAATTTGCACTAAAACTGGTTAAAAGAATGGTAGACACTACAAAATACCATATACAAAAGTGTATTTATTGTTTAGTTGCACTTTAAATCAAGTATTGAATGGCACAGTCACTTTTGTTTGGTTGCACCGTTTTTCTGACCCCAAATAACCATTTGTGCAGAGCAAAACAACTGGTGTATAAATACATCATGGCGCCTGTGGAGATCTGAGTCTGGGAAAGTGGGAAATTCAATAAAAATCGAGTTTTGAGCCCAGCCACAAATGTTGAATATTAAAATCTTGTTTGTGTGTTTGTCTCTGCAGGGTTGGTGGTTCGATTCCTGTTATTTTCTCATACTTCTCTGAGTTTATGCCTCGTTTGAGGCGAGGGGCAATGATCAGCGCTCTGGCCACTTTTTGGATGGGTGGAAATATACTGGCAGCAGGTACAAAGCACTAAACACATAAAGCTCTGGCTCAAGACAGGACATATTAGTTTTGATCTACTTTTAGACATTCTGTACAATTTAGAGATGCATGGGGGAATGTTTCATAGTGTGGTATTAAATTATCTATCTTCCTCAAATGTATTATTACTGATGCTTTTATTGCTAAAAAAATATTTAAATTGAGAAGGGTCCCTCTATTGACATGGTATCTCCTTTGAGATAGGCAGGTAGCAGACATCTACCCAAAAACTGTAACCAAACTGTAGCCAAAACAGCAAATGATTATACGAGTTTATCTAATCTGTATATCAATCTATTGAACTACTTTTGTCAGGGAATTTACCCCAGACTCAATCATTAAAGAACAATCCAGAGACACAGTGGTTCATTTTACTTGCGCAAGGAGTAGAAGAGAACTACCTGCCTCCCTAACTCGAGCTCTCTTCTCCCCACAGCACTTTTATTGTTAAGCATCACACAATAACCTTGACATGATTATACGACATGTTTTACAGTTATCTCTGACTAATGGACTACAGCTGACAATGCATCCGATTACATACGTCATATCATAGTGTACATACAATCTCTTCTTAGCCCAATTTATCCCGTGTCAGCCCAATTTTATTTACAATCATTAGTTGATTTTCTATAATGTTATCTTAACTGGGTCGGCTGGTGCATCAGCAGCTCAGCTGATGTTTTTGTGGTTACATACAGTTTTGAACAAAGCACAAAGCAATTTTGGTAATCTTATATTGTACAATGATTAAACATAGATTAATACTTTTAAAAGAATTGATGTGTTTAAACCTAGATTAACACTTAAAATGACTTAATGTCTCATGATCCAAAAAATTCTATAACAACTTTTCCTTTTTGCAATGTTTTGTATCCTGTACATTGAAGATAACCTGCTTTTTAGCTCAATTTACTTGCGTTTTTATTGAGAAACATCCAGTGACAGGAAGCATTAATAATATTTAAACGAATTCTGCACAGAAAAAAATGTTATAGGGGAGGAGAATATTTCTTAATGTAAGATGTAAGTGTGTGTGAGTGAGTGACAGTTTTGTGACACACATCGACTCTAAATATCTAAAACGTCTTCCTCCTTTTTGTGTTTAGGTCTGGCCTGGTTGGTGATTCCTCGAAATTGGGCTCATTTCGAGAGCTGGAGACTGTTCGTGGTGCTCTGCTCTGTCCCCAGCCTCAGCTCAGCTCTGCTCTTCAAAATCCTGATGCCCGAAAGCCCCAAGTTTCTCATGGAGGTAACTGAGGAGAAATCAATGACTTTGTTTTCTGAGTATTGATACTTTGCACAGTTTGCAGTGACATAACGCTGGGGTGTTCTACATGTATTTCGATCAGTGGAATGCACACATTAGCCAACACTGAAAAAACTCAAATTAAAATACAAAATGGCTTTAAACACCTTATTTTCTGGGGACTGTGATCAATACGAACGTTCATAGTCCTGTTTAGGTGTTTGACTTTCAACAAAAAGCTGAGAACTGAAAAACTGCTAATACTAATTAGCTTGGGACTGTAATTTTATGTGAGAGACATTTTTAAGCACAGGAGTCATATCACCTGTAGTTCCAACCAAGTCAGCTCTGTTGAATAACAGAGCTTCAGACAGAGTAGTGCTTTCGGTTAGCTTCACACCCCCAGAGAATGTTGATGACATCAGCTGCATAGTATCAGTATAATTTACCAAAGTCAGTTATAGAAATGATATATAAATAGAAATTATAGAGGAATATTGTTTACAAAAATATCAGATATTCACTACAGCTGCGTACCATCTGCATCTAATTATGGAGCATTTTATTGTTAGAAAATTAGGAAGTGCACCTTAGCATACTAGCTGTTAGCTTTACCGTCGTTGCAAATCTCCACTCTGGTCTCTGAAAGTTGAAAAGCACAAACTCATCATAGTGAATAATCAGGATGCTCTGAATGCATAAGGCATGTGAGGAATAAATTTAGACCACTACAAATGGTTGAATTTGTAGCCCACAGCACATTTTACCTAGCCAGGCTGGCGCTACTTAGTGCCTCCTCTCAATTTCATTTCTCTCTAGTGACTAGGTCAGGAATCAGAATACACTAGACGGTTTGCAAGAACCCTGGAAGTTGCAGACCACACACCAGCCAATGAGCAAAAAGCTGTGAAGCCATGACGTCAAACTCAAGTGCCTATCTGGGTCCTGTTTGTGCTACAGCACAACAGTAGACAAAGCGGTCGAGATGGATGTAGACAAAGTCATACATTCTGTGTTGGCAACGATTCCCGAGATCGAGGATTTAAAGCTGGAACAAAGAGAATGTTTAGTAAATTTTATCAAGAGGAAAGACATTATTGTCCTTCTTCCTACGGGATTTGGCGCATTACATATGTCACGACCAAATAGCAGCGATTGGTTAAATAAAAAAAGTACCCGCCTACTGTCGAGCGAACGAATCCCATGAATCGGGCTACATTTTACCTGCCCCTATTTCAATAATAAACAATGGACAAGAGATTTATATTATGTTGTTATGTTGTCTTTCATTTCTTTATTTTTTTCTTCCAGACTGGACAGGAGAAGGAGGCAGCTTGTGTCTTTCAGCTGATGTTTAAGTTGAACACATGGGGTAAAGGAAAGAGAAAGGTACAGTTAAATACCTTAGAATATCATACAAGAGTTACATTGTGCAATTAGTTTTATTTTAAGGTACAATTTGTAACTTTTCTGCCACATGCTTGTCTATATGGAGATGTTAATGCTTTGATTAAAATGTTCCACAGTATGGCATTAAACCTACACTAAGTTTGGATGCACAAGTTTTATTTAGAAGATATTGTAACTGTCTCAGTTGCTACTGAATACTTGAAAATTAAAGAAAAGAGTTAAATGTGTTTTCATTTTAAGTTTGTTTTTGTACTTTTCTTCAAAAGGAATTTGCCTTAAGCGTTACTACAAGAAATGACAGTAACACAACAACTTTACAGAAAGAACAACTCATCGATGTTTACAAAAAGGTACGCATTTTCTTGAAAACTTTGGAAAAATAAGAAGTTGATACTTGATACTGGTTTGTGAAAAGAATGAGGCCAGGAATGTAATAAATACAAAGAGAGATTTCCGAAGCACATCATGTCATGTGGACATGTTTCGACTACAAGGGTCTCGTTTCTCTTTCCTCTTCTTGATTCCTCTCCTCAGTTCTGCAGGAAATGGGTGAGGAAGACCCACCCACAGAGGAGACACAGGGAGGAGAGAGGATACAAACTGAGACCAATAAAGAAGCTTCCGTCATGTTTACTCCTTCATTCCGTGGTTTTCTTTGGGACACCACTTAATATGACACTTTTGACTGACACCTGAAAAATGGAGGATCAAGGAGAAGGAAGCGAGGAAAGAGAATTGAAACGCAGCCATGGTGTCTTTTTCAGGGCAAATACAGCACAAGTGAACAGGCAGCTCTTTAGATGTGTTGTGAGTCATGTGATTTTAATTAAGGTCATGTGACATAACTGAACATGCCATGGCAAAAACGACAAAACAAATCCACAACAAATCACCTGCCACTGTAATGAAACATCGAGTAACAATGAATGTGAGTCAGAAAAAGCTTTTTCTGATGTGACTCACACTCACGATTCATTTAAAGAGCTGCCTGTTCACCAGTGCTGCATTTGCCATACTCTTTGTAGTCGAAACGTGTGGATGTTTTTGTAATAAATGCACATAGCTAACACTATCTCTTCTTTTTTGTCAGTTAATTTTTATTGTAAATTTTGCAGAAGAATAGAACAAAAACAAGTACAGTTGGCAAGAAATTTAACACCCATTTCCATGAAAAAAAATCACTCTGGAATGGTGCACAGTTGTGTATATATAGAGCAGAGCAAACCACCAACTCAATGTTGTTACGATATTTAGACCATTTCCCCCATCTTGTGTAATACGTTTCTTCAATTGATTTTAACCAGACCTCTAGCAACAGTGGCTCTGATTAAAGTCATTTAGGTGTAACTGCCTTTTTAGCACAGGCAGAGAATGCTGAATAACTATCTGACATTGTTTGGTAAATTAGATATATCCCCCATGTAAAGTGTCGTCACATTTTGAGGAACAGTGACACCGATTATTTGACCAATTGTTGTTGTCCAATTATTTCTCCAAAATGTAATGTAGAATATGTGTAGTAAAGTTTGGTGAGCCTGATTATCTCCACAATCCCTCCAGTATGAAGAGCTGTTTGGATTCCAACTATCTCTCTTTTCATTCATATTTAGTTTGTATTTTATTCTTCTAATTGCAATGATTTGTGTCTTTGTTTTAGGCTCTGTCTCCTGTCAGAGAGATGTTTAAAGGTGTGTTAAGGACCCGGAGCACAGCTTTACTCATCGTCTTCTACTGCATCTCCTTTGGGTGAGATCTCTGCCCCTGTGTCAACTTTTATGCCCGCTTATGTTCTGTATTTTATTAAATTAAATGTATTAAATATTTGTTTATTAGACACAGCATCAAGAGACACACATGTACAGTACCAAAGAAAGACTTGCCCATGATAAAGAACATCTAAAATATAAGTTGCTAGGGTAGGGGGTAGGTTCATGTTGATAAAATAATGCACTAAAATATGGAATAGAAAATATATCAGACCACAGACCAGACAGATAAACCAGTATTTAAGGGCCCATATGTGTTCATATCTCAGACTGAAACAACTCTGCTCCACCAGGTTTTTGTTGAGGTTACAACATTATAACATTGAACATAGAAAGTGAGACAAAGCCTGAACACTTAACTCCCAAACTGCTTTTAATGAATGACAACATTTCGATCAGTGGATCTTCGTTAGGTCAAAACCTGACAAAGATCCGTTGTCATTCAGTAAAAGCAGTTTGGGAGTAAGTGTGCAGGCTTTGTCTCACTTTCTTACAACATTATAACAAGTCTTAAAACTCACAAGAATCCATTTTGTGTAATATAAAACATAAGTGAATGATGAGTTGAAATAAATATATCACACTTTTCTATACATTTTGTTATATTTCATTTTTGACTTAAAGGTGCACTGTAACCAAACCCCACTTTTTGGTTGGGGGTTCGTCACCTGCTTGTTTCTATGGATATGTCACTGCTCTGTCTGGAATGTTCCACAGTGTGACATTAAATAGCTCTACTTTACATTTATTCAATTACAGGTGATTTTATATCTCAAAAATACCTAGGAAAACAGACATTCTGACTGTGAATGGGGTCATCTCTCCACAGATCTGACCTTTAACTTGCTCTGGTTTGGTCTCCATAAAGATAGAAAGGTTTAATGCGATACTGTGTAACCTTCCAGACAAAGCAATAACATCTCCATGAAAAAAACAAGCATTTGACGGGCCCTCCACCAGAAAAGTTACACCATGCACCTTTTAACTTTGTGCATGTGTTATTCTTTTGTCACTTCTCTGTTGAATATGTGACGAGCTGATTCATTGGAGCCACAATGGGACATAAGATAAAGAGGTTGAGCTTTTTTATCTTTAGCTCCAGATTGCAGAAGAGCAACTGAAGAATTTCACACATGGATACATTTATGGTGATCACAAGTCTTCAAGTTTACAAGACAATATTTCTGCATTTCTGAGTTAAATTTTACAGTCTATTCATGTTTTGTGCGATGCTTCAGCCTCAACCAAGACAGTTAGTGGTACATTTTAGAACATTCCTCATGAATTGCCATAATTAGGTTTGGTTCACATGATAGAGCTGAACATTTTAGTATCCCTATAGTTTAAAGTGCCCATATTACCTTATTTTCTGATCTGTTATAATGCTGTTTCCTCATCATAAACATACCTTTAGTTGTGTTTTGTTTTCATACATTTAACACTCAATTCCTGCATATTTGACCTGAGTTTTTTCTCAAATGGAAAATATTCTGTGATGTCTTGTGGAAATAAAGGAACTATTTCGCTGTGTTTTTCAACTCCTACTACACCTACATGACATCACAAGGTGGAAGAGAGCATTTTGAGCTTGGGAGATGTAGACTTGTAAGGCAACGTTACTCAAACATGTGTGAATGAAACCAAACACAACTCCAGGTATGTTTTTGAGCATGACAGCATGTCAGTTTTGCCTTTAATATGGAAGAGTTAAATGGAATGAAAAGTCAATACAAGATACAAATCATGATACATTTTTACCCAGCCTTAAGATCAGACAATTTACTAAATTTTTATGTCAAAATATTTCTTTTGTAGATTCTATGGCTTGTGGATGTGGTTTCCGGAGCTGTTTAAAAGAGTGGAGGATGGAGGCTCTCCTTGTGCCAATGTATCCAAGACGTACTCACTTCACAATGAGAGCTGTTACCCAGTGAAGACGGCAGGTGCGTGACTGACAGGAGAATACTGCTTTCACTCTTAGATGGGGTTATTATGTTAAAATTACAATAGTGGGTTGTGAGGATAAATCAAGTTATATTGATTGATTTCTATGGAGACAAGCAATTAGTGGACCCTTCAACAGAACAGTTGGATAGTGCACCATTAATCATTAACTCCATATACTGTATATACAAGGACATAAAGTGAGCATGGGGACTCTGGCTTCAGTTCACTTAATTTTGAGAAACTATCATCCCTCTGTCTGTAACTGCTGCTTTCTGGTTGATTACTTATGGGCTTTGTGTCTCGTCCTAAAACTGATCAAATATTTGTCCTTTGTCTCAGTTTACATGGAGGGCTTCTTCATCGCTGCGTCGAATCTGCCTGGAAACATCTTCACCATCCTGATGATGGACAGCATGGGAGGAAAGGCTCTTCTGTGTGAGTATAAGATTTATGTTAATGAAAAATGAAGAGACAAGAGCACAGTCCAGTTTTTAGAACCTTACTTTTTCATGTTATTTTAGTCATCTTCTTTTCATTTTTTATCCCCACAAGGACCAGAAAAAAATTCCCTATACCACATAAAGAACCCAAACAAACTGAAATGAAGTTGATAAACGGCACTGTGTGTAGCCTGTGCTCTTGCTGTTTTTAAAAATGGTTTTACAGTCACAACTGAACTTGTGATGTTAGAGCCTTAACCTGCAGATTGAGGACACAAATTTGTCTCATTCTCAGTTTATGGACAGGCCTCATGTGAAAGCTCAGAACCTCTAGAATTCCCTCCCTGAGCTGCAGAGGCTGCACTACTGATTCATAACTGGTGCAGGTGCTGGAGTTTAGGTAGTGACCATTCAGATCAGAGAGACATTTTAGGTTAAACCCAACTGGATTTTAGCATTAAAACTGGTTACTCAAATGAGACAGTCATGTAAGGCTCATTCTGCTTTCTGATTGGATAATTGTCTTGAGAAACAAAACAACAAAAATTATAATGAACAACCTGGCAATGTTTATTGTTTTGTAATAACAATAAATCAGCATTAGCATCAATTTTCAGTAAAAGTTCCTTTTGAAAGTGCACTATATAATTTCTTTGCCTTAAATGTGTTATTGTTTGGCATTTAGCTTATCTCCCTGTGAAAGCGTTTCATTAAATCCACATGTCTCTCTGCAGCCTTCAGCCTGATGCTGTCTTCTCTCAGTGTGTTCCTGATCTTCCTGGTGCAGACCAAAGCTCACACTCTGCTGCTGTCCTGTGTGTTCAGTGGAGTGTCTGTCATCTCCTGGAACGCTCTGGACGTGGTGGGCACAGAGCTCTACCCTACTCACCTCAGGTACACGCTGTAGCACTCTTCTCTTCATTACTTCAAATGAAAAGTCACTTCACATTCACAACACCAAGGGCATCTGACATCAGCTCATCTGATACAAAACAAATTCTGAACCAGTGAATCATTCAATTCCATGGCTGCTACAAATGTCATTATTTGCAGTTCTTTTAACAGAGATTATTAATTTTGAGGTTATGCAGAGGTGAATTTAGAGCTGTGAATTGAACATGGAATGGAATTTTACCCTCTGAATTTTTACTGTTGTGTTTGAGGCCTTGAAAATATTTACATTGAATATTTAAAAGGTGAGTTTTTCCATTTGAATTTTGAAACAGAGTAAAACACAATGAGCAAATGGAGCAACTGAAATTCAGAATAAAAACATTTTTTAGATTAAAACAGTTCATATTGAGAAATTTACCAGCATTTAAAATGCATTACCTTTCATACACGAGGAGATTAAGAAACAAAATGGTTAATATAGTAAGATCCATTTAAAAAGCCCTAAACATGTTAACAGTGTACTAAACAACTAGATCACACCATGCCATGCAATGCTCTAGTCTATTCAAAGTGCCTAGTATTTTTTTTTATTGAAGACTTTTAAGATATAAAATCTTTGTTCTTCCTAGTTTGACTGTTTCAATTTATTTTATCTGGACAAGAGCAGCAGATATACAGATGTATTTTTTTTCTGTGTTTTATCTGCTTATTTATGTTTTTGTTTGTATTTAATTTTTCAATGCATCTTTCTTCGTTCTATAAAGCACTTTGAATAGACTTAGACAAAATTTATCCACAAGGGATAAAATGTACATGGTAAATATACATGGTAATAATACATTAAAATTTGTAGCAAAAATAACAAGAGGCTGGTGTCAAATAAGGCTTAAGTATACAAATGTATGTGTACAAGTAAAAATCAAATGTAGAAATATAATAATACAAAACATAACTTGTCTATATACAAGAATATACTAAGAATTACAAACTTGCCTTGTTTTCTCCAAGTCATGCTCATGAAATTGAAATAATGATAATAATTTCACTGTATACATTGATTCTGACCCGCTTTTGTCTGCTCCAGGTCGTCTGCTCTGGGCTTTTTCACTGGAGTGGGCAGAATAGGGGCGATTATGGGTAATGTCGTTTTGGGCGTCTGGTGGACTCACACTGTGCGGTCCCCGTGCTGCTGGTGTCTGGACTCCTACTGACCGGAGGATTCTTCGCTCTGCTACTGCCACAGACCAGACAGACGGAGCTCACATGATCACACTCCATAACACGCCAGCATCTCATTTAGTTTCAAAAGTATTCCACTTTTTCTGCTTTATACAAGTTTAATTTAAATTGCCCATATTGCACTGTTTTCTGATCTATGCTATAATGTTGTTTCCTCATCACAAACAGACTGGAGTTGTGTTTTGTTTCATTCACACATGTTTAACACTCAAACTCTGCATATTAAAGAGTTCTTCTCTCAAACTGAAAACACTATGTTCCACCTCGCGATTTCTCCTTCACTAGAATCATTTGAATAATTTACAGCCCTGGAATTGTTTATCTCTACTGAACAAAATGTAAAAAGAAGCATTAACATGAAAACTAACACTGCATCTCATCACAAGGTGGAACAGAGCATTTTGAGTTTTGGAGATGTAGACGGACTGATAATAAAGAATTTCTCAGAAATGTGTGAATGAAACAAAATACAACTCCAGCTGTGTTTTTCAGGAGTGTAGTGGACCAAACAAAAAGTCAGAGACAAGGTATAAAAATAATTTTAAATTTAATAAAGTCAAAAATGGAGATAATTTAACAAAGGCTCAAATTAAGCAAATCATGAACAAAAAAAAGCCGGGCCCAACTGGGGGAACTTAAATCAAACTGAACAGAACAAAACAAACCCAACCAGACAAAGAACAGGGGTGTTTAAATACATGAGGGTCAACTAAAACTGAACACAAGAGAATTACACTAAATAATTAACTAAAACTACTAACTTAATCAAAGTAACAAGAAGGCAAATAATTATAATACAGAAAGTAATAAGTGATAATAAAGTGACCTTAATGCACCTTTGTTGAGTCATTCATGGTTTCTCCCAAGGGTCCTCCATCCAGCACTCAAAAAAACAAAAAACCCAAAATGAACAAGTGTAAGTAAATAATTCAAACTTATATTAACTAAAATGTGTGCACCCAAATTAGAATATAAGTCTAATTAAAGGAATTAAATTACTGTGATGTAATTAAATTAATGTAAATGAAATGAAATAATACTGACACTATGGAGTGGTGGCAGAGGTAACAACATTTTAACACTTTACATTTTTTTTGTTTTCAGTTTTGTGTAATATAGAACCTTTAAATGGTATTAACTTAGTAGTGAAACAATTTCAATCACATCTTTCATTATAGACAGTATTATCACTTTTTTTTAGATACAAGTAAAGGCTAATGTGAAGAATCATTTTGTGGTGAAGAAATTACATTTAAAGGTGCGCTATGGGGTCCCTCACCTGCTTGTTTCTATGGGTATGTGATTGCTCTGCCTGGAATGTTCCACCGTGTGACATTAAACAGCTCTGCCTTACATTTATTCAATTACAGATGGTTTTACTGCTCAAAAACATCTGGGAAAACGGGCATTCTGACACAGATCAGACCTGTAACTTGGTCTGGTTTGGTCTTTGTGAGGATGGAAAGGTTTAATGCCATACTGTGAAACATTCCAGACAAAGCAGTAACATCTTCATGGAGAAAAGCTACCAGAAAAGTGACACAATGCACCTTTAATGAGAAGGTTCTTATGTTTTGTGTGTGATATTTGAGCATTTCATTTTGCAAGAAAAACTTTACACTTAGACTTGAGATTTGCCTTATTTAATATTGAGAAGTGCTATAACGTGTACTAGAGCTGCTCAGTATGACTAAACATGACATTTTATAACTATTTATTATGGGAATTATGAGTTTGTTTTTCAGTGTACTTTTTCAAACAGTAAGTTTAGTGAAGTAATTTACGTTTTATTTTTATAATTTCTCTATGTAGGTTGAAAGTGAGGGGCTAAACAAGACCAAAACAGACCAAAAAGTGCCTAAAAATGTAAAATAATGATAATAATTGCAATAGTTATTTATGGTGTAGTTGTTATGAGTAACAGCTAATATTACACTATTTTATGATGTCCTAATGTTGTTTCCTCATCACAAATAGACCTGGAGTTGTGTTTTGTTCCATTTACACATGTTTAATGCACAAGCCTTGTGTATTTAGGCTGAGTTATTCTCACAAACTGAAAACACTTTGTTCCACCTTGTGATGTCATGTGGTAATACAGGAAGTGCTCCAATCGTTTGAATTATTTCACTCCTGGAATTTCCAATCTTTACTAATGGTAAAATTTAACTGTTAACTTGAAAATGAGGTGGAAGGTCACAAGTTGGAACAGAGCATTTTGAACTTTGGACATGTAAACAAACTAATAATAAAAGATTACTCAAATGTGTGAATGAAACAAAACACAACTCCAGGTCTGCTTTTGAGAAGGAAATGACGACAATCGACAATATTAGATGTGCTTAGTTGTAGGGAAGGTGTTCAAGGTGTCTATGCAATTGTCTTATCTGTGAACTAAAAGGCCTTCTTTCTATCTTTCATTTTCCAATTCTGTATTTGTAGCGCACAAAGGATCAATCAAACATTCCAGGCATTTTGTAATATATATAATGTCTATGATGCTTTAAAGCTGATATAACCACTCCAGATTACCAAAGGATATTAATGAAAGTAATGAAATTATATTTGTTGATTTGTTAAAATAAAGATATTGTTTTGTATTTTTGTGTTTTTTTATAGCAGGTGTGACTAATTACAGTACAATACTACATTTTATTTAACACATTTTTTATATTTGACGGTTCTGTATTAAGCAAAATGGATTCTTAAGTAACCCTTTATTATTATTAGTTTTATTATTACATCTCCAAAGCTCCAAAGGCTCTGTCTAGTAATATCATGTAGTGGTAGTTTAAGTTAGCAGCTATCTTTTAACTTTTGTTCAGTAGAGATTGGCAATTCCAGTTCTCAAATCATCCAAATCATCCTAGTCTTTACATTAAATTTCTTGCATTCACACAAGTTTAACACACAAACCCTGCATATTTAGAGTGATGTGATTTTAAATGTGTGAATGTCTGTTTGTGATGAGGAAATAACATAACAGATTAGAAAACAGCATAATTGTTCCTTTAAGAAAACTTGTATAGTCTTTTCCATACTACCGTTGCATTAGCTGATGTGAGAGGACACAAGGCAGAGAAATGAACTTAAAAAAAAAAGCAAACAGGACATCACAATCAGACTTTTGAATAACTTTATTTGTATAATAAATAGACTACTTCAGGAGCACAGTTCACACACAGACTGATGGGAGGAGTTTGTACATTCTTAGAGCCTGTACTGCAGTGACCATGACCATGATTTCTATTGTTTGTTAGATGGACTAACTGACCTTACACTGCCATCTGAAAACAGTAAAGTAATGCTTGGATTATCTGCAACCCTTCAAAACCAAAATGCAATAGTTACCAAATTTGCGATACATTTTTGAATCAAGAAATGAGTGGCCAAAACTAATTCCATTTTGTGAGTAAGAAAGTTTGAATGTTAAAGACACAGTATGTAACTTTCTGGAGCTGGCACGTCACCTGCATAATTCCATGGAGATAGGAAGTTGAAACACATCTCCATGGAGACAAGCCCTCCTCCAGAACAAGTAAGAGTTCAGATTTGTGGAGATGCAAGCCTGCTCAGAGTAAGGACAAGTCATTTTTCAGTGCAATAAATACAACCAAAATGAAAAAAAATAAAATAAAATCCTGTAATTTGTTTTGCTAAAAGTAGTGATGTATTGAGACAGAATTGACATTACAGGTCAGATCTGTGGAGAGGTGACCCTGCTCACACTAAGACAACATGAATTTTTGAGTGATTAAAAAAAAACAAAAAAATGTGTAATTGAATAAATGCTAGGCAGATAATTTTAATGCCCTACTGTGGAACATTCCAGTCAAAGAAATAACATCTCCATGGAGGCAAGCAGGTGCCGAGCCTCCACCACAAAAGTGACATAGTTCATCTTTAATTTTAAGAATGTATTTAGTTTTTTTGTGTTTTTTCCCAACTTTAAATAAATTGTAAATACTTGTCAAATTCTCAACCTTACAGTCATTTAGAATCGTAAAAGCTCTTTGGTTTTGAAGGGTAGACTAGCTGGGACAACTCAAAGACTGTATAAAAAAGTGGACTAAGAGAGCGTGACATCAGCTGTAGTGCTTGGCTCCAGTCAAATAAAGCTCACCGAGGCTAACAGTTATGTGGGAATTTGGAGTCGAGTTCCAAATTAGGAATTGATTTACAGAAAATCGCCAAATAAAAACACCAGGATCATACGAAGCAACCTTCTCAAAGAAAGTGAACTGTACCCGGACTCGATGGAGCCAGAACCGCGCCCATGCTCACTTCCTATTTCGAGCTCGCGGCTAGTGGCTTAGTCCATTTTTATATACAGCCTATGGCTCAACTGCAACAAAAAGAAATCAATTACATTCAAAAACATTCAACACATTAAAGTTTGTAACAAAAACAAGCTGCCAGGTGATGCTTGGCTTTAGACGTAACAAGGCCATTTCAAAGACAAGAAAAGAAAAGTGAATCGGTAACATTATTTGCATGTCAGGCTTCAGTTTTGTGGACAATATTGATTTTATATTCTCAGACACACGTTCATGCACACGCCACACTTGTAGTACTTTTTACATATAGAGCAACTTTTGTACAAGATTTGAAATGCCCTCCTGTCCTGACCTTTTGGGAAAATATGCTAAAATATGTAAGCTAAAGGTAAATTAATTAGGTTAGAGTTGATGTTTTTCGTTCCATTGGAATTACATTGGGTTGTGAGGGAAACTAAGGCGATGCATTTTCTAAAAATATACTTACTACTATGTAACATTATTGAAAGGCCCTGTACTTGATTTTTTTTTTGCCAGTCTATGTCAGGTATGAAGTCAAAAATGCGTGCTGTCTGGTTCTAATTATGTGGTTCTCAGACAATAACGTGCTTTAAAGACAAGGGTGACAAGAATTTCAAATAAAAAACTGGGAAATCCTTGTTTTACTGGTTGGTAATAATAAAATTGTAAAACGAGTGCATGATTAAGGAAAACTGTTATGCAGAGATCATTCAGGACTAATATGTGAGCCAGTATAGACACATTTTCTTTGTATTTTGGTTGTTTTTAAGCAGATATTTTGTATTTTATCTAACCAAATTACAATTTATGCCTCTCCTTACTATTGGCAGGTATCAAATTGGTCAAAAATAGAGACACCTGGGACATTTGTTGTATAAAACTGGGACAAATCACTTGTTTTGGATACATTTTCTGGGACAGGGGGACACAGAGCTCAAAACTATGACTGTTCCAGGTAAATAAGAACGTCTGATCACCCTAACATAGACTGTATGAAGACGTGAACTAAGTGAGTGTGACATCACCTTTAAAGTTTAGCTCCAGTCAAATGAAGCTCATCGAAGCTGGCAGTTATAGGGGCGAATTCTGAGCTGAGTTCCATATTTGGAATTCCGACCGCAAGTATCATAGCAAAGAGCCGATCCGGAGCGAGGCTATTGATTATAGCGCCCCTTAAAGCCTGCACATCTGGTTTAGCTGACAGTGAGGAAAGAAGGCACCTGATTTGTCTGTTATTAATGTTCATACCTTGATTTACGGACAGAATAGCGAAATAAAAACATGTAGAGCGGGTTAATACGAACATTTTAAGACCAAATGAGTCTGACAGCAGCAGTTAAGGAAAGTGGGGCAAGAGTTTTTCAATACAAAGTGAATTAGAGCCAGAGTCGATGGAGCCGGAAGCACACCCATGCTCACTTCCTCTTTGGAATGTGGCAGTAGTTTTGTTAGCTTTACCATCACTGCACAACTTTGCTCTAGTCTCTGAAAATTGTGAAAACTTTTAAAATTCAGTTTTTTCATGTTTATGTTTTTAAGACAGTAAAAATCAGGTACAGCTCCTTTAATATTTATAGACTTTGTATTGTTGTGTTTTGTGCTTAGTTTGGGGTGTTTAGTTCAATTAACGGCAAACATTTTAGGGAACTACAGCAACTTACGTAAAAGATATCATGTTTTGTTTTCAATTTTTAATAGGTATGGCAACGGTCCGAATTTTTCATCTTTCTGAAACCCTTGGATACTCCAAAATACATTTGATTTATGACGTATAGGCTATCTTGTTGTCTTTCTTACTAAAATAAATAAATAAATAAAATGCTACAGATGCGGTAGAGCGGTACATGTCCAAAGTCGCAGACAGGGGGCGCCGCTGTTACTATCCCAGGACACTTCACTGTGTGAGAGCTTGCAGGATTTCTTTCACCAACATGGTACCGATCAGCATCTTGTCGCAGTTGACGGTCAGCTGTGCAGCGCCTTCCTGTTTGGTCGCCACGGTGACCAGGACCAGGCTGTTGCTGGTCACGGTCCGGGCGGCGAATCTGTGAATGGGAAATTCAGGAGGGACAGGAGGGCTGAAGGTTAGACGAAGCAAAGCAGATCGGAAATACAGAAAAAAAGTGTTAAGTAGTCTAGGTAGTAGTCCTAGTCAAAGTAGTATTAGTAAAAGTTGGTAGTCTATAGTTAGTGGTACTGGGGTCTAGTTTACCTAAGTCTAGTTAGTTAGTCAGTTTAGTACTGGTTTACCTAGTCCTTACTAGCTGGTACTATAGTCTAATTAGTCTAGTCTAGTACCATAGTACTGGTAGTATAATATTAAGTCTAGTACCCTATAGTTTACCTAGTTTTTAGTCCTCCTGGTTTAGTCTAGTACCTGGTTTAGTAGTCTAGTTTACGTCTAGTAGTACCTAGTCCTAGTCTAGTACCTAGTTTAGTCTAGTAGTTTACCGTCTAGTACTGGTTTTAGTCTAGTACCTTAGTCTAGTACCTGGTTTATCTAGTCCTGGTCTAGTACCTAGTACCTGGTTTTGTCCCGGTCTAGTACCTTATAGTACCTGGTTTAGTCCCGGTCTAGTACCTGTATAGTCACATTTTTTCAAGTGTTTTTGTCACTTTTAAGCAGCTTTTCTTTATTTTACCTAAACAAATGACAGTTAATGCCTCTCTTTACTGTTGGCAGGATCAAACTGGTCAAAAATAGGGACACCTGGGACATTTCTGGTATAAAACTGGCACAAATCAGTGGTTTTGGATAAATCTGCTGAGACAGGGGACACAGGTGTCAAGCTGGAACTACAACAAAAGAACCGATTTGTGCTGTCAATATTAACCTCCTAAACCATATCATTTACACACAAGCTCCTGAATATGTGTTGTATAAAGAAATTTTGTATTTTTTCTTAAGTTTTCTGGCAATCTGGATACAATTTCCACAAGACAAAATGAGGCAAGAGATGTGACAAGATGAGATTTTGACATGATCTACTATAAATAAACTTCACAATCAAGTTCCTAATTTTATTCTCACCGTTTTTGATTTGACTTTATTTAATATTTTCATTGCAGCAGTGCTTTTTGTGACTACAGCTTTTCAAAAACTGGTTCTCGCCAGTTCTTAACTTTTTATCTAATCTGAACATAAAAACATGGGGAAAAATTTCACGAGATAATTTTTGTGGCAATTTTGTCTCGCGAGATCTTGTGGTACGAGATCTTGTACCATCCCCAGTAACTGCTAAACATTCTGCCATAGACATACATAAAGAATTCCCCACCGTGACATCACTACAAAATATCAATATTAGAAATGTAGTCTCAGCTCATTTGTTTATTAGGGCTTTATATCGCTGTAATAGAATAGGCCTTCGATGTGATTTTTCAAGAGCATGTGACAGGTTTAAACCTTCTCACTTCACTCAAGATAAATTACAACACCTTTATTACGTAAAGTGAAGGTTTAAACGGCCAAAAAATAACTTCCTTGTGTGTAAACAGTCTCTGCATTTTGGATGGAAGTTTCTCCTACTACTACTTCCTGTATTTTTGCACTTTTCAAACTGCCACTTCATCATTAAGCTTGCTCGTCTGACCTGCACTCGTTGTCGGAGCCACAGGGCACGCGGCTCAGGCTGGCGGCGGTGGTCACTCTGGACGATGGCGTGTTCGTTCCGACATTTCGAGTCCAGCGTCAGTTTCTCCGAGATCTCGTTCATGCCCATCAGCTGACCTGCAGAGGGAAACACAATGTGATTCAGCAGATCAATACTGTCATGCTGTTTAAAGGCCCTGTATTCTTGAGGTCAGAGGAAGCCTGTTGTGTGCAGTCTGCGTCTAATTACAGTGTTTTATTGTCCGGTAATCAGGAAGGTCACTGAAAGCATGCTAGTTGTTGTTACTCTGACGGCAAAACTCTTCTCTGCTCTCTGAAAGTTGTGGAAACAAGCTCATAGACACATCATGGTGAATAATGTTCTGTCTTTAACTTGTCAGGTTAAGGTTATGGTACATTTTATTTTTCACGTAGGGAAATTTGTCCTCTGCATTTGACCCATTCTTCAATACCACTAGGGCAACTGGTCAAGAGCAATGAGACCTATCTCCAGATCTTGGCCAGGACTACCTAAAGCCCAATTTATGGTTGTGCGTCAAATAGTCTGCATCACAATGCAAAAAGTCTGCGTCGCCTTGAACCCCCTCCACAGAGCATCTGAGTCGACTGATGTGCACCTCCAAAGTTTTCTAATTACGTGTCGAACCACAGCTCTGCATACATTTCCAGTACTCCGCTTTCCTGCTCCATTTTGTATACACGAATGCCATTTTTAAATCCTAGCCTCCAAGCGTTGTGGTGGTGAATTACTTTGCGGCGCATAGACCTCAACGCAGATCCACAAATCAAAAAATGACGGCGACAAGGCAATGGCAGCAGTGTGCGTTAAGTCCATGCAGAACTATTTTTCGGCCTTTAGCTGGAGGATTTGACTTATGGTGCATGTTTAGGGTTAATGGGGGAAACTGGTAGGTAGGCTGGTGTCACCTAGTGCCTCATTTCTCTCCAGCGACTAAGTCAGAATTCGGAACAGACTAGACGTTTGCAAGAAATCCAGAAGTTGTAGAGCGCGCACTGGCCAATCAGCGAAGAGCTGTGAAGCCATGTCTAGGTCCCTTTTTGTGGTACAGCACAACAGTAAACAAAGCGGTCGAGATGGATGTAGATGAAGACATATATTCTGTGCTGGCAATGATTCCCGAGATCAAGGATTTAAAGCCGGAACAAAGAGAATGTTTGGTGAATTTCATCAAGGGGAAAGGCGTTATTGTCCTTCTTCCTACGGGATTTGAGAAAAGCTTAATATACCAGTTAGCCCAGTTAGTGGCGCATTACATACATCACGACCAAATAGCAGCGATTGGTTAAATAAAAAATGGACCCGCCTTCTGTCGAGCGAACAAATCCTAATGCTGCGAGGTCAAATGGTTTCCACATAGTGAAACCGGCTGATGAATCAGGCTAGGAACCCGAAGTGCCCACACAGAAAGCCCGGGAGCAGTTATTTTGGCCATTGTGACACAAAAGTACATTATTGTCCCATGCGCAGACGTATCGGTGTAGCACTGGTGGTAACAGAAGGTTCAGAGGTAGTGCCTTAATCTCTCTCTCTGTCTCCGGTCTTTACCTTGTTCCTTTTTAAACTCGTTCTCCGTCATAAACACAGGCCTCATCAGCTCTCCCACCGGCGGCTGGATCGTCACAAAGAACTTCTTGGAATTTGTACTGAAATGACAAACATATGCTCATTTAACATGTACATGACACTTATTTTACTGACCCACCAGGGAAACTGTATTTAGCTTTGACAAGACATCTATCTGCATTTCGTAAAAAAGAATGAGACAACATTAAGTAAAAAATTAACCAAAAGGATCACATGACATATTATCATACTGCAGAAAAAATAACAAAAACATAGTAGTAGTAGTATAAAGAAAAAAGTACTGACTATAAATAGCCAAAAATTATTGTTCCATCTAACAAAAACTGAACGATGGGCCAAGAGTATTTATCGTGATATCTTTTGTTGTTGTGTAAGTGTTAGACCACAGCTGACAGTACAGATCAGGACTGTTCTGAAATCTGAGCACTTTATACTTAGATTCCCTTTGGAGTTTACATGAAAAAACAAAAAACAATATCATGATTTTATTGATTGATTAGATCACAATTTCAATTTGTGAGAGGTCACACTTCATTGCATTTGAATAATCCCAGGAACGAGATCTGGCATGAACCAATAATACAGTTCCATTACTTTTACTTTTACTCTTTTCTTGTTTTTTGTTGCTTTCCTTTATAACCATGTCCACAGAACTGTCTCCTGTTCTTTGACCATAAATGCTTTTCTCACCAGAGCTGGAAGTTTGCAGCTTGAGTGGAGTCACAAAAGTCAATGCCCATCACAGCTGTGGTTGTCTCTCCGGCTGCCAGCACCTCTGCACAAACAAACACAGGAATTTACAATGTTTAAACAAAAGACAAATGCACAACGATTAAACAAGGAACAATAAATAAAGGTAATAATCAGGAACTCAGCCACAGCTCTCTCTTTGACAACTGGACAATGTCTGAGCGACTAGGGCTTAACAATTTGGGATTTTTCTGACAAGCATTGCTATTGTGATTCAATTTGCGATTTTAGTTTTAATAATATTATTTAGTTCAAAGTTCACATTTTAAACATGTTGTTTGGCAAAAAGACTGAACTCTGAACTGACAAACTAATATAAGAATCGCATTTCAGAATGTTCGTGCAAATCTAAACTACAGGGTTAGGAGTTTTTAGACAGAATAAGACATTTTGTTTGTGGAGGAAATGATGGTACAAAAAAACAGCAACTTTCAGGATATACTAATTAATTCTATTCACGATTATGTCACAAAATCCAGCAGACGTTTGGAAACATGCAGATGACAACTTCCTTTGGGCTCTGTTGGCGATAGTAACTCTGACAAAATCTGGGAAAACTGAGAAAATGGCCCAGTTTTTTTCATCTAGATGTCATTTTATTCTTTCTTTTTTCCTTTTATAAATTGCCTATGAATTTGTGTATTATAAATTGTCTAATTAAAGTCTGCCTGTAAGTGACATTGAAGACGTGATTAGAGTCTGTCCATTATGAAAAGCTTTGTCTGGTTGTGAGGACATTGACTGTATAAAAGAAGTGGACTAAGTGAATGTGATGTCACCCATAGCGTTCATAGTCGCTCAAATGAGGCTTGTGATGCTCATGGTTACAGGAGCGAATCTGAAGCCAGGCTCTACGTTATGAATAAGATTTAATAGGACAAAAAAGTGAAAAAAAAAAAAAATCTGGATCAGGATGTAGATCAGGTTAATACAAACATTTTAAGACCAAAATGACAAGGCTCACAGCAGCAAGTACAGAGAGAGAGGCGACAAGATCCTTACTGTATGTAAGTCAATAGACGCATCAAGAATCTCAGACTTCCAGTCATTGCGCAATGCATACTGGGAAGGATTTTCTGAGGATTTTCGTCCTTCCTGTGTATCAATACTGCCCATTGCTTTCGCCTTTCACTATTTTTCAATTCCATTGGGAAGGGAAACAGTTTGAACAGAGGTTTGCAGTCACACAGATCTGATTCCCTTTTGCATTTATGGAGTTTGAAAACAAATTTCTCGAGCCGTTTTCCGCTGTTAGGTTATCCAACAACCACACAATTACGATGTCCGAATCCCAAAATTAAAATATGACAATATCAGAATCAGAAACAAAAGCGATATGGTTCAAAAGACTTGAAAAGATCATCTTTGTCAATAGACGCATCCCACTGGGAAAACAAACATGGCGGTTTGATGCTCACTTTTTCGGAAAATCCTTCCCAGTATGCTTTGCACGATGACAGTAATTATGAGATTCTTGATGCGTCTATTGGAACCACGGTCAGAAGGAGCTGGAAGCATGTTTCCAAATGTCTTCCAGTAAGCGTGAATAGAGCCTAAAGTGTCATTCTGTGATACCCTTCTTACATTCACAATCACACTGAGTACAATATTATATGATATGCCTGAAGAATTTGGGAAAAAATATTTAACTGCAATTTTTCTGACAAGCTTTTAATAATGGGATTCTAAACAAAGTTCACATTTTAAACGCGTCCAGAAGAATTGACGAAAAGACTGAAATGAACAAACAAACTAATACAAGAATCACATTTCAGAACATGTACAAATCTAAACAACACAGAGAGATTTTGTTGTTTGTGGGCAAAATTTACTAAGTACTTTGTGATTTTCTAATTACGTACATTCAAATTCGAATTTGATTGTGATTAATCTTGCAGCCCTGTGTATGTGTACATTTTGCTTGTAAACAGGCACATCACATCAGGTTTGTGAAATTGTAATGTATCATGTTTTTGTATATTTATAAGGATTTAATAAGGATTTGCGTGTGGCATGGCGGTTTTGGTGGCCATACTGGAGGTCAAGGTTGCGGTTGATTGGGAAGGTGTTATTCACTTACCACAATATAATTATGGCTACTTTAAACAGCAACAACAACATAAAACTGTCTGAAATTGCCAGCTCGTTAGATCAGCCGTCATTAGAAAGATATAATGCTCATGTCATCCTCCTGGGTTCTGGAATATATCTCTATCTAATTCCAACAGACCACTTTGTCAGTCTAATCTACGCTCGCTCTGTGCCCAACCTCCAATATCCAGATATTTATAACTACTTAATTCATTCTACCAACCAAGAACTAAAAAGTTACAAGGGGTTGGAGGCTTATAAATATTTTGTAGAGGGATACATGAAATCTTTGTTGATCACCAAGCCATCACATCTGCTCCTGATAACAGCCAGGGTAAGTAGAACGGGGGTCAAAATCAGAACCGTTTTCATTACTCCTAGAATTAAAGAACATCAGACCAAGAATGCAGAATAAGGTAATTGTTGGAGAAACTGTGGACAATCATCAGTTGGACATTTTCACATACAGTCCCAGTTTTGCAATGGCCCAAGATTGTCCCTTAGTGGACAGAGACCATTAAAAACATTAAGCTTATTACAGGACAGCAATTGGAGGAACATTTTAGTGTATTTTATTTGGGAAACATACCAACTGGGCTGAAAAAAAAGACAGATATCTTCTTCAGATACTACAAGCAGCCAGCAAGAAGGCGATCACACCAAAATGGCTACAAGACAAACCTCCTACTATTTCAGAATGGGCTGAACTAATCAACGAATTTCAGGTTATGGAACGAATATCATTCTCCTTGAGACACTCCTTAGATAAAGAAGAACTGTATTGGAAAAAGTGGAATTCTTACACTCAAAACAAAGCCTAATGTACATTTTTTTATACATCTTTGCAGGTGTCACTCGCTTGATGGCCTCCTATTTTTATTTTTTTATTTTTATTTAATTTTAAGTAATTTTTTCCTTTTTTTTGGTTGGTCTGACAATTTATTCTGTTCTACAATGGTAATAATATGTGTATGTAAATATGTGATATCGAAAACTAAAACGCTCTTATAAAATACAATAAAGTAAATAATAAAAAAATCTGTTCCAGTCGCTCTTACTAAATAAATTAAAGTAAAAAGAAAAGAAAAAATCAGAACCGTAGCTACCAGGGGTGGTGGAAATTGAATGGGGGATTTCCGTGCCACCCAAAAGTGAGGACCGTACTGCCGAAAAGTGATAGCACAGCGCATCCTTCTTATTTTATCACACATCAAAACTACACGTCGGTCCAGATAGATAGTTTGACCTTTGACCTCCAATATGGCGGCATAAACAACAGGTCACGTGCTTTTGTGACGTAGACGCAAAACCTTAATGGGTGACACAGGCGTAGTTTTGGAAAGGATCGTACTGCTAATCATAAGGATGGTTCGAATAGAGCCCAGAAGAGATCGCTAGATTACTCAAACATGCATAGATGTCAAATAAAACCTCTCCAGGCTTGTTTTTGATGATAACGTGGCAGAAAGCAAGTCTCAGCAAATACCCACTCAGAAGCTCAATTGGTAGAGTTATTGTCCACTTATCTGAAGGTTGGCAGTTCAACTCCCGCTCTTGACCTAAGCATCACTAATTAATATCTGCGTACATTGGTGTATGAATGCTTGTGTGAATGGGTAAGTTGGTCCTTGATATAAAGCGCTTTGAGTTTCATTGAAAGTTGAAAAGCGCTATATAAAAATGTGACCATATGCAAATCCATCTCTCTTATCCTCACCAATCTCAGGGAACTCCTTGACCCTCATGCCGGACTGGAGCTTGGCGTCCTCCACGTGCAGGTTGGACACGTCGGAGGAGGAGTTGTTGGTGAAGTGGATCTGAACAGCGACCATGTTAGCGTCAGGGCTGAAGGGCTGCCGGCTAAAGCAGTACTCCACAGACAAACCCTCCCCTGTGATTCTGTGCAGCAACTCAAACGTTTTCATAGAGCTCGAAGGAGAAATAGCCTGAAAAAAAGGAAAAAATTATTATTATTTTGTTTTATTTATTTCCACAGAACCACAATGGTAAACATATACAAAGTAAAAGTATTAATGGTGGTACTTAAGTAAAACAATTGAGGTATTTGTACTTTTCAAGTGGATACTTTTTACTTTACTTCACTACATTTGAGAGCAGATATCTGTGCTTTCTATTCCACTACATTTTTGAACAGGACTGAAAAGTAAAAGTATTTTTTGTTTGAGACCTCTTGAAAACAATGCATGCAAAAATATACAAATAAAAAACTGCCAAATAAAAAACAAAACAAAAAAAGATGGATTTAGCTGTTTCTAAATGGACAAAATTCAGCACAATCTATAATTTTTTTTTTTATCTGTGTGAAATACTTTTACTTTTAAGTACTGAAAGTAAACTTTTTCTTAAGCAGATTTTTCAAGTGACTTTTACTTTGCTCAAGTATCTGTACTTTGATTTAAGTAACAAAATGTGTAGTTGCACATACAGGGACACTATGGGGTGTGTGAAGGGAAAGGCCATTGCTTTTTATAATAATACATCAGGTTTTGCTACTTTTGCTATAATCTGCAATACAAATAGACATCACATTCTAAAATACACTAGAAAACCATGTCTGTTCTGTTCATTCCCTCTTGTTCTACAGCATTATATTTTATATGAAACAACCAATCTAAATGAACAAAGCAGATGTGTTTTTTTCTTTTTCACTTAATAGTTTGCAGGAACTATTTGGATACTTTTTTTTGTATATTTGAGTGAAATTGGAGGAGGAAATACTGTACCATGTATTCCTGTCAACGCCACAGCAATGAAAGGAAGAAAAAGTCCACAGGTTTTAAGTCATTCGTTACTGCATCTACTTTACTACTACTTTGCAACTATTACAGTTACAAAAATATTTTTGTAATATATTAAGTATATGATAAAGTGATAATGCTAGGAGAGGAGCTACATAAGCCCTTTACAAACAGTGCACATAGGTGGTACAAATATGTCAATAAAATGTGTGTTACTTTTGTATTTCGTATTTGAACAGAAGCGTGTTCATGTGCTGCGGGGGGTGGGGAGAGTGGGGGTATGATACGCACCAGCTACAACTCAAAACTAACGCAGAAATAAGCAGAGTTTTTTGCACTCACCATGATTTATACAACTGATACTCGATACTGGAGCGCACTGAGCTTTATGCACAGTGCCCTTCTTTAGCACACTCTGCCGGGTGGCTGCACACTCATGCTCTGGACAAACAGCCGACCCACACTCAGCACTATTTTATTTTGCTATTTTGTCCATAAATCAAGACATGAGCTCTTTTCCCAAGGTCACTACTGTTAGTGTTGCTGCAATGCTGCTTGACTGACAGCATTGCTCCAGATTGGCTCTTTGGTTGCTATGATACTCGTTGAAATTCCAAATTTGTAACATGACTCCAAATTCACTTCTATAACTGCTACCCTCAAGGAACTTCATTTGACTGGAACCAAATGCTCAGTCTATAATCTAAGTGTGCATGTTTGTAAAGAGCTATAGATACTGTATTTGAGTGAGATTGATCTAATCCAAACAGTTAAAGCTTCTTACAGCAGGCGCAAGAACGTCGTCAGACAGGGACAGCCCCTCCAGGTCTGTGACGAGGCTGTTGGACATGAACGCGTTCACTGGAGTCACCTGAGGAGAGGGGGCCGGCTCGACTGCAAAACAAACATGTAAACATGAGCTAATATTATAACAGTAATGCTTTAGCTATTTAGGGTGCTAAACTATAGTGCAGAATAAATAAACACGAGATGGGGCATTTAATGTAATTACCATGGTGGGGGGTGGGGCATCTTGAATGCAGAAGCAGAAAACTTTTACTCAAATAAGAATAGCGTTACATCCAAATAATATTACTCAAGTATAAGTACCAAGTAGTGATGCATGAAATTACGTGTAAGAGTGATTGTAAAAGTAAGTGTCACAAATTTAAATGTTAACGTAATTACAAGGAAATATGTTGCAAAAGAAGGTGAACATTTATGTGCAGTTTGTATCTAATTATAAAATGTTTTATCATCCGCGAACCAGGAAATAAGGCTGTTGAGCTGTTAACATGCTAGTTGTTGTTAGAAATGTTGTGATGTCAAAACTCCACTCTGCTGGCCTGAAAGCCAGGAAAAGTGCTTATAAACTCGTCGAGGTGAATAATTAGGATGCTCAAAAAGCATAAGGTAAATGAGGAATAACTGCAAACTGTTTTGTTTTTCATGTTTTCAAACAGTAATAGTTGTCAGAATAATTCTATTATCCCATATTTGCTAAATGCTTGTGTGATATTCTAGGCCTATGAGTTAACCATTTATGTACTACAATTCTTTGATTTATAATGTACCAATCACTTGTATGAATATGAATAACCTCTTTGTGTTTGACAACTGTGTGCAGTGACCTATCGCGCTCTTGTGTTCCTCGAGATGATTCTTCACATGAAGCCAACTCCCACTGTCACACATGCAAGAGTTATGATGGTGTCTGACTATACCTACGGCACCTCCTGATTGTTAATCGTGTTTTATGTGTTTATACTATGCTTAGCTGCATCAGTTTCTTATTATATCTTTGCTGATTCCCCCTTCCCCTTGAGAATTATCATTCTGTAACTAGGGCCCTCTAATGAAATAAAAGGAGGAGAGCGGCCTTGAGTCATCAGAACGTGTGGAGACTGTTGGTTTTGATGCCCACTCTCTGCCCGTTCTCCTCATGAGTAAAACTGAATTAATCTCTTGTCTTTCTTCTTGTTTTAAATGTCTAGATAAACCTAACAATAGTCACATACAGCACCGTTAAAAATAAAATTAACCCAAACTCACAGTCGTCCAGGTCGAGCAGAGACATCTCTTTCTTGCTTTCCTTCTTTGTTTCTTTTTTTACTGGTTTTGAAGGTTTAGACTCAATCTGAAATTAGATTTAAGAAAGCGTGTAAATACAATGTTGTCATAAAAATGGACCAAAATCATGAGAAAAACAGAAATAAATAAGTTGGAATAATGAAATCATGTGCATGAAGAATACAGCAGGAGTTTTTCGTCATAGAAACACAACATAAAGCAGTTTGTAATTTCCAAATCCACTGCAGTTTCACACAGAGCACCTCTCTCAAGTCGTCCAAAATCACGACAGGGTCATCGCTGGCGTCTATGACCTCATAAGTCTGTTGAAGCGCCATCGAAGAACCCTTAAAAATGCAGTGTATGTCTTTAGATATAAATGACCCCAAAATTTACTCACCAGGTAAGTTTTAACACAATTTTCTATTCCTGTTACAATAAAATGTCTGTAAATTTTGTATTTCAGTAGTCTGGCAATGGCTTCTGGACTAGAACGGTGCAGGATTTCTACTCATGACGTCACAAATCTGGGAAAATTTGAAAAGTGACTTCAGAGGCTCAGCGCAAAACAACTTTGTTATCAGGATTAATGAAACAAGCATGAATGAAGCTAATTACTTCTGCGGGTACATGTTTGGTGAGGCAACAATGTTATGACATATAAAACACTAAAATGGTTAAACAGATTTTTCCTCAAATGTCTGACTAAAATGACCCCCAATTAAAACTGATTCTGTTTGTGAAACGTTTGGAGCACAGACAAACATCTGGGCTCTTTGTGAAGCTGAAGCTCTGTAGTTTTGGCCTCTGATCTACTCTCATTATAAGTGGAAATGAGCTCTGCACAGAGGAAAATCAGATTTCAAAGCATGCCTGGATTTATTTAAGGATAGATATAGCTGGTGTCTGAAGGTTCATAGATAGACAGTTGATTTGTTGGGTCTTGATAACTCCCATGTCAAAGCTAAAGCATAACTAAAACGAGACTGCTGGACTTGTAATTAGGTACAAAACATGTAAGGCCTCATAGATAAAAAAGTTAAAAGCTCATGAAAGTCGATTTTGCATAGTATGTGTCCTTTCTGCCTATTCATGTTTTTTGTGTATTCACCAATAGAGTCCTGGCAGTTCACATGACTCACCTTCTTCTTTTTCCTGGTCTCTGGCTCCGACTCAGACTCATCGGACTCGGACTCGTCAGACTCAGACTCACTCTCCTCTGACTCAGACTCGGACTCGCTCATCTTTCTGCTTTTGGGTTTTCTCTGTGGTTTCCTCTCCTCTTCACTGCTCTGCTCACTGAAAAAAGATTCAAATTTGTATAGATGTGTGGAGAAGTACATAGATTCTTTACACAGCTTTACACAACTACATTTGTCTTGCCTCAATACGAAGTAATTTAGGAGCATTTTTACTGTCCGTGAACCAGGAATTAAGGCTGGTGCTAAATGTTGTTGGCAATACTGTGACAGAAAAACTCCGCTATGGCCTCTGAAAGTTGTGTAAAGTGCTTATAAACGCAACATTGAATACTTACGATGCTTAGAATGCACAAGGCATTGCAAACTGTTTAATTGCGTAGTAGAATCTTTTCTACTTTTTGGCCAAAATAGTTTATCCATCATTTCTTATAAATTTAGAAACTTGCTGGTTATACCCTTAAGGCCCAGTAACGATCAGACCGCATTTATAATTCCAAATGTTTCTAATGTCAAGGCTATGTTCTGTTAAATAACCACCAGAGGGCGCACAAAGATGGTTCGAGAGTTGACCAAAACAGACGAAACAGAGCAACAAATAAAGAAACATAGAGGTGCCCATAGCAGTTTTTAGATTCAATTGTTTGAGAAAGGTCAAGAAAAATTAGGCAAGGGAAGCATTTATTTGTTTGGCAGTTGTTCGAGGTATTTTCTTAAAAGTTTAGCTTCCACTGTTGAGCTGTGTTCACTACTGCCCCCAGTGGTCAGCTCATGCAAAGCTCTGTTACTTAGATTCCACATTACAGATTGAACTCATTCAACTTTTCATTATTTTCTTCATGTAATAGAGATTTGGGCTGCAACTAACCGTGGCAAATCACCTATAAAAAATAATCGTAGTGGTATTTTGAAAACCGTAATAATTATCAGAAATATACAGACACTAAAACACATGCAGAAAGACCTTTTTATAACAAAGACAGTGACACTATTAAATCTAAATGTCAAAAAGAATAAATAATTTCACATTGCAAACATTTTATCCATAAATATTTTCTATTTAGAAGCCTCCAGGCACCATATTTTAATCTTTATTTAGTTCATAGTGCATGTAAAGTGTAAATGTACAATCAAAATAATCTTTTCACTAGTCGACTACTAAAATAATCCTTAATAATAATAATACTAATAATTGTGGCCCTATTTGAGATTCTGTCTGTAATTTGCATTCAACGTTGTGTAGACTAAACCTGCTCTTACCTCTCACTCTGATGTATGGGTTTCTTCGCTTCCTGTATTTTCTTCTTGGTGTGTTTGGGCTCCTCTTCCTCCTCCTCCTCCTCTTCCTCCGAGCCTTCATCGCTATCCTCTTCGTCACTCTCTGACCCCGACCCGCTCTCCTCAGACCCACTGGCACTCTCCGAGCCACTGCCACTGTCCGACTCTGGGGGTAAAACAAGGGGTAGACACAAATAAATTCACAAATAAGTAGAATTCTAACATCATTATATTATTATCTCATTAGTGGAGTCATTATATTGAGCTTTTTTAACTCAAATTTTCCTGAATTGTTGACATTTAATTACAGAAATGTTTCAGAATCAAATTTTTTGCCCTGTCAGAGTCTTAACATGCAGATTCTCAGTACACTTGTTAAATTTAGAGCCTTTTATGGATGCGAGTGCACCCCTGTCCCCATTTTTGCTTTGCTGTTTATTGTAGCTAGGACTCTGTAGTGATTTCTAAAACAAAATATTAAGTTCTTCTTTATTGTAGTCACATTTTGAACACTTTATAGTTTCCATTTGAACAGTTTTAGTTGAAAACGTGCCCTTCCACTGTTATGCCGACGACACACAGATCTACCTCCCGCTGAGACCAAACGACCCTGCGAGCCTGGCTGCTGTGTTAAACTGCTTCAATGACATGAACAGTTGGATAGTACAAAGCTCCAAATCTGAAATCATTTTAATCAATCCCCCCAATCCACCTCCCATATCAGCAACAGTTTCAGCCTCTTGCTCCCAACATCACCCCTGCTGCCAGAAACCTCGGTGTCATTTTTGATTCTCGCCTCAACTTCCACCTTCACATCAAAAAAGTCACCCAATCCTGTTTTCTTCAGCTCTGCACAAAACTATCCTCTCCTGTTCTGATCTTGAAAAAGTCATCCACACGCTCATCTTCTCCCGTCTAGACTATTGCAATTCCCTCCTCTCCGGCTTCGACTCCAAATCCATTTCCAGCCTCCGACTGGTTCAGAACGCAGCAGCTCGGCTCCTCACTGAGTTTAACAGACAACAACAATTTACCCATTTTACTTCCCTTCACTGGCTGCCTGTGAGTTTTAGAATCGATTTTAAGATTTCACTGATTGCTTTTAAAGCTCATTTAGGTCTTGCATCAAGTTACATTTCAGAACTTTTAACACCGTACGAGCCTCCTGCAGCCTTAGATCTTCAGGCAGGTCCCTGGGACTGTTCCAAAGTCCAAGCTCTGGACGAAGGTGATGGAGCATTTTCAGCCCGGGCGCCTCGGCTTTGGAACGACCTGCCTGAGGAGATAAGGCTCGCACCATCTTTTAAATCACTTCTTAAGACTTTTTTTTTTTGGCTGGCTTTAGCTAACTGGTTTTAGCTTGATTTTATTCCTTATTTATTTTATTCAATTTCTTTTTATTTATTTATTATAATTTATTGAATTGTTTGCATCATTGTCTGTTTTTCTATGCCTATTGTGTGCTATTTTTATGCTTTTTGTACTGTTCTTTGCTGCTTGTACAGCATTTTGTAAACCGTGTTTTAAAAAAAATGAGGATTAAATCTTTGGGGGAGCTATGGGGGAGCATTGGCCATTCTAGGGGAGGCTAGTGCCCCTTTAAGCCCCTTCCTGGTGCCGCCCCTGCTCATAGCAAGAAGGTCCTGGGTACAACTACAGGGTGACATGGAGCCTTTCTGTGTGGAGATTGCATATTCTCCCTGTGCCTTCAAAGGTTTCCGCAATCCAATTTAGATCAGAGAGAATCCTTTTAGGTTTAGGTTAACTGATTTTAGTCGTAGAAATTTATGCGAGCCTCATTCTGCTGAGAACTAAAATACCACTTTCTAACATACATAACGACTTGGTCATCATGTCCAATGTCAATCGTAAATCACGTATCCATGGTTACCGCTGTCCGCTGACTCCGTGGGCCCAGACTCTCCCTCTGAATCCGAGTAAAAAGGCTTCTCCACTTTCTTCTCCTTTCTCTTCTCCCGAGCGCTGCATTTGGACCATTCAGGCACCTGTCGAAAACAAGCAACTTTTTCAAAACCAAGTGATTTTTTTTTTTAGATTTGGTCTTTTTTTTGGGCAGGTAACAGCAGCACGGCTATGGATTTCTCTAAGTGGGCAACACACGCACAGCCAAACCAAGCCATAGAAAAGTATAAGGAGCCCGGCCAATGTAGTTTAGCATCAGGTTAAGCTTTCATGACCAGAGGAAGAAATGGAGTCTAGATTAGGGGATTTCTCATCGAGTATTTTGTAAAAGTTGATCTGTGAGACACTTAGGGATAGATAAATATTGCAGGATAATTCTAAATATGCTTCAAATTTGGTCTAGCAGGCAGGAGCAATGTCAAATAATAGCGGTTAGTCCCTGGTTGGTGTTATTTTTATATATAGTTGGTGCGCTTTCCCTGTGTCTTTTTCATTGTTTCCTCATTTGGCTTTACAGTCCCTGACAAAAGTCTTGTCGCTTATCCATTTTGTAGAAACAAAAGCTTATAACCTGACTTTAAATTAATCAATTGGTTTCAGAAATGTCTCATATGAAAGCTAAAACCCTCCCAAATTATGCTCAATATGCTAAAATAAATTTTGCTTTTGTTTCTACAAAACGGATAAGCGACAAGACTTTTGTAGGGACTGTACACCTATCTACCATTTCTTACAATTAAAATTTTTTTTATTTATTTATTTGGATGCAAAATGACGTGAAATCATATGAATTTTTTGCTTGCATCTTCACCGTACTGACTTATATCTTGGCCTGGACTTGCCACATTCTTGTTGCCAAGGTGATATATACCATAGGTTAATGCCATGTAGTGGAACTTTAGTTTTCATCATCACTTTGTTCTTATATTATACCAAATTTCAAGTGAAGTCTGTATTTGAGATACTTGTGTTTATAATTTTATGAGAAACTACCTTCAATCAACCATTGCAACGTCCTGTAGGGGGCAGCTAAACAACTTACCACTATGATATTTAAAGTGTTAATATAGGGTGTCCTAAAAATGTTGACATAATTTCACAGGCCAGTAATTTTGGCAATTCTTGTTGAAATAACCTCAAATTTTCACAGAATGTATAGAAACAGATCAAGATTTTCTATTTAAAGTTTTATTTTAGTTCTGTTTTCAGGTTGAGTCGTTCACTAGCCTGATTCATCAGTCGGTTTCACTTCATAGAAACCATCTGACCTTGCAGCGTTCGCTCAATGGTAGGTGGGTACTTTTTTTCATTTAACCAATCGTTGCTATTTGGTTGTGACGTATGTAATGCGCTGCTAACGGGGCTAACCGGGCTAACGGGGCTAACGGGGACTTTCCCAAATTCCATAGGAATAAGGGCAATAACGTCTTTCCCCTTGATAAATTTCATTAAACATTCTCCTTGCTCCGGCTTTAAATCCTTGATCTCGGGAATAGCTGCCAACATAGAATGTATGGCTCTTCGTTGGTACACACTCACACTTCCGGGGTTTTTGCAAAAGGTCTAGTATATTCTGATTCCTGACCTAGTTGCTGGAGAGAAACTGAGTGGAGGCACTAGGTGGTGCCAGCCTGGCTAGCTGCACACTCCCAAAGTCTTAGAATATGCTGATGGTTTACCAGATCCTTTAGCCCTGCATAGGCAGCCTTCCTCTTTAAATTTTTGGTACCAAATCCAAATTTGTTTGCCAGTTGATAAGGTTTTTCCAAATTTTGCATTGAAGTCACGTTGCACAGTCTTGGATGACTGTGTGCGAGCATATTCCAAAACACACATGACTTCTCTTTGGGAGTGAATGGCTCAACGTGAAAACAGAACTAAAATAAAACATTCAATATAAAATCCTAATCTGTTTCTATACATTCAAAAAATGTGGCAAATTTTTTTAGGACACCCTGTATGTGACTTTCTGGAGTTGGAGTTCCTTGGAAACAGACAGTTTAAGCCATACTTCAAAACATTCAGGTTTGTTGTCACATTGTGAAACATTATAACCAAAGGAACAACATAAGAGTCAGGTTTGTGGAGATGCAAGCCCGCTCACAATAAGGACAAATGTTTTTCTGTGTTTCTGTGTTTTCTGTGTACAACAAAACGATCCACAGTCTATGTTTTTGCAATAGTGTTACATACTATGGCTTTAAAGTACTTTGTCTGTTTTTGCTTTGGTTGTTACAGAGCTAATAGACTAAATACTTAGGTTTATGGCAAGCTTTTAAACTACTATCCTCACAAGTGTATCAAATAATATTAAAATCAAATTGCCAGTTTCCTAGCAACATACGCACATCACATTCAGATTGACCTTGCCATTGTTGTTAAGTGTACAGCTTTAAATAGAATAGGAATCTGTCACACATATTTCATATTGTTTCAAGCTACATTGCTCCTGTCTGCTGATCCTGCAGAGAAACACAAACGAGCCAAAAGCTTCTCATTTACAAACCACATTTACAAAATACTGCATTGTCCCTTTAAGAGAAGTGACTTTTTTTTAAGGAAAAGTGGTTACCTCTTTGTATTTCTATTGACCAATCTCAGTGTCCAGAAGAAAGAGGAGAGAAAGAGAGGGAGAAAGAGGGGAGATTGTGGGAGAAAGAGGGAGAGAGAAGGAGAGGGAGAGACAGAGAGGAAAAAGAATGATGCAGGAGGGAGAGAGAGACAGAAAGAGGGGAGAGAGGAGAGAGAAAGAAAAAGAGAGATAAAGAGGGAGAGAGCAAAGGAGGAGGGTTGAGAGAGAGGGGCGAAAGAGAAGGAGGGGAGAAGGAGAGCGAGAGGAGAGAGAAGGAGAGAAAGAGAGAGAGAGAAAGAGGGAAAGAGAGAAACAGGGAGAGAGGGCAGGAGGTGAGAGGGGAGAGAGGAGAGAGAAGGAGGGAAAGAAGGACAGAGAAGGAGGAGAGAGGGAGAGAGAAGAGAGAAAGAGAAGGGAAAGAAAGAGAGAGAGAGACAAAGAGGAAGAGAGCAAAGGAAGAGAGAGGGGAGAGAGAAAGAGAAGGGAAAGAAACAGACAAAGGGGAGAGAGCAAAGGAGGGAGAGGTGAGAGGAGGAGGAGGGAAAGAGAGAAAGAGGTAGAGAGAGAAGGAGAAGAGAGAGGACAGAGAATGAGGAGAGAGAGAGGGGCAAGAGAAAAAGGGAAAGAGAGAGAAAGAGGGAGAGCGAGAAGGAGGAGAGAGGGACGAGAAAAGAGGAGAGAAAGAGAGAGATGAAAAAGAAGGAGGAGAGAGATGAGAGAGAAAGGCAGGGGGAGAAAGAGGTAGCTATAGGAAGAGGAGAGGGAGAAGAGGTGAGAGAGAAGATGATTGAAACAGCAGAGAAGTTTATATTTATCTTTTGAATGGGAAAGCTGAGACCCATGAGTACAATATTTAAGCTGATGAGAGTAGCCAAGAAAATGCATTCAAAACAGTGAAGGTAACCACAATTTCTTAAAAAAAAAAAAAAAATCACTTCTTTAAGGCTCTGGCCCAAATAAAACAGGCTAGGTTTTTGGATATTGCTTCGGCTTATAGCTATAGGCGCAACAAAGCCATTACTACAGTATTATGCGGGGGTCAAGAAAGCACTTTACTGGGTTTGCTGCTAGTTTGTGATAAAATGGGATTGCAATTTAGTTAAAAGTCCTATATTACGCAAAAATGACTCTTTGTGAACTTTAAGCCATGTTATAATGTTGTTACCGCTTCAAAAACAGACCTGGAGTTGTGTTTTGTTTCATTCACACATGTTTGAGTAACTCTTTATTGTTAGTCTGTCTACATCTCCAAAGCTCAAAATGCTCTGTTCCACCTTATGATGTCATGAAGAGGTAGTTTTCACAGCTATCTTAGTTAGGGGTCCATCACCTGCTTGTTTCTATGTCATTGCTCAGCCTGGAATGACATTAAACAGCTCGATCTTACATTTATTCAATTACAGGTGCTCAAAAATAGAGCAGGTATTGTAAGTTTCATGTAAGTCTCAAGTCTTTGACCTTAAGTCCGTGTCAAGTCCCAGTTCAAAGACAGGCAAGTCCAAGTCGAGTCTCGAGTCACTGGCTCATAAGTCCAAGTCAAGTCCAAATGGTCTGCTGTGAGCTTCAAGTCATTCCAAGTTTTTAAACCAAAGCACCAAATATAGTTTAGATTTTTGCAATTTATATTAATTTTAAACTTAATTGTACCTAAAAATCATGGTATTTTTATATATGAGTATTTATATAAGGGTTGTAGAGCTGTTTTTCCTTTTTAAATGTCTTGACAAGATCTTAGTGTGAATCATTATGGTTAGATTAGAAAGAATTCAGATTTGAAAGTGCTAAATAACGCTACTTGTCATGTAGATGCACTGAAATGGAAGGCTCATGTAGTTCCCCCTGTTTTACTGTATTGTACTGTATATTACTGTAGTATGACATGAGAATGCCAAATCACAGTGCTTCAGTTACATTCAAAGTAACAAAAGGAGAAGTGGGAAGAACATGTTGTTCCAGTTTGTTCCTGTAATACTCAGCACTGCATGTATCAACCACAAAGAGAAAAGTACTTTCTAAAAACAGACACTTTTTTTTTTTAGGAGAAGCATCAAGTCTTCTCAACTTACAGGATCAAATCCAAGTCAAGTCCCGAGTCACTGACCTTCAACTCCAAGTCGAGTCCCAAATCTTAGTCTATTTTATCAAGTCAAGTCTCAAGTCCTAAAAATAGTGACTCAAGTCAAACTCGAGTCCAAGTCACAGCTTGCCTCTCCGTAGATCTGATCTGTAACTTGGTCTGGCTTGGCCTCCAAGATGATAGAAAGATTAAATATTATACTGTAAAACATTCCAGACAAAGCAATAACATCTCCATGGAGAAAAGCATCTGATGGACCCTCTACCAGAAAAGTTACACAATGCAACTTTAAACATGTGAATGAAACAAAACAAAACTCCAGGTTTGTTTGTGATGAGGAAACAACATTAGAACATAGATCAGAAAATTGCGTAATACGGGCCCTTTAATGATTGCCGCTATAACTGACTCACACTCGTTAATGTAGTGACCCTTTCGAGCAGCGCAAAAACCTGGCAAAGACGAAGAAAAGAAAAAACAGAAGAGGGATGGATGGATGGGAGGAAAAGAAAGGAAGATAGTTTAAAATTCAGGAGGAAAAACAGTTGAAAAAAAGGGGCTAAAACAAGACGTGAGAACAGTTCAAGAAATTACAGAGACAAGACAATACCCGAGATTATTTCTGTTAGCAAAATTAGGATTAAAGACAGTGGCCTCCTCCAGAGCTGTGTCATAATCTGGATTGAAAAGATTGAAAAAGTAGAAAACTTTTAGGGTCTTTCTGTTATAGGCGCCATTTTGAGGACTTTTTATGATTCAAAATAGTGCTGCACAGTTGTATCAGTAATACAATTAGCAGAGGTGGGTAGAGGAGCCTCTTAAAATGCCTTGCAAGACTTAATCCAAAGAACTAAGACTTAAAAGTGCTTAGAACTGTTATTTTTTCATGTAGTCTACACTGAAATGGAGCAAAGGATCTTGGTCTATGTAGTTCGCTCTGCAATTGGATTTATTGCTGTACCATAAATCTTAATTTATGCAAAGAGACTTGTAATTCAATATATTGTGATGGTCCATGATATTATTGTGAGAACTTTAACAACGCAATATCATGATGTTTCGGTTATTGTTACATCCCTTGGTGTCGGTACATGATATCGGTAAAGATGATATCCTGGATGGGCCTTTGAATAGATATAATAAGACTACTTTATTTTATTATTTCTCATAATATTTGAACTTGTTTTCAAATGAAAATGTTAACCGTGTTCTAAAGAAATAAGACCCATTTATAGTCTTTACACTGGTATCGGTTCATATTAGGTATCGGCACATAGTTCAAGTCAAAGTATCGATATTGGTATTGGAACTGCGAAAAACTGGCTTGGTGTATCCCTACTGTCACCCTAAAGCTTTTGTAACTTGTAGATTTACTGACTAAAACTTTTACTCAATTAAGTGTTATGTTACTTCAATAAATATATTACTCAAGAAAAAGTAAAAGTACTGCTAGAATAGTAACATTTCTTTTAAAAGTTACTTAAGTGTACCCAACTGAGTACTACCCACCTCTGGTCATTTGATTAGCAATTTATGTTTAAAATGTAGGATTTTGGTCAGAGCGCACACTGTAAGGAGTATTAAGAGTATTTGAGAGAAGACTGAAATCTGAACTGATAAACTAACAGAATCACATGGATTTCAGAACATATTTGTACCGGTTTAAACTACAGGTAAAATAAGATCATTGTAAAAATAAGAATTATTTTTTTTTGCAGAAGACATTCTATTGTCTAAATAATTGCTACCATTGTGATTTGATAATTGCGCCAACTCAAAGTGTGATTTAAGTCGATTGCCGTATATTGTGCTACTTCAAAAGATACAAAGCCTATTCATTTATATAGGAGATCTGGTGTTTTTGAAAGAAATCTCCAAACTTATGCTCCACAAACCTGTCATATTAATCTTATAGCTACATCTATAGGGTTAAAAAAAATGACACTACTTTCTGAAGCTATTGTGATTTTTTTTTTTATGTGTATTTATACTGACAGAGAATATATTGAACTTTGTGCCAGTTTTATGTTTCATATGGATAGGCCAATAATTACAGAGATATAAACCATAAACAAGGTCAACAAATCTGCATTCTGTTACACAGCAAACTCCACCGAAGAATTCTGTCTGTAAGTCTATAATAAATGGGGGAAATGAGTAATATATAAGTAGCAGGGATGTAACGATATCCAAATCTCACGGTACGATATTATCACGATATGCATCTCTAGATAGGACACTTTTTTGCTTTTAAAATGCCCTGACAAGATTTTGATGTGAATTATTACTGTCATAATCCCAAGAATTCAAGGAAAAAACATATTTCTTCATATTGTCTGCACTGAAATGAATCATGGGATATGTAGTTCCCGATGTTTATTAGCTATCGGTACTATAAAACAATGCATTTAAATAAAGTATTTTGTAATTTGATATATTGTGACAGTCCACGGTATTATTGTGAGATTTTTGACAATACTATATCAGAATATTTATTGCTACATCCCTAATAAGTAGTAACAGTAGTAGTCACTGTATAATAAATAGTAGTAGTAGTAGTAGAAGTAGCTGTAACTGTAGTTGCTGTAGTAATAGAAGTAGCAGCTGAAGTAATAGAATAGAATCTATTCCTTAGTATCGAAACTCCATTTCGATACTAAGGAATAGATTTAATATTAAATACAGATTCCGATACCACAGCGATAGATTCTTTAGACAATAGAATGTGATTTTCAACACTAAGTTGTAGTACTTTCTTTTAAATTACCAAGTTTTTTACTGTTTATCTTTGTAATCCCTCAGTGTCTAGGTGCTCTTATACTTGTTCTGATACAGCTCAAGATCCTTCTAAAGCAATTCAGGAAAGCTTAATTTTTGTCCTGTGAGTGTGACTTTTTTTTTGTATCGATACTTGCTCAGATAGTATCAATTAGTATCTGCTTTTCCATATTTTTGACCACCCTAGTAGTAGTTGTAGTACTTTCAAAATATCTGCATTAAAGTTCCAAAATTAAACAGAAATACTGAGTCTGTAGGAGGCCACTATCATTAAAGCATTACTCCAATATAACTCGTTCAATAACAAAACTGCAGAAAAGAAAAACAGTCAACAACCAGCACTTCATAAAAGGCATTTAGTGTGAATGTCTTCATCTGTGACAAAGTGCCAGGGCATCTGAACCAAATGCGGGTCAAATGTGGAGAGGGGGATGAGGAAATGAAAGTGAGGGAGGGTGGAGTCATGGTTCAAGGCACAGCGGTACATGCACCACACACAAGAGAGAAAAACAGAAGGACTGCTGGGAAAAAATCTGGTACATTTCAGATTTTAAAGGTCCAAAATGGATTCTTCTGAACTTAAAGCCATGTTATGATGCTGTTACTGCATTAAAAACATGGCTGGAAATGTGTTTTGTTTCATTCACACATGTTTGAGTAACTCTTTACTATTAGTCGGTGTACATCTCTAAAGCTCAAAATGCTCTGTTCTACTGTGATGTCATGAAGTGGTAGTTTTGAAGTTAATAGCTCCTTTTACTTTTTGTTCATAAAAGATTGGCAATTCCAGGACTGAAAATATCCAAATGATTCTAGTCAAAGTGTATTAAAAACACACTGGAACACTTCCTCTATTACCACATGACATCATGAGGTGGGACAGAGTGTTTTCTGTTTGAGATTAGATATGCAGGATTTGTGTGAACAAACAACACAACTCCAGGTATGTTTGTGATGAGGAAACAACATTATAACATCAGAAAATAGTGCAATAATGGACCCTTTAAATACAGACACATGAGCAAAAAGTATTGAAATAAACGTTTAGAAATTTTCACAAAGAAAATTTGTTTTGTCTGCGTTAAACTGTAATAGCAGTTACATTAATGTCACCATAAGTGAGGTATTTGTATTGTATTTTTATAGAGTTTTGTACTTTGTTACGTTCCATAACTGATTATTTCCTTTTCAAAACACAGGCAGACTGAAGTAACAACAGAAGTCACTGAACTCAGATCAGCGAAGTGAAACAAATTCTGATAAAAGTAAAGATTAGAGTTTAAAATCCACTGCAGTTCCACACAGAGCACCTCTCTCCAGTCGCCCAACAGACCGATGCGAGCCTCACTGGTGTCTATCGTCTCCTCGGTCTGTGGAATGTAGAATTATCAGCTGAAAACTAACTGTATTTAAATGGCACTGCTATCTCCAAAAGTACAATATAAATACAATGTTACCTCAGTTTCACGTCATTGCCAACCATCTGCAGCAACTCGGTAAACATCTATTTAAATGAGTCACTTTTTAAATGGCATTTCTTCTATAAGTGAAATCCTAAGACTATATAATATAACAACAATCCTGAAAATATCCCAATGCTTATACTACCTCGTAAAATATTTGGCTTTCCAAGTATTCAAGTCTAATTTCAACTTAAATCAGGTCTACAATAGGTCTATAAGTGGAATGAATGTGGAATACTGATACTTTGCAGTGACATCAAGCTGGAGGTGTTCTACATGCATCTCTAACAGTGGAATGTTTAGGGGTTACCATAGAGACACAATGCACATATTTGCATTTATAATACTGAAAAAATTTTTTAAGATTGTCTGAAAATCCAAGAAAACACACAAAATGAATTCAAACAATCCATTTCAGACAGAGCAGAGAGTTAGGGTCAATAAACTAAACACGCAAACCCCTGTTTATACCAATACAAGATGAATATTTTGTGTAACTAAAAATGATTAAGATCAAGCTGCAGTCCCTAACCCTCACCACACATGGTCCGTGCGCCTCTGTTTGAGAACCACTGTACGGAAGAAGTAACCGTGATTCATTTCAGTCTCCATTGACTGCTAACCTTTTCATTAGCGCAAACACACTTAGATGACGTCACCAAATAATCCAATTTCCTCCGGACTCAAAAAAGGGAGGAGTACAGTACAGTATGATGTCGTAAAATCAATGATTTTTCGATTTTCTTTGACTGCACCGTCCAGTGTAATCTACTGTATAGGGCAAGGAATGCTTTGTATTCAAATGAACAAAAACGGTCGGCAGTTGGTGCTCCATTACAGATATACTGTGTTGATACTATGCAGCTGATATCATCAACATTCCCTTGGGGTGTGAAGCTAACTGGAAGCACTGCTCTGTTAGAAGCTCTTTTACTCAATTTAAACTTAATCTGAGGTTTATTTTAACACAAACTGACCATAAAGAGAAGACTTGGTTGAAACTACAACATGAACGCTTGTATTGATCACAGGCTCCTGAAAATGAGTTGTTAATTTTGTATTTTTTCTTGGGTTCTCAGACTATCTTAAAACATTTTTGGCAGTTTTTACTAACGTGTGCATTGTGTCACCATGGTAACAAGTGAACATTCCACCAATATAGATACATGTAGAACACCCCCAGAGTGTTTATGATTAGATGCAGACAGCACATATTTTATTGTCTGCAACTAATCATAAAGTGTTTTGTTGTCTGGTAGTTGTTGTTAGTGTGTTCCTGTGATGGCAAAACTCCGCTCTAGTCTCAGAGTTTTTCAAATTTATTCGGATGCTCCGAATGCATAAGGTAAGTGAGGAATAACTTTGGACCACTGCAAATGGTTTAAAAAGAACTAGTACAGTAAAAATCAGGTACAGCGTCTTTAAGTTCCAAACTAATTTCTAATGTTTTCCAGCTACTAATTAATGCATTTCAGGATTCAATTGGGTTCAGACTAGGACCAAACCAAGTCCTTAGTCTAAACATGTACTAAACCAAGAATGAACAATAACAACTATCAAGTTTCCAGGTCTAAACCAGGACTAAACTAACACGATACTGACATCGACACTAAACTCAAACTCAACCCAGACCTAAACCTGGACTACAGACCAGGACTAAACTAGGACTACATCAGGACCAAACCAAGTCCACATGAGGACTAAACTGGGCTTAAACCTGGACAAGTGTAAACACATAGTCTAAACCTGAACCAAGACTAAACCAGGTCTAAGCATGGACTAAACCGGGTCAAGACTAATCCAGAACAAAGTTGAATCTACACCAGCCTTAAACCAGGACTAAACAAAGACTTCACCAATAGTCTTGTATGACTAAACAGCAGTTGAGAAATTCTAAAATATTATGCTGAAAGTAAAAAAGTGTTATTACATTTTAAACCAATGACAAAAAAAAATCAAGCCTTGAGGTCACACTAGAATTTAAATTTTTGTAAATTTTTTGGCAAAATTTGTGACCAACTCAAGCTTTGATTTTTGTACTTAAAACATATAAAAATACATTTGCTATGAACCGATGGCACATGACAGGAGTGTGATGAAAACAGGAGGAAATGATGCAAATTGTGTTGCTTTGATGTTAGTGATTTGTGGTAATAATTGATTATTGTTTAAAGGCTCTGCATCCAATTTTTCCCATGTATTAGAGCCAAATTTGCCCCAGTACAGATTTATTGCATCTTATTATAAAGCTTTTTATTGTAAAAAAATCAGGAAGTGGATTTCTGTCATGACAAAACTCCACTCTGGTCTCTGAAAGTTGTTAAAAGCTCTTATAAACTCATCGTGGTGAGTGAGGAATAACTTTGGAACACTCCAAACTGTTTAACATTAACTAGTTCTGTTTTTCATGTTTTTCAGACGATAAAAATCAGGTACAGCGCCTTTAATGATTAGTTTTTGATTTTCCCTGATGTGCGATTGGCTCAGACAAAGAGGAGCTTGAGATGGTGCTACAGAGAGGCTAGTCACTACACCTACATTCACACTAGTCAAAAAATGACCACAAATATTTCATTTTCATCTGATTTGTAAATGTCAAAATCACATCTGTTTTGTATTTTAGCCCTATCCTCTGCATATTTTCTTTATTTTAACTTAATTCATGCCCTACATAGGTGTCATCTTCCTGTTACATGCAACATTTAGAGGACTTTGTTATATTTAAAGTTGTATTTTGTTTAAAAGTGTTAATCGCTATGGAAACAGTCCTCATTTTTCAACATCCTGTACCATGAATATCCATAAATCTCCATTCTGTTTTACGTTTATAGGATTCTCCCCTGTGTATAGTCATTTTTACTGGTTCTCAATGATGTGTCAATAGAAAGTGTTTAAAAATGACATAACCTACTTGCAAACTGTGCCACAAATAAAAGAAATAACAATATATTGACTATTTAACCTTAACCCTTACCAAACTAAAATAATCAAGTCAAATATAATGATATAATATAATATAAAATGGTTTAATAGCGTCCACAATATTCTGCAAAACTATACTGTAAAGCTTTTATTTCAAGATTCACTATATAACGTTTCTAGAGGTGTGCTTGTCTCCAGCTGGTCTCCATGGAGATGTTATTGCTTTGCCTAAATTGTTCCACAGTATGGCATTAAGCTTGTCTATCTCCATGGGAACACAGTGTGACACTATCAGGCCAAGCTAGGTGTCTGATCTGTGGAGATGTGATACCACTCACAGTAATCACACACCTTCACTTGAATAAATGCAAGATATAAACGTTTAATGCCATACTGAGGAACATTCCAGACAAATAGCATCTCTATGGAGACAAGCTGGCAGCAAATCCCCACTAGAAAAGTTACAAAATACAAGTTTGATATACTAATGAAAAGTGAAGTTTTGCCGTTGCTAACCTTGGCCTGGTAATGAGCTAAACTAAAAACTAAAATGTAAAATGAACAATAGGACACTTTTTGATGTAGTGTGAATGCTGCCATTTTTGATCACTATTATTTCTATTTTTGAATTTGAACTTATCAATTTGTTTTCCTCCTTGACAACTGCAAGATGGAGGCGTACAGAATGTCTTTCAGAGCATCCATTTGGAGAACCCAAATAGGATGCAGTTTGTCAATGCGATGCCAATGGGGTCAATAGGTCACGTTCACATTCTAGAATCTGATATCATAGTCTCAGATGGAGGGCACGGGCCAGTGGAATTCTATGGGAGATGGACGGTTTATGAAAGAAATGTCCAAACTTTTGATACACAAATACCGAGAGTTATTAGAATTATTTATGTTTTTCGCAAGGTGTTTTGTTACATAAACTTGCCATATTAATCTTATGGTTTAAACAAACTGTATGTAAAGTGTGTTGCCAGATACAAGATTCGAAGTTAGAATTTACTGGTAACAATTGTAATGCAGATTTATTCTTGATTACAAAAACACTGGACATGATAGCCAAGCAGTTAAATTGATGGTTTGGTTTTCAAGACGATTATCCAATCAGAAAGCAGAATGAGCCTCACACAAATCTCTCACTTGGGTTGCCAGTTTCAATGCTAAAATCTAGTTGGTTAAAACTTAAAAGGACTAAATCCCAGCGCGTGCAGCCAATCACGAATCAGTGCTAGTGCAGCCTTTGCAGCTCAGTGAGGGAATTCTGGGTGTTCTGAGCTTTCACAAGAGACACAAAACTTGTATGTGTCCTCTATCTGCAGGTTTAGGCGCAGACAAACCAGGTTCTGTTGTGATTGTTGTAACAGTAAGAGCACAGCCTACACAGTTACTTTCCACTGACAACAAGCACATTTTTGGGGCTGAATAATAGCATCACTTTCTGAAGCTAATGTGAAAAAGAGAATTTAGCTTTTGTTTATTTATACTGACAGAGAAGACGTTGAACTTTATGCCAGTTTTTGTTTTATGTGCATAAGCCCAGTAATTAAAGAGATATGAACCACAAACCAGGTCAACAAATCTGCAACCTGACAGTTTAACGGCAAATTCCACCAGTTCTGCCCTGCCCTCCAGCTCAGTTTAAACTATAGGGATTCTAGAATGCTGTGATGTTAGGAGAACGCGACCCATTGGAGCATGAGTTTTGGTTGGGGTAATGTTATATTGGAGTAGGACTTGAGTGACTGGAGGCTGCGTTCTGGAGCACCCCTTGCACCCCTCTTCAGTTCGGGACATTTGGGGTGGTCCCGTGTGTCTCTGTATGTTACTGTTCCCACTGCACGCACAGACTCCTTCACCTCCACGTTGCGCACGGAGGGGTCGGGGGCGGACTCGGGCCAGTCGGGCAGCTCCTGGTACCCCCCAGCTTTGGCGTTCAGCAGATGGGACAAAGAACCCAACTGGAAGTGGTCTCGATCTGGATGAGGATAAAATGTGCAAATATTATTCAATGGTTGTATCTTAATTTTGACTTGAGATGATCCTGGTTTATCAACTTAGGAATATTATTAGTCAAGATTAGAATTTAAAGCGCCACCATGTAACTTTCACCTGCATGATTCCATGAAAACAGAAAGTGAAAATCAAAGTTGAGAACATTCTACATGGGGATAGATACATTTTATGCTATAGTACTGTGGAATATTATAGCAAAGGTCAGGTTTGTAGAGATGCAAGCTTTCTCACAATAAGGACACTTGTTTTTCTTCGATGTCATGCCATAAACACAAACAAAATGAAAAAACATGCTTTTATTTTAGTGTATTTTTTAGCTAAAAGTTACATGTCACCTCCAGAAAGTTACTCTAAAACAGAATACCTCTACCAATGTCATAAACACTGAAAATTTCATCCAAAATGCTGAAAAGATTTATGCACAAGGAAGGCATTCTTCAAACAGTTCGAACACTGATTTAACATTGATTTAAGCCCTTCTTAACATTATGGTTGCTAGGTAACAGTTGTGAAATTACTTCTACATATGTCACATGTGCTTCCCGTGTCCAACCGAGTAAAATTATAAACTTATGCATGTAATTACCTTTAAAAGGAGACTCGAGGACCGGTGCAGGTTTCAGGGCGAGGAACAGTTTCTTGGCATATTTACTGAGCGCTCCACTCTTCTCTGTGGGGACGATGAGTTGACGAATGAACCGAGCTCGGTCTCGGATGTCGTAGTTTTGGTCGTATTTCGCCAAATTCAAAACGTACTGTGTCAGGAGCTTGGTCTGAAAAAGAGGCAATACCAAGAATTAAAACTAGCACATACATAACTGTGTGTATGTATATGTATCTTTAGGTACAACATGTGTAAACAAGAATATTTTAACAATATTCTTAAAAGGTGCACTATATAACTTTTTGCTTGGGGGTCCATCACCTGTTTGTTTCTATGGATACGCCATTGCTCTGCCTGGAATGTTCCACAGTATGACATTAAACAGCTCTAACTTACATTTATTCAATTACAGGTGGTTTTATAGTTCAAAAATGCCTACAAAACAGGCATTCTGACTGTGAGAGGGGTCGCCTCTCCACAAACCTGACCTGTAACTTAGTCTGGTTTGGTCTCCATGAAGATAGAAAGGTTTAATGCCATACTGTGACACATTCCGGACAAAGTACATTATTTTATATGTGTGCTGCCAATTAATATGCAGTAGTACTATTAGCAAATCGAATTACAATGTACAATAGAGCTAGGCCTGTAAATATAGACGATCATATTGAAACCAAACTATAAACCAGAATTATCCACAAAACTATTCTAAAATGTACAATATTGTTCAAAAACATGAACTGCAATAATTAGCAGAATGCAACACTTATTAAGTAATTAGATTGTATAGTTGCAGTTCATAATTCAACCCTCTACAGCTCAAATTTTATCATATTGCAGAACAAATACCCAAAAATTCCCACTAGTACAAAGAAAAAAGTACTCAAAACAAATATTGACCCCCAAAAATTATTGTTCCAACATATATTGAACAATAAGTATCGGATTTATCATGACAAGCCTAAACAGAGCAGTGACTCTCAGACCTTTCCCACTAAGTACCACCTTGGAAAATATTTGGCTCTCCATGCACCACCCGAAGACTCTATATTGAAGTGGACTGATGGAGTGTGACGTCACCCATTGCGTTCAGCTCCAGCCATAAGAAGCCAATCAAGGTTAACAGTTATTGAGCTCAATATCTGTAATTATGAGCGCGTGTATCATAGCAATCAAAAAAGCCATTCCGGAGCAAGGTTGCTGAAGGTACTTTCTAAGACTACATTTATACTGAAACAAATCCGTGCATCACCGTATCACCGTATCCGAAATGATCTGCATCCAGACACATCGTTTCTGTGTCCGCAAGCCTTCCCTATCCACACAGCTTTGAGCATATTTGTTTACATTTTACAGAAACAAAATTTAAAACCACATGTCTAATTTGCATAACTTGAGTGTTCAAAAAACAGCTCGCTATCGTGCGCTGATGCGGTTCAGCTTCTTTGGACTACAGAACACGACTCAGCGAAATATGAGTGTTCTTTCTGTGACAGAGGGGTGTTCTGCTAATGGTGAGTCTGTTCTGTGCTTCTATTGCATTGGAGGTGGTTCATGTTAAACTTTTCAGAGATTATACATCTGCAGGTCATACACACAGACCGTATATAGGAATGGACATATATTTTAGCCTCTTAGCGTTTTGGCGGTGAATTACTTTGCAGCGCATAGACCTACATCAGCGTATCAGTGTTTTCAGGTGTCCACACGGTGCCAGATCAGATCCGTGCTCAAATGAATTCGTGGGAGCCTAGCAGCACCACGAATTCACCAGCTGCCATTCCAACTCTGGAGCAGTTTTCAATCGGATTAGTGTGGACAAACACTACATCTGCAATGAAAACGACTCAAATATGTACTAGTGTGGACAGGGCCTAAGAACTTTCATAGACCAGAATGAGAAAAAAGGCCCCTAAAAACAAAAGAACAAATTTCCCCAATTTTTGACATACAAGACTAAAGGAGTGTGACATCACTCATAGTGTTTGGCTCCAGTCAAATGAAGCTCAGAGCAGAGCAGCTGCTCAAACCTGTTGCTAACACTAGCGAGAACAATATCGGTGAAAACGGCAGCTCATTGGTCTGTTATTAATCTTCATATCTTTATTTGTGTATAAAATATTAAAATAAACCACTGAAAAAAACAGGATCACGTAGAGAGGGTTAATACGAACATCTGAAGACCAAAATAAATAGTTAGCTGTGTCTATTTATGTATGTATGTATGTATGTATGAGACCATTGTGACCTAAGCCGTGCCTGACCTGTTTGGAGTTAGTGAGGTAGAGTTTGGCTGCCAGGTTGAGGATCTGTAGTTTGACGATGTCCTCTTCATTTGTGAAAGACTTGGCCATTTTCCTCAGGACGTCTGGAGCGATCTTTGGGACGTGTTCACAGTACTCCCCAATCAGCCAGAGGATACTCGCCCTCGCCATCGGCACCTGTAGAGTAAGAGTGGAAAAGCTGTATTATTAAAATAGACATAATAATGCTTTTGAACATATTTTGTAATAAATCTAGATAATTATTTTGTGTTTTGTAGGGCTATAGTTGATTTTTGTTGGCTAAAGACATGTCCTGTCGATCTATTAGTTGACTAAAAAAGAGTGGCAAAAGCCCAGTTTAGTTCTAATGTAGACTGGGTTTGGTTCTGTTCTAGTCCTGGTTTAGTTCTGGGTTAGTTATAAATGTAGTTCCAGCTTAGTACCAGTTCAAACATGCATGAATCCATCAAAATACAACTTTGAGTTAAACTAGGGTACTGGTTTGAACCTGTTTTAATCCTTATGTAGACCTATGTAGTCCAGGTCTAGTTGTGGTCTAGTCTTGGTTTAGTCCTGGTTTAGTTCTGAATTTAGTCCCAGTTTAGTCAAAGCTTAGTCCCATTTTTGATGTGATCTATATGTAGCCATTGGTGGCCATAATGAAAACTGTCCAGCTTTAGTGCAGTTGGTTAATAATGCTAGAGTCTATAATAGGCCTGACATTACAAATTTTCAAATGACAAATTTTAATTAAAAATTTTGAAGCACAGTACATTACTACACAGAAATATTAAACAATAAACAATAATACTGAAACTACTTTATGCCACTGAAACAATAACAATAATGCAAGACAATCCTTGTAAACCATTTTTAAATAAACAGTATCATTTAAAGGCCTGAGCTGCAACAAATAAATAGCAGAATGAACCAAAACTAACCATAGAAGTTAGTTATTCAACATCAGCACTTCTCTATGTGCCTGTGTGTGGATAGTACACACACACACACACACACACAACCTGGTGTCAGACAGTCAGACAGATTTTATTAGAGAGAGGGGGGGAGGAGGGGAGAAAGGTCGTGGGTGAGTTTGTTGAAATGTTGCAGACTTATCATTGCACCTCTGCGTAAATCATCACCACAACAAACTGAGATTTTAATAACAGCATTTTTTTTTTTCCCAAGAAGGTCAGGCTCAGGACTTCAAAAATGATGAGTCAAGAGAAACTTTGCCCTTCCATAAAACTCAAAAACATATTGATCTTCAGAGAGTTATGTCACAAATAAATGGTAAAATTCCTAAGCTATAATCATTGGTCTTACTTGTGATTCCAGTAAACGCTGGTTACAAGCAGAAGTTGGTGTGTCTTACCCAGCAACACAAGGAATACATTGGAATTGAACCTGCAACTTTATGGTTATTGACTAACAAAACTTGTGTGTGGTTAATACAGTTTCACTTGGTTATTTAAGCGCTCATATTACCTTCACTACTAAGCAAGCCTTGGTAATATCTATTGTTAGCTATTGCTTTAGCCTAATTTAAATGTTTTTCCATGCCCCCTTTTTGACCCGGATATATTCTTCCAGCTTTCATATATTGAACGATAAGTGGATGTAGTAATTATGGTGACAGGCCTAGTGTATAATCGCATTAGTGTACCTGTATGTTATCGATGAGTTTGGCCATGTGTTTGATGATGTCACTGTGTTTCTCCGGCTGCATCTGGAGCAGTTTCTTTATCACCACCACAGACTCGGCCACCACTAGCTCTGAAAAAACAAACAAAAACAGGAAGGAAAATACAGGTTACACATATCGATTTTTAAAATATATTTTACATTTAAAAACAATATGTTCCAATAGAATATTATAATTGATAATATAATATTAAAGGCCCCAAATTTTGTTATGTTCTTTTCTATATTATAATGTTTCCTCATCAGAAACATACTTGGAGTTGTATTTTATGTTATTCACACATGTTTAAACACACAAATACTTATATAACCCTACATATTTATTGGCAATACGAGTAGTGCTCCATTGTGTTTTCAAACTAAATTTCAGTCCTGGAATTGGCCATCTCTTCTACGGTAAACTAAAAGTAAATGGTAGCTATCAAGTTGAAATCTACCAATCGATGGTGGAAGGTGGAACAGAGCATTTTCAGCTTTGGAGATATAGACAGACTAATAATAAAGGCAACATGTGTGTATGAAACAAAACACAACTCTAGGTCTGTTTTTGAGGAGGTAGCAACACGGCTTAAAGCTCACAAGTCAATTCTATGTGATATAGGATCTTTAAACTTATTTCTAATGCTATTTTATGTTATTTTCTGTCTTATATCCTTATATCCATGAGTTTCAGAGTGATGAAAATGTTGTTGTAGACTGCTGCTATAGCAGTTAACAGTTCAGAACAAAATACTGAATGAATTATGAAAATATCTGAATTTCAGAAGTCCTCAAAATGACACCTATGAACAGGAAGCTGAAACCCATGAATAAATAATGTTGACCTTGACCTGCAGTACTGGGTTATGAAATATTGAACATTTTTGAACCATTAAAGTATTAAAAATAAATCATTACAGGGCGGTGGGTCATTGTGATGGGTGCAAATGGAAATTGTCTAAGCTCTCACACATCAATGCTGAATAATACAAAATTACTCACACAATACTATTTTTCCAACTCTGTGTATATTTAGAATGGTTATGGAAGCAATGGATCAAATTGTTTCTTTTGAACAAAATTCAGCATAAATCTGTATCAAAATCACAACATTTGAAGCTTTATTAGATCTCAAAAAACTTTTTACTCCTTGAGTACATTTTTAATGGGTATTTTAATTTAACTTTTATCTGAGTGCATTTTTCATGTGAAACTTACACTTGAGTATTTCTTACTCCAGTATCTGTACTTTTACTTAAAGATCCTATAGTATGCAAAATTGACTCTTGTGAGCTTTAAGCCATATTGTTACCTCATCAAAAACATACCTGGAGTTGTGTTTTGTTTTATTCACACATGTTTGAGTGAGGCTTTATTATTAGTCTGTATATCTCCAAAGCTCAAATTGCTCTGTTCCACCTTGTGATGTCATGTAACAGCTATCTTTTACCTTTTGTTTGGCAGAGAATGGAAATTCCAGCACTGAAATATCCAAATGATTCTAGTGAGGGGGTATGAAGTTTAAAAACAAAGTGGAGCACTTTCTGTATTACCACATGACATCACAAGGTGGAACAGAGTGTTTTCTGCTTGAGAGAAGAACTCAGTTTAAATATGCAGGGCTTGCGTCTTAAACATGTGAATCACACAAAACACAACTCCAGGTCTGTTTGTGATGAGGAAGCAACATTTATAACATAGATCAGACAACTGCATAATATGGACCTTCTACATAACAAACCTGAGTACTTCTTTCACTACTTCTTCCACTAGTTTACCGTAGTAGAGACTGCCAATTCCCGGACAGAAATTTTGTTTAAAAACTCAATGGAGCACTACTGGTATTACCAATACAATCAATATGTAGGGTTATATAGGTATTTGTATGTTTAAACATGTGTGAATAAACAAAATACAACTCCAGGTATGTTTCTGATGAGGAAACATTGGTTAAAAGGTTATAATAATTTATTTTTATAATATGTCCCCTATAATGTCTAGTCTCTCACCGTCTCTGTTAGACAGCAGCTGCACCAGTCCGTTCAGACACGTGTCCCGCACCTCTCCGATGTTTGTAGCACAGCGGCCGATAGCTTGGATGGTCGCTGCCACAAAATCCTTATCCATACTTTTAATGTACGTCTGAACAACACACACAGGAGGAGTATTATTATTATTGTTATGGTGAATTACTGCAGTTTTTGTCTTCACTGAGGCACAGATGGAAGCCATTTCAGGCCATTATTTTTGGTTTGAAGTGACTTTTACCTGAAACTCTCTGAGGATAGTGGAGATGTTGGTCTCATTTGCCAAATTGGTGAGAACTTCCAGCTGAAAAACAAAACATTAAATGTCAATGGGTATGTCTATCTGTAGTGTATGTATATATTAACTCATAATTAACTCACAAATTAATTAATAATGAATGGACTAATATTCTGTTTTAAGAGATCCCTTAAAGGTCCTATATTACACAAATATTTATTCTTGTGAGTTTTAAGTCTTGTTATAATGTTGTTACCTTGTCTCATTTATGCACATTTTGAGTAACTCTTAAATTATCTATAACGCCAAAGCTTAAAATGCTCTGGTCCATCTTGTGATGTCATGAAGTGGTAGTTTTCAAGTTAACAGCTCCTTTTACCTTTAGTTTAGTAAGGATGGGCAAATTCAAGACTGAATCAAAAATGATTCTAGTGAAGGTGTGAAATAAAAAAAAATGGTGGAGCACTTCCTGTATTACTACATGAAATCACAAGGTTTAAAAATAAGATGCTTTGGAGCATTCCAAGCAAAGCAATAACATCTCCATGGAGACAACAAGGTGGTGGACAAGTGAAAATAAGGATTTTATGAGAACTCAAGCCATGGATTCTGGACAATATAGGGTTACTCAAATATTCATGAATCAATCAAAATACAATACTCAACACAATGATGAAGGAATAAGGTGGATAAAAGCTCATAAAAATTGCAGAATAATTGCATTTTTCATGTATCTTTATTTATACAGGGAAATTCCAATGAGTGTACCAGATTCTCTCTTTCATGAGCATTCAGATAATTCAAACAAAGCAATAATACGAACAGCATGGGTCCATTTAAAACCTTAGAACAGGTGCAGGTGTGACTATCAGTGGATACAGGAAATTTAAGTGAGGACAAACCTTGAGGATTTTGATCTGTGTTGGGTCTGTGGAGCGAATGTAGAAACTCTTCAGGTACGGTTCAAACATCCCCTGAAAAAAAAAAAAAAAAGACATGGCTGCGTCAATTGGCTGTAGATCTCTACATTAAAAAGACCCAAGATCATCTTTGACAAGTGGCTTTTTGTGTAATTAAAATAGTATTAATCACTTAGACCTACAATAAATAGTTCAGTCTACTCAGTCAGTTATACTACAGTTTTAAAGTGTTCAAAATGCAGTTATTTGATGGTTTAAGTGTCGGCGTGTATTGGTACTTTGCAGTGACATCTTGATGGGGGAGTTCTACATGTATCTCTAAGGGTGGAATGTGGTGACACGATGCACACATTAGCAAACACTGTCATGATTTTCAGGAGCCTGTGATCAATACAGTGCTCATGGTCCTGTTTGTAGGAGTTTGTTTTTCAACAAAAAGGTGAGAGTGACTAACTGAAAAACAGTTGTATCTCCAGCTAAATCGGTTCTAAATGGTTAGATTGTGTTAAAATGAAGTGTAATAATGACATCAGCTGCAAAGTATGAATAGTAGTATGGACAAATGGACTAAATGGACAGCTTACCCTCCTCTTGATGGTCATTGTTGCTACATTTTGAAGAACAACAAACTGGACCTCGCTGAAAAACAAAAACAAACAAAAAAATTGTTAATTATTACCTTGTCTGGAAAGTTCCTCAGTATGTCATATGTCATTGAACATGATCCATCCTGCCTTTACTCAATTACAACTCAATACTTTTTATTTGCCTTAATTCTTACTTTGTTTGAGCTTGTCTCTCCACAGATCTGATGTGTAACTTGACTCTGTGGTGTCACGAGCTTGTCCCCATAGAGATAACTAAGTGTCATGTCATACTGTGGGACCTTCCACCCTCCACAGTGAATTTTAATGAGCACTATTTTGTTAATTTAATTAGTTTGTTTGTCTAGTTTGTTTAAGGTCACTTTAATATCACTATTTTTTGTATTATAATTATTTACCTTGTTGTATTTTTGATTAAATTAGTAGTTTTAGTTAATTATTTAGTGTAATTCTCCCCTCTTGTGTTCAGTTTTAGTTGGTCCTCATGTATTTAAACACCCCTCGTCTTTGTCTTGTTGGGTTAATTTTGTTCTGTTCAGTTTGCCTTAAGTTCCCCCAGTTGGGCCCGGCTTTTTGTTAATGATTTACCTACTTTGAGCTTTTGTTAAATTACATATTTTTGACTTTATTAAATTTAAACAAATTTTTATACCTTGTCTTTGCCTTTTTGTTTGGTCCACTACTAAATGTTTAACACACAAACCCTTCATTATTAGGCTGAGTTCTGCGCTCTTTTCAACCTTATGATGTCATGTTGTAATACAGAAAGTGCTCCATTGTGTTTTTAAACTCCATGCACCTTAACTAGAATCATTTAGGATGTGTGAAGAATCCCTCAGTCGTCCAGGAAGAATCCATGGCGAGGAGAAACTTCTGTTTGTCGACTGGACAAAAGTTAGTTTGGTTGAAGATGTTTCAGACGTTTCATCTCATCCAAGCTGCTTCTTCAGTTCGAAATGTCTTCAACCAAACTAACTTTTGTCCAGTTGACAAACTGAATTTTCTCCTCGCCATAGAATCATTTGAATAATTTCAGCAATGGAATTGCCAATCTCGACTAAACACAATGGTAGCTGTTAACTTGAAAACTACCACTACATGACATCACAAGGCGGAACAGAACATTTTGAGCTTTGGAGATGTAAACAGACAATAATAAAGGATTACTCAAACATGTGTGAATGAAACAAAACAACTCCGTATGAAATTTGGGGAGGTATCAACATTATAACATGACTTAAAGCTCTCAAGAGTCAATTTTGCGTAATATAGGACCTTAAATGTGAAAAGGACACCGCGCAAAATGTGACTACACAGTTTTCTTAACCAGTTTGTGTTTATCAGCCATCCAGTGCACTAGATATGAAAAAAAAATATATATATAAAACAATCTCTAATGTGAATTAATGCATATATTTATATATAAAGCTTTTTACTGCAGCCTTCACTTCATTTTTGCAAGTCATACCAACATCTGCCATTTGGACCCGTTCATTTCAACTATCAGTTTCAAAAGTACTACAGCAAAGTACTATTTAACAACATGACATCTTAAAACACATAGTATATTAGTAAAACTCTATCATATAGCTTTATATTTTGGAGAAAGCCCCAATGGAAGGATGCAGTGGTTTGAATGATAGTGCCATTAACCACACACACAGAGCCAGAGGAGGCTTGTTCAATAAAGAGCTGCCAGTGAGGGCTGAGTTATGAGCCCACCAGGCCACCGTAGAGCCAGCAGCCGTCTCTGTGGTTTATGGGTCCATGTTTACCCCGTCTCCTCCTGTTTAATTTCATTCTGTGCTTGCAGGCAGAGAGGATTTGTAGTCATCCCATGGGTTTACACTTCGCTGCGTTTCACGGTTGTTATCGTTTGGGGTTTGGGGTTGGGTGAGTGCTCGGGTCTGATTGGCAAACAAGTGAGAAGCAAGTCAAGTGAATGTACATTTAAGATTTAATATGATCAGAGAGTTTTCAAATTGCAATAGTACTGGCAGTGATGTGCTAAAATATCAGATTATCAATATACTAAATCTAGTATAGAAACTAGGGCTGGGCGATATGGATCAAAAAATATATCTCGATATATTTTGCTATATCTCGATATACGATATATATCTCGATATCTGGTCAAAAAAAAATAACCCCCTAAAACTGAAAACTGCAAAAAAAAAAAAGAAAAAAAAAGAAAAGCCAAATTCCAGAAGGCTTTTTTTTAATTGAAGTGTAAGAGGTCAGCAGTTCATATAGGAATGTTTAAGATTACAAAAAACCTAATTACATAAATAATAATTTAACTGTAAAATTAAAGAAATAATACATATTTCCTTCTTTTCATTCATAAATAAAACAACTCAACACAAGCTCATCTTTGCATTAACTCTGTTATCCAGACCAGAACCAGAACCATGAGCTCCTTTAGCAGAAGAAGCTCAGGATGTTCCTTATTTTAACAGATCCATGTTCCAGTAGTAAGGAGCTCTGAGGTTTCCCACAATCCACTGCAGATCAAACCCAACGTTTCCAAACACTATTGTACAAGTTACACTGCAACAGATTATTCATTAAAATATTCTGCATAAATAAACTTTACATTACTAAACTTTACAATATATAAAGCATAACAACTCTAGAGCCACATCAGCCTGTTTGCGATAATAATGTTTTTAATGCAGTTTTGCGCACGTGTGTTTACATTTTACAGAAACGAAATTTAAGCGCATGGCTCATTTGCATAAACAGTGCACTTCTCCTGCAGCTCAGCTCGTTTAGCTTCTTTCGGGCTAAAGGACGCGACTCGGTGGAATATGAGGATGTGCTGCTGATGGTTTTGTCTGTAAATGGTGGAAAAGGTTCGTGGTGCTTGAAGCTTTTCACTGGCACCAACTTTCTTCGTTCACGGCGATAGTGAGGAGTGAAGGAGACACTAGCGAACAAAATCAGGGAGGTGGGGTGCGCGGGCGACGAGAGAGAAGGTAAACAAGCGAAGCGGAGAAATCTAAATTGAATATAAGCATTATATCGATATATACGATATGTCAGAATTCATATTGAGTTTAAAAAATATCTCGATATATTTAAAATATCGAGATATCGCCCACCCCTAATTGAAACTAGACTAACTCATTTGAGATGGTGTCAATACTAAAAAAGCTACTTTCACAGGACAGAAATGAAGCTTTCCTGAATGTTTTTAGTATGATCTTGAGCTGTATCAGAACAAGTATAAGAGGACATAGAATAGTATACTCCCATGGACCACTATGAAACCTACCTTGACCATTGAGGGAGTACGCAGATGTGAGACCACATGGGAATATAAAGAAAGTACTATGATTTAATGTTGAAGATCATATTCTTGTCTGAATAGAGTGTTTTATTATCATAGTGGTATCCAGTCTATTCCTTAGAATTGATTGATTGATCGTGTATGAAATATTAGTACAGTGATACAATTTTGTATCCTGGCTAACACCAAACTAATATATGTGGCACTCTTAGTTTAAACTATTGGTGGCCAGAGCCCAGTCATAGCAGCAAGGAGTCTGGCCAGATGGAAGTTTGTGAACTCATGAATATCGCAAGAATTCATCTTGCTGTCCAGATTAACAATGTGATGCAGTTTGGAGAAGAATGGAAAACATTTTACATATTCACTGTTTTGATGATAAAAATTTGGGAAGATAGTGGTTTAACAAAGAAATACTGTAATTAAAAAACAATTTGTGGCAAATTGTTTACAACTTTTCTGGTAGAGGGTCCACCACCTACTTGTCTCCATGGAGATGTTAATGCTTTGCCTGGAATGTTCCATGGTATGACATTAAACATATCTGTCTACAATTTATTCATTATGTTTTTTTTATTTTGCGCAAAAATACAACAATCCCTTTTGTAAGCAGGGGCGACTCTCCACAGATCTAAATTGTAATATAGTGTACTGCTGTAACCAGCGTGTCTCCTTATTATAGATTTAGAGGTTTAACCTATACTGTGGAACATTCTAGACAAAGCAATAACATTTCCATGGAGACAAGCGGGTGGCAGACCCTCCACTAGAAATGCTACACAGTGTACCTTTAGAATGAAAGTTAAGTTTAATATTTAGCCTTTCCTTGGGTTTAGCATTAGGCCAAGTAAAAATTCAATGAGATCTGGCAACAGAATCATAGTATTATAGCAAAAAAGAAACAACATAAGTAGAATTTGTATAAAGGATTGGTGAGAAAGAAAGTGAACTGCGCATGAATTTATTGTAAGGAAGCACAAGAATAAGTGAGAGCTTGAATTCCTCACCTGTGACTTCTGAGGAGCCGAACCAAAGCTTTGGCGATGACTCCGACCTCTGCTTTAGGAGCCAGATGAAAATACAACTGTGCAACGGCCATCACCACCTTCAAAATAAGACACACAACCACTTTCAAAATAAGATACAGAGACAGATGGGTAGAGTAACCAAAAATTGTACGGTAAGAGTAAAGTTACTTCAAAATAATCAGTTAAGAAGTAGTGGTCCAACAAATTACTTAAACATATTTGGAAACTACTACTCAAGGAGGAGTGACTGTCTGGATTTCACATTTGATCGTTTTAAATTTGATCTTGATGTAATTGGAAAAATGACATAGTCTGCAGCACAAAATATGGTGTTTTAAAAGAACGGACATTTATCTAAACCTGAAAGTAATGACTAAAGCCTTATTAAAAAAAAAATCAAAGCTTGAATGCACCCATCTGAATGAGTCACTGTTGGTCAATAACCATTGGGTAACCAAAACAGTGAAGCATGTTAAAAGGCTGTAGGAGCAGCACAGTTTATTCATACAAGGTGATGTGGGTGAAGTGTTTTGCCTAAGGACACAATGACACTGTCCACTCTAACAATAAACCCATATATTCTGGTGCATTGTCAGTGTCTTGTCAGCACTCACGGCATTCATGCTCTTGCCGATATATCGATACAGCGATACCCACAATATATGTATCACCAAATGGTGATACATCAGTATTTTCACATTTTTGTACACTCTTAGATACAAGCGGTTGAAATTAGTTAGAATTAGATATAGGGTGAGGAGCAGAGGCACACAGGAGGAGCTCAGAGTAGAGCCGCTGCTCCTCCAAGTCGAGAGGAGCAGCTGAGGTGGCTCATGTATCTGTTCCGGATGCATCCTGGAGTTTGATAATAGACCTTTTTCACAATGACCAGAAGTCCCCCCCTGTAGGGTTATGAAACTTCCGGTTAATGGTTTTCTACAACAAAATATCTGTGGAAATGTGTCGCGTATGCTCCATCAGCTTCATAAATCTGCCCCATCACCAAATCTTCAACCAACAAGGTCCACAAAGGATAAACATTCTTCCATCTATTTTAATGAATAAAACATAAGTAACGTGCTAACTCAGATTGATTCTACAATTTAAAATAAATTTCATGATGTAGATATTAGCATAGATCTATATAGCTGTGCAGTTCAAAGGTTATAGATGTTCACAGATTGCATCTGTAGCACCAGGAAATTGATTTTTAATTTTAATTCTAGAATCAATCTGAGTGAACAGGTTACTGTTTATTCATGACCATAATGTTAGTTTTGCTCAGTAGTTCACTAATGCCAGTCATTGTTCACCTTTAAGTTTTCATCTTTCTAACCTTTATAGTGGATAAATTCTTCATGGACAGAATATGTCCTTTGTGAAACTTGTTAGTTTCACAGTAGATTTGCTGATGTGGCAGACTTATGAAGCTGGTGGAGAATACACGAGACATTTCCACAGATATTTTATAATAGAAAACCATTAACCAGAAGTTCCGCAAACCTACAGGGCGGCACCAGTTGTTGTGGAAAATGTCTATTAAAGATACACTATGTAAGTCTTCTGGTTACAGGTCGACATGACTCAAGCCTTATTAAAAAAATCAAAGCTTCAATGCACCCATCTAAATGACTCACTGTTGGTCAATAACCATCAGGTAAACAAAACAGTGAAGCATGTTAAAAGGCTCTAGGAGCAGCACAGTTTATTATTAACATGATGATTACAACATCCATACAAGGTGATGAGGGTGAAGTGTCTAAGGACACAACAACACTGTCCACTCACACATTAGGCCCATATATTCTGGGGCATTGTCAGTGCTTGTGTTTTGTTGATACTCACGGCTGCATTCCTGCTCTGTAGAAGAGGTTTGGTGTTCCTCAGCAGAAGTCTGTGGTCCGGGTCCATGACATACGGTTTCCTTTTAGCCATGGCCTCAGCCTTCTTCTCCTTCTCCTTCTCTTCCTCATCCTCGTCCTCGTCTTCGTCAGAACCGTAAAATGTCTTGCCTTCAGTGTTGCCCTCCTCCAGCAGAGACTCCTATGGGGGTCAAAAATAAATGAAATGCATAAATTAAATGAGAAGTCAGTACTAAAACTTGGGGCTTGTTTATTGAAGGTAACAGCTAAAATGGCTTCTCCTCACTTCTACTTAAAGGGACCATATTACCCTATTTTCAGATTTATGTTTTAATGCTGTTCCCTCATCAAAAACATATCTGGAGTTGTTTTTTTATAGTTTTTGTATAGTTTTAACACCAAACCCTCCATATTTAGGCTCAGTTTTTCCTCTCAAACAGAAAACACTCTGATCCACCATGTGATGGAAGTGTTCCACTGTGATGTGCTTCATACACCTTCACTAGAATCATTTGGAATTGTCAACCTCTTCTGAATTAAAAGTAAAAAGTAGCGGTTAACCTGAAAAACAGCTTCATGACATCACAAGAAGAGAGCTTCTTTACTTTGGAGATGTAGGCAGAGTAATAAATAGTAACATCGCTTTGTGATACTAATAGGCTCCTTGCCGGCTTCTGGCACTCGGGCCTAATAAAGGGTTATTCAAACATGTGTGGATGAAACAAAACACACAACTTTAGGTATGTTTTTGTTGAAGTAACAACATTCTAACATGACTTAAATCTCACAAGAGTCAATCATGTCTAATATAGGACCTTTAAGGGAAAATAACACAAATACTATCACTATTTTAGTAGGTGGATATCAAAGCAGGACTGGACTAATGTTCCTATTTAAATGTACAAATGCAAACTCAGAAAATCCAGCCTCTGAGGACAACTGAAACACAGCACACATCTTGTAGTTTTAACAAAAATATTGTTTTGTGTTTTTAAACTGGCAATTCCAGAATGAAACCTCTCTGTGTCAAAATCAAATTTCTCTCAAATCAGATGAACAGAGTGCTTCGCTCATCGATTTTGCAGAAGTTTTTCTGCCTGATGATTTTTTTTCCTTTATTTTTTCTAAATATGGATGGACCTTGCATGTCAATCATGGGCATCTAAAAATGATTCACAGGTGACTCACATCTTTGTAAAGTATTGAAGAAGTGTATCCCAGGCAGTTTTTTTTTGTTTTACTTTTATGCTACATTTTGTCTATTCTTTTTCATGTTAGTCAGCTAAAACTGTCAATATTGTTATCACGTTTTATTAGGATCACCATTAACTGCCCTTTAATGTCCAGATAGACAGACCAGCAGAGATAGATACACAGATCGATTTTTGTCTTTTCTAAAAACCGATATGCCTTGTTATGCACATTCCAACCAATATTCCAGCACATGCGAGCGTGCCTTTTTATTGAAGAAGGACAAAGCTATACCAGGTAATGAATTGGCCCCATAACAGTGTTTTACAGCCTATTTAAAAAACTCATTTTCTTGTTGTTGTTTTCTCGAGAGACAGATGTTGGCAGGTGTTGATGAAAATGAACACAATCACTAAACAGATGATGATTGAGGCAGACTTCCAGATTTATGGGCAAAGCTTGTGGGAGTATAATCAACAAACTCTAAAAACTCTTAAAAACTTTACTTCACTAATACCACCACCACAATATGATTTCCAGATAAAGCGAATAAAAATAATTTTCATTTACTGGGGTCAAAAGTGGTGAAGTTAGTCGCTGTGAACCTAAACAAAAGTTCTGCAAAATGCCCTTATTTTATAACAGTATTTTATATAACAGTGAAAAACAGTGAGGACTTAAACTGTGTAAATGATTTCAAGAGTTTGATCATTAAAGATGCACTATGAAAGTAATCTTGTTACAGGTCATATCTGTGGAGAGGTGATCCTACTCACAGTAAGAATGTATGTTTTGATAAAAAATACTTAAAATTTAAAGGTTCTATATTACGCAAAATTGACTCTTCTGAGATTTAATACAAAAAAGTGTTTGAGTAATTCTTTATTATGAGGCTGTCTGCGTCTCTAAAGCTCAAAATGTTCTGTTCCACCTTGTGATGTCATGAACCAGTAGTTTTAATATTTTACCTCTGATTCAGTAGAGAGTGGAAATTCAAGGGTGAAACTATCCAAATGATTCTAGTGGTGGTGTATGGAGTTTAAAAACACAGTGGAACACTTCTTGTATTACCACATAACCTCACCAGATATGTTTTGATGAGGGTACAATATTATAACACAGATCAGAAAATAGCGCAATACGGGCCCTTTAACAAATGCAAGCTAGATACATTTAATGCCATGCTATGGAGCATTACAGGTAAAGCACGGCACAATAGTTTTGAAGTGGATTCCCACTCACGTTGATGTTTGGGTTGAGAAACTGCGTCCTGGCGTAGCGCGTCAGCATGTTGATGATGACCACCTGTCCCCATTCCTCCACATCAATCAGCAGGTTACACAACTTCCTGTAGTTTTTGTGAATGAGGTCGATACGCTCGGGACACACCTCTTCAAACGCCATCACCACACTGCCTGCCACCAACTGAAAAGACATGCAAAAAAATAATACAATAAACAGGGTGACCAGAATTTCAAAATAAAAACTGGGACATCCCTGTTTTTTTGGTGATTGGTAATAATAAAATAGTGAAACTAGTGTGTAATTAAGGAAAATTGTTATGCAGAGACCACTCATGACTAACATGTGAACCAGTAGTCACATTTTATTTGTGTTTTGGTCATTTTTAAGCAGATTTTCTGTATTTTACTGAAACAAATTACAATATATGCCTCTCTTTACTGTGGGCAGGGATCAAATTGGTCAAAAATAGGGACACCCAGGACATTTCTTTTATAAAACTGGGACAAATCACAGGTTTTGGATAAATCTGCAGGGACAGAGGACACAGGGCTCAAAACTGAGACCGTCCCAGGTAAACAGGCACCCTAAGTAAACCATGAATTTTAAAGGAATGGACTCTTGTGAGCTTTTAGCCATGTTATATGTTGTTACCTCCTCAAAAACAGACCTGGAGTTGTGTTTTGTTTCATTCACACATGTTTGAGTGATCCTTTATTATTAGTCTCTCCAAAGCTCAAAATGCTCTGTTCCACTTTTTGATGTCATGTAGTGGTAGTTTTCAAGTTAACAGCGACCTTTTACCTTTAGTTCAGTGCAAAAAGTGGCAATTCTAGGGCTGAAATTATCCAAATGATTCTAGTGAAGGTGTATGAAGTTTAAAAACACAGTAGAGCGCTTCCTCATAACATCACAAGGTGGAATACAGTATTTTTAGTTTGAAAGAAGAACCTATATATACAAAATGTATGTGTTAAACATGTGTGAATGAAACAATAAAAAACTCTAGGTATGTTTGTGATGAGGAAACAACATTATAACATAGAGCTCTTTAATCTTTCTTTAAATACTTCTTTTTCTGCATAAATTTTGCATGAACTCCCCCTGCAGGTGTAGTCTTGTGAGTGCAGTTTGGGTCAGATACATAGAGATACGTAATCATTTTGAGAGCTTTGGCCAGGCTCCCTTTTTATTCGACCGATAATTTCTTTCATACAGCCCTATATATAACACCCGTAGCACAATTAAATGCATAAATAAAAAAACGACATATAAGCCATAACATTTAGCTGTGTGACATTTTCAAATATATTGTGCAGTCTGTTATTTATTATTGGACCCCAGACCTCCGCAGTGGGAACAAGCTGTGTGTTTTCAATGAATTTCTGGCTAATTTTGAGGATTATTCTGTCTCTGTTTACTCTGTGCGAGGAGAATAATTGCTTTTAATTTTCTTACACAACTCAGAGGCTCATTTGATTAATTATCCAGCCGAACAGATGCAAAACACTGGGTTAATTTAGAACCAAAAGATAAACAAGTCTAGAGGCAGCACAGGCTGAGGACGTAATATTTGAGTTCAGGATTAGTGTTTCTCTTAAAAAACTTGGAAAACAGAACTAGTTCATTTACGTTTTGTTCAAATGTATTCCTCACTTACCTTATGCGTTTCTAATTTTTCACCATGATGAGTTCATGAGCACTTTTCGCATCTTTCAGAGGCTGTGACGGTAAAGGTAACGGCAACTAGCATCCAAACATGCATTTCCTGATTCTCAGACAATAAACTTCATAAAGCTTTATTGTTAGCAGACTTGTTTTGAACTCTTACACACTATATATGTAATGTAAAAGACAGCTCAAATATATATAAAAAATAAAAGTAAAAATAAAAGTTAATATTTATACGAAAAAACTAACTGTGGTTTTGTCGGCGAGGAGTTTCTCAATGACTTCAATGAGTTGATCCTTCTGCTCAGGGTCCAAACTGTGAATGAGAAGAGATAACGCATTTAATTAGACTATCCATTTTAAATAAGAGAACATACGTGGAAGGCTATTTTAATTTAAACTAAAGAATAAATAAAGGCAAAAGAAGGTGCCCAATTGTTGTTATTAATGTTCATATCTTGATTTACAGACAAAATATCAAAATAAAACCCCAGGATTATGTAGAGTGGGTTAAAACGAATATTTTAAGGTCAAAATGATGAATCTGACAGCAGCAGTTACCGAGAGAGGTGTGGCAGTTTTTCAATATAAAGTGAAATGGAGTTCAATAGGTTCACGTTCAATATTTGTGAATTCGCCTTTTGGATATTTCATGGCAAAGTACAATGTAATCAATAAGGAAAACTGGCTCGTGGCCCTATTTGGGAGTATGACATCATCACAGTCTAGAATCTGAAAAGCACTTATACCTGTAGAGTTTGGGAATAGCATGTGCTGCGGTCTTCCTGACATATGGAGACATGTCGGAGGCGGCCTCTTTAATGGCCAGCATCATAATGGGAACGATGATGGTCACTCTGATACTGGACAGCACCCTCAGAGCGCTAGCCCGGATCAGCTGGTTTGGGTCCTACAAAACACAACATTATTCATGAATGAGATGGGTTAACGTGACAGCACAACATTGTAGAATCCCTAGAGTTTAACACTGAGCTTGAGGACAGGTCAGAATTCTATGGTGGAATTTAGTGTTTAAAATGCATAAGACAGGTTTATTTTTCTAATTATGACTATGAGTTTGGTGGGATAGTAGACAGATAGGTAAACATGTTTCATAGTTTTACGTCAATTAAGTATGAAAAAAGTTGACAATCCAATTTACTCACAAAGAAGGATTTTTCAGACAGATTAAAGTTTCATCCAAGACACCCATGGACCATTATGTTCTAATATAAAAAAAAATTTTATTGCAATATTCATCTAAAATGACTTAAGTAAAAAAATAGTTTGCAGACTATCACTTTAGAAAAATGTGGTGCCCAATGGGAGCTGACGTTGCCGTAAATGTCAACACAACACAGAGTCGGTGTTAGGGACTGGTGTGTAAATGGTTCATATTGCGCACACCACAGAAAGCTGCCCTCTGCTGATAGATGCACAGGCATCTGTGCAGACACCTGTCCCAGGGCCTCTGGGGATGTTAACTATGTCTTGGAATTTTTGTAATCTAACCTATCATATTCACATTTAACCACATTTATGAGCAATGCAATGAATATGGGCGAATTCTCCTCCACCCCCACAAAGCAAAAGTACATAAAGTTGTAGACCTTGTTGAGTTCTCACAGAGGACGAAAGCATCCGCAGACACGGACACAGAATAACAAAAGGCTGTTGAGTTAAATCTGAGTGTTACCTTTAAACCACGCTGAAATGTGGAGATAGACAAAAGAGCCAGGTCCTGCTGCTCCTCTGCATAACGCACCAGATACACGTACACCAACTTCTTCACCTGAAAGACAAAAAACAGAAATTATGTAGAGTAGTTATTGTCACAAAACAGCAGCTTGAATTTATTTGTTCAAATTGAGATAAAGGTTTGAGTGTCCAGAGTGTAATTTAACTAAAATATTAAAGTCTGTGAATAATGGGAGTACGCTGTTTTGCAGTTTGATTAGTTGTCAGAATGGGAAAGGCCAGTGAATATGAATTTTACTGAATTTGAGCCAAATGAAGCTAAAAGATGCGGCTGCTACCTCTTAATTAAGATTTATTAAGAGCACCTCTTAATAAATCACTCTTATAGATGTATTCATCGAAAAAACACATTTCCACTGTCATTTACATACAAAAAATCACTATTTCTATTTCTATTTCCATCAACTTCTATCTATCCATCTATCATAGTTATATAAGGGATTTTGTGTTGGATTTTGCTAATATTGACAGATAACATTTTCCAATTAGATTTCATTTGTGTCTCAAGTATTCATTGCTCTGTGATTTTAGCAAATATATTACTATTTCCTGCCAAAATGGATAGATTCTATTATTTTTGTAACGTTTTTTAAGAACAAAATTCTTTTTGAGTTTTCAGAGAAGATCACGTTCAATTACTGGAAGCTTGAAAGAAGCAAAATACAGTTCCAGGTATGTTTTTGACGAGAGGACAACAATTTAACATGGACTATTTTGCATAATATGTGTTCTTTAAAATGTGTGAACTCCATTTGGAATAGTATAATAGTTATAGTATTCATTAAATAGTAAAGTACTGTCACTCACCTCGATGTTTTTACAGGCCACATTCTTGACCACAGCTGGGAATAGATCGGACGCATTTTTACCTCGAGCAATCATCTGTGAGAACAAAAATAACATGTTCACTTTCAATACAACCTTGCTACAGGTCAGATCTCTGGAGAGGCGACCCCACTCACTGAAAGAGGACATGAGCCTAAGACAGTTTTAGCAACAAAACACAAATTGATAAAATAAAAAAATAAAAAACCAATGAATATAATGTAAGAGAGCAAAGAAAATATACCAGCTCTAAATAGAACCAGGACTGAACCAGGTCTAAACTAGGTCTAAACTAGGTCTAAACCAGGTCTTAACCAGGTCTAAGCCAAGTCTGAACCAGGTCTAATGCAGGTCTGAATAAAGCCTAACCCATGTCTTAACCAGGTCTAAACCAGGTCTAAACCAGGTCTAATCCTCTGGACTTGGCCCTGTAATTTCATGTCTGTTACTTGTGCAGAGTGTCCTGTAGAAATAATGAATGAAGCTTTGAAGGATCTGACACAGACTCTGAATATTTAAGGGCGACCGGCACAGAGCTGTTACATCATCTCCAAGTTTAACCCAAAGACCCCTGAATCTAACCACTGGCTGTCAAAAAGCAGATGCTCATTGATGCTAAAACAAAACCAGCATCGATAGTATATAAGTCATATTTACAAACCTGCCTGGACAACTGATGTAAAACAGCATGATAATTTAAAAGAAAATACTATGTTGTCTAAAGAAAGAGGGTCTTAATTGTCATTGTGGTATCAGAATCGGTAAGTCTACCCTTTAGTATTGAAATTTTAGTATTGTGACATTAATCTAGCCACTGAAAAATATGAAATATTCCATAATATAGCATCTAGCATTTATTTAATTGCAGAAGAATGTCCCACAATATGGCATTAGTCACAATCTGGTGGCAGTTATTCCTGCTGAAAAGTAACACCATGGATCTTTTACTGCAGCTCCTATGTTCAAACACAGATACAGTTCAACCTGTTTTTCAGATTCTAGAATGAAGACTCAAACTCCCAGATTAGGGCAAAAGGTAAATTTTCCTACTGATGACACTGAACCTGGTATGAATATCCAAAAGGTAAATTCACAAATGTTACACCAGATCATTTCTATAAGTGAATGGACCCAGGAACTCACTGTATTACAACAAAAATCTGCATTTCAACCATATTAATTTAGCTGTCCCCATCTGTACTAAATGTTACTGGGTTTCAGATGAAATCACTACATTCTATAGGCCAATAGTATTTAATACAGATGGGAGGCAGCTAAAATGAATATTGTTCAACTGCAGATTTTTGTTGTAATATAGCATGGTCTTGGGTCTAGTCAGTAATAGAAATGATCAGGTTTGATGTCTGGGAATTGACTTTTCTGATATTTCATGGCAAAATACAATATAATTAGTAGGAAAAAACAGAGATGTAATGATATCAAAATCTCTCAGTACAATATTATCATGATATGCATCTCATGGTACAATATTTATTGTGATATTTTAGAGAGGCTGATATAATTGTAGATAGGACATTTACTTTTTTGCTTTTAAAATGCCCTGACAAGATTTTCATGTGAATTATTACTGTCATAATCCCAAGAATTCAAGTAAAAACATATTTCTTCATTTTGTCTGCACTAAAATGACTCATGGGGTACGTAGTTCCCGATGTTTATTAGCTATTGGTACTATAAAACAATGCATTTAAGCAAAGGATTTTGTAATTCGATATATTGTGCCCACAGTATTATTGTGAGACTTCTGACGATACAATATCACAATATTTCAGTTATTGTTACATCCCTAGGAAAAACTGGAGCTTGCCCCCCCATCTGGAAGTATGACATCATCACATTTTAGAATCTGGAAACTACAAATTATTGGCCAATAAAATCTGGGTCAGGAGTGAAAGGTGAATTTAACCAATCGCACCAAAGTGTCAAGTCTAAGAAGAAAATAGCTTTCGTTACCTCTGAACCAAATAAAGCAACTATACGTGTACCATAAAACAAAATTATGACCTAATAATTTGCAGTGGCATCACGTTGGGAAGTTTCTACATGTATCTATAATGGAGGAATGTTCAGCAGTTACCATGGTGGTACAATGCACACATTAGCACCACCACCAACACGACGAAATGAGTTTTAAGAACACTCAAGAAAATATAAAATGGACAAATTTTCACAAACCTGTGATCGATACGAGCGTTCATGGTCCTGTCTAGGTGTTTGATTTTTCAGAACAGCACAAATCAGCTCACCTGCTGTAGTTAAGCAGCTAAACTCTAAAGTCTAACATCTAATTTGAGTAACTTGAGAGCTTCAGACAGACCAGTGCCTCCAGCATCACACCCTGCAAACTACCAATAATCATGATATGACCTTTTGCCTATTACCCGTTTCCACAATTACATCATATCTAAATAAAGTATCCAACTCACAGCTACAATCCTCTTCATGGCCTCCAGCTTCAGTGAGTCCTTGTTACTGTCCAACATCTCCTTCAAGTCGTCGTGCCTAAAGGAAAAACAGCAACAAAACAGCAAGTTAAGCAAAGTTTTTTAAGAACACAAAAACACTTCACTGCTCAAGCTTTCATTTAAATTCAGTTGCAAAGTCAGTTTGACCCAGAAATGTTCACTTTGAAGTCCATCATGGAGATTATGCAAACTCGTCATACTGCAGTACAAGAAGAACGTAATGGCAGCAGGTTCAGTCCCACAAATAATATGCTATTTCATCCTTCCCTTAGTAACACATTAACCAGTCATACAATGTAATGAAGTACAAAAGTAAAAGAACAATACTTAAGTACAAGTTTTAGGTATCTGTACTTTACTTAAGTACATTTTACAGTGCGAGAGTGTGTATCTGTATTTCCTACTCCACCACATTTTACATCTGGACTGAAATGAAAAAGGGTATTTTTCTTTATGGTTTGAGACCTGCTGAAAGTTATTTTTTTTATTACATTTAATATGACCAAAAAAACAGTAGAAAAATTAGATAATAAGAAATCAGTTGAGTCACTTAAAATCAGCCACATTCTGAAATTATTTTAAAAATCTCAGCAAAATACTTTTTACTCTTTAAGCACGTTTTTAAACAGGTACTTCAGTACTTTTATTTTTTCATGTGATACTTGTACTTAAGTAACAAAATTGAGTACTTGGTGCACGACTGACATTAAAAAATACAAAAGCAAAAAAATAAAATAATAACAACTTAAATGTCAGACTTTAATTAAGCTTTAAACTGTTTAATTGATCAAGTTTTGTATAAAAGACTGGTAAGGTAAGGTGAGGTACACTTTCTACTAAAATGCTTCAAAAAAGTAACTAGTCGGAAAAACAAATTTGAACAAATTAGTTCTTTGGGTTATAAAAGCACTGCAATGCACTTCACACAGGCATCTCTTAAAACGTACTTTCTCATCTGCAGTTAGTCCAGAATATCGTGGCACAACTTTTAACAGGAGCCAAAAAAACGAAAACATATCACATCATTCCTTGCATCTTTGCACGGCTGTCCTGTTCGATTTAGAATTGATTTTAAGATTTTATTGTTTGTTTGTAAAGCTTTGAATGGACTGGCCCTACAGCACATCTCAGACCTCATCCAGATTTACTCCCCCTTGCGCGCTCTGAGGTCCGAAGGCCAGATTCAGCTGGTTGTGCCTAAAACGAGACTTAAAATCGGGAGGGAAAGGACCTTTTCTGTGGTCAGCCCCGAACTCTGGAACGCTCTGTCCACTTTTACTCACTGGCTTTAAACCACCGTTTGAGTTGTGTGAGTTTTTTTTTTTTTTTAACCATTTGTACCTTTATGCACTTTAACACTTTTTTTTATTGTTTTCATTTATGATTTGTGATCTTTTATTGTATTAATGGAAACTGTCATGTTTATAAAAATATGCTATATACCGTATTTTTCAGACTATAAGGCATACTTAAAATCCTTTAATTTTTTCAAAAATCAACAGTACGCCTTGTAACCCAGTCCACCGTATTAATTCTGGTTGTTCTTACTGACCTCCACTGAGTCGTGTCCTTTAGTCCGACAGAAGCTGACCGCATCAACGCCCAAGGAGCGAGCTGTTTTTTCAGCGCTTATACTTTATGCAAATGAGCCATGTGGTTTTAATTTCTGTAAAACGTAAAACAAATGTGCGCAAAGCTGCATTAAACACATTATTACTCAATGTATATTTGAGTCCTCCTCGTAGGAAATAAAAAACAAACTTAACCGCATTCACATTAAATGCCGCGCAAGTTACAGTTACCAATGGATTGTGAATGCCTTGGCTAAGGGATCAGTCTCAAGTGTTGTTCATCTGTATCGCTTAATGTGCCTCATAATCCTGTGTGCCTTATAGTCCAAAAAATATGGTAAATAAAGTGGATTGGATTGAAAAAGGTAGCACATTTTCAAATCCACAAATTATGGCAATCTATATCATACCGTAACATGCTTAACGTGAACATATCATATCGAGGGATTTGGATATCGTTACATCCCTAATTGACATAGAGTCCTGGGATCAGCACAAGACTACAGAGTAATGATACAGTGACCAGAGGAGACACAGGAGGCTGAGCAACAGAAACAATAATCACGGATATATGTGACGTCTCCTCTTCAGCTGTGCTCCAATGAGATGAGATGAGAAATAAAAAAAACAATATAATGCAATTGAAACATCCTCGGCATTTGTCTGATGTCACTGTATGCTTGCATTATGGACTTGTATTTGTCATAATTGCCGAGTCACTGAATAGAAGAAGGAAAATACAGGATCTCATTTGTGCGCTATGTAACTGTTACAATGAAGGGGCTGCAAGCTTGCTCGTTTCCATGGAGATACAATTGCTTTGCCTGGAATGTCCCACAGTATGCCATTAAACTCATCTGTTTATGGTTTCAGCTTCCTGTTATATGCAACATTTTGAGGATGTTCAAAAATATGAATAAAACTTTGATATTTTGTTTTAATTTGTTAACATGGATACAAGCAGGGAGTGCTGGCAGGCCAGGTTGCAGAACTATGGAGAGGTGGTCCTGCTCACAATAAGAATGTCTGTTTTTGAAGGTATTTTTTAGCAATGACAGTGCAGCAATTAGATAAACGCAAGACAGGTCTGAGGTCATCATTGCCTTTTGCATTTTTAAAGTTCTAATTTTGGACATACCCTCCATCAGGAAACACTTAAAGCGGACCTATTATGCATAATTGTCTTATTAGTCATTGGTAGAAATGAAACAAATCCGCTGCTCGCTACCATGAGGTGCAACTATCCGTCAGCTCCCAAGAGGCACTGTCACGCCATTTTAGATATTGGGATTTTAAATTGGAGATGCACTGATCCAGCTTTTTCAGTTCCAATATAGATTCCGATACTATCGCTTTAAGTTAGGGATGGCACAAGATCTCATGCCACAAGATATTTTTTTAGTTCAATTCAAAAAGTTCTTCATATGAAACAAATAAAGAATCAAAATTGTGTTTCTCACTCCCTAGTGTATAAATAAATAATAATAAATGGAAAGGTCCAAGAGTTCTTTAGGGAGATGCAGATTCCTAGCTTTCTGGCAGCCTGGTGGTTAGAGAGGGGGGAGAGAGTGCAGCATCCTAACAGCCTAGTGGATGAGTCTGGAGGTGCAGGAATGCAGGCTCCTGTACCTCCTCCCAGTGGGCAGGAGGCTGAACAGATTGTGTGCAGGGTATTAGACAAACACATTTTTGACTAACAAAACATCGAGCTATTGGGAGAGCAAGAGACCGCTGCATCTGCTCGTGCCGCCATTCAAATCATCATCATCTTGCAAAACAAACTGCAACAAGATTGGGCACACATGAGAAATTATCTTGTGATATTTTTAGTCAGTGTTTACGTTTGGATTGGACAAAAAAAAGGGTTACATATTAGAGAGTTACATCTATCATAGTAAAAAAAAAAAACAATGCTAGAATGGAAACAAAAATATTAAATCAAACAGAAAATGTGAGGCCAAAATTGGAAACTGAATCTCAGAATGTATTAGGAATTATGTTAAAATTTCATCTTGTCTCGTGGGCCCAATCTCAGCTCTCGTCTCATCTTGTGGAAATTAAGTCTTGTCCCATCCCTACTTTAAGCTTTAATCTCCCAGACAAAGACAAAACTGATCCAAATGTGTTATGTAGCTGTTAGTATTCCTCCAAGTAACTTTAGGATAGCTTTGTATAAGTACAAATTCTAGCACTGTGAAACTTTCTGGGCCAAATACAACCGGTAAATAATCTCATTATATCAATTCACTAGTCCAACCAGGATATCATCTGAACCGATATTTGGAAGCCGATTTCAGAATTGGCATCGACATCCAAAACCAGTATCGTATTGGTGCATCCCGATTTCAAATGTCCAAATTCTAACAAAATGAACCACGCAAAACATGTCTTCTTTAATGTCATATTATAGGACATTGCAGGCAAAGCACGTATGTAGCAGTATGTAGCAAGCCTGAGATCATCCATGTCAAAAACACAATTTAACATTTTTATTTTTGGATGTACCCTTGAGCAAAGTAGTTGTGAAAGCACCCTTAATTCAATGCGCATTTTGTCTTTGTTTTGTCAACTAAACTTATTTTGAACCTCTTATCCTCAGAAGGTGCACCACAGCTGCTTCACAACTCCATAATATGCTAATTCAAAGTTCCAGTTCAGTGCACGCAAATCATCTTTCCTCTCACATTTGAAGTTCACCTGTCACATCCTCTGTGAACTTTACAGTGACATAATGACGCAGGTCTTTTTTAAAATGTATCCTTGAGAGGTTTTGACACGACTGACACACGAATGACTCAGCCTTAAAGATACAGACCACTATGAAGTAATAGACAATACACAATGACCAGTCAAAGTGGTAAGAAGTGCTGGTAGGAGTAATAGACTTTGAAGTAAGGTGACATCAACACTATTCGCTCAATCAATGCAGGATGCAAGAACTAAAAATGTATATTTGTGACCGTTTTAGAAGCAAAATTAAGCCGTTTTCAATTATTTTAATAACATTGACCTAGATGTAAACTGTTTCATTAAAGGGCTCATATTACACTACTTTCTATCAAACAGACCTGAAGTTGTGTTTTGTTTCATTCACACATGTTTAACGCACAAACCCTGCAGATTTAGGTGGAGTTCTTCTCTTAAGCGTAAATAAAACCAGAAAGCTACCTTGTGATGTCATGTGGTAATATAGGAAGTGCTCCTTTGTGTTTTTAAACTCCATATACTTTCACTAGAATCATTTGGATAATTTAAGACCTGGAATTTCCAATCTCTACTGAGTTAAAGGTAAAAGGTAGAGCAGGGGTGGGCAATTATTTTTTCCATGGGGTCACATGAGAAACAGAAAATATTGTGGAGGGCCGGACCAAAATGCTTAGCCCAATTCTGCATTATATTAATTGTATTTCTTTATAAAAAGCAGTAAATAGCAGTGTTTGGACAAGCTGGTAAGACTGGTAAGAGT